GAGCACAATGATGCTACAACCCCCCATACGGAGACTCCGAAGTGGGAGGAAGAAGCAATCAATGGCCTTTGTGTCTCACGCTCAGGGCATATGTTTGCAACCATAACAGAATCGTCAATCTCCTTATGGCAAACCAGGGTATGTCTTGGGCAACTCCGCGCGGTGTTTCAGCGGTATTGGGATCTGAACTAACATGCCCCGGCAGCCAACAGCTGTGGTAGCCGCTATAGCTCGCTCCTCATTCTCCCTCAAGACATATGGCCCGAATGTCGCTTTACTCATGCACCCCGATTCGACAATCCTTGTCGTGCAGACACAACATGGATACCTCCTCACATATTCGGTAGCCTCGGACCCTGCAACTCGAGTCTATCAACAGCAATTTGATCACAGTACAAATCCTCGCCGCCAACAACTTACTCACTTTGCCGCCGTGGAGGACGCAAATGTTGTCGGAGATATCAGTATCAGGTTCCGTATGGCAATCAAGATCGAGTCCGGGATCGTCAAGGCGCTGGCGCTGGATCAAGAGCTGGTCGTGGCCACCCAGAAACCGTCGGCCATACAATGTATTCGATGGACACCCGAGTCTGGGGGTTCCCAGACTACATCTGAGGTGTTGAATCATATTTTAAATGTACCGAAGAAAGTCACTATCACTGATATGGTTTATGACCGCGCTATGAATCTCCTGATATGGCTCACGAGCAATGGTCAGGCATATACAGTACAACGGCTTCCTGGAACACAACAAGATCTCGAGCATCCCGAGTCCCCCAAGAAGCTTTTCCACGGACATTGCTTTCATGATCCCAAGGACGATGGCGAGAAAGCTCTGAAAGTAACAGTTAATGCTCGCTTCTCGTTATTAACTGTCTATTGCGCCAATGGGGAGATCTTGGTCTACACGGCCAAGGATTATACAGGCAATGTACCGCTCTCCCAAAAGTTGCATCTCCCCGCGTCACCAGCCACCACAGGGGCATTGACTTTTATGAACTATTCGCCGGACGGATACTGTCTTTTTGCCGGTTATGAAAATGGGTGGACGACATGGAGTGTCTTTGGAAAGCCCGGCGGTAACAGCTTCACGGTTGATTCTACCTTAGCAGCATCAAACCGTGAGGAATGGTTGACAGGAGTCTCGAATGGCTGCTGGATTGGCGGCGGGTCGGACATCATTCTGTCGGCACAGAACGATCGACGCCTGTGGATCCTGGAGACAGCTCGCAGTGCCTTGACAGGTTGCTTCTCAGCTGCCAATCTCGCCCAGGGCCTGCTGCAGACCGGAACCGAGTTCATACTCTACCGAGGACATGATCTTCCAGAATTGATGACTATATCAGGCAAGGATTCACTTTGGCACCATGGCCAATACCCCCCGGCATACCTTCACTCGCAATGGCCGATCCGGTCCTGCGTCGTGTCCCAGGATGGACGGTATGTCGCAATCGCAGGTCGGAGGGGATTGGCACATTACAGTATCAACAGTGGCAGGTGGAAGGTGTTTGAAGATTCAAAAGTGGAAAACTCGTTTGCCATTCGAGGCGGCATGTGCTGGTATGGACACATTTTGATTGCCGCTGTTGAAAGCGATGGATCATATGAGGTATGTGATTTATTGGTCCCCTGTTGTTGCTTATATGGGCTTATAAATGAATAAAGATACGTCTCTACTCGCGCGAGGATGCTCTCAAAGATAACTCCGTCATGTTCACAGAGTATCTTCCGGCTCCGGTGGTGTTTATCGGCCCCTCTGGGGAGGATTCCATCTTAGTCTACACCTATGATAACATCCTTTACCACTATGTCATAAACTCCACCCAGCCTCAAATCACCCTTGTCCCAGTCGGGCAGATCGCTTTCAATGGGATTGTGAGGGCCCCGACCCGAGTCCGTGCTATTAGCTGGGTTTTGCCTGAAGAGCAAATGCGTGAGTCCGACTTCTCTTTAAACCAGACGATGAATACTAACGCAAAGACAGACAACGGCGACCCTTCCCAAGACGTGAAAGTTGCGTCCGTGCTTCTCCTTGTTGATGGCAACCTCGTTCTCCTACAGCCGACGGTGACGGATGGAGGCGATCTCAAGTATGACATGCGAGTCATATCTAATGATGTAGAGTACTATATTCTTATGCGCGACCAACTCGCCTTCAACTTCTCGCCTTCGGTAGATGAGTCCCTACCCAGCAGCCCGTCTGCCGACATGGCTCTCGCGCCATCTCATAGCAGTCTCTCGCTCAGAGACTCGCTCTGGTTATTCCGAGGCAAAGATCTCCTTGCCTGGAATGACGTGCATGATGTCCTACAGCAAGAAACAGTGCCGGCACCACTCAACATACCCCTCGACTTTTACCCTCTCTCGGTGTTGTTGAATAAGGGCATTGTGCTTGGAGTGGAGTCTGAAATAACGCAGCGGCGTGATGTCACATTTACCACCTTGAAATTCGCCATTCGAGTATGTTGGCTTGCCTCTTGAACCCTAGAAATCGGATATACTAACCTTTTCGCAGACACACCTCTTCCTCCCATACTTCCTCCAGTACAGTCTTACAAATCTTGGAACACCTGCCACCCTCTCTCTCTGTCGACACTTCTCCCATCTATCCTACTTCGCCCACGGCCTAGAAATTCTGCTCCACCATGTCCTCGATGAAGAGGTGGACAACAAAAGCCGTACAAACGAGTCCGAGGACCCATCTGCACGCGAAGAACCACTCCTACCTACCGTCATCGCCTTCCTCCAAGCATCCCTGCCAGCCCGCGAATACCTCGACATTGTTGTACAATGCACACGAAAGACAGAACTGCGCTTTTGGCGCACACTTTTCACCTACCTACCTACTCCGAAAGACCTCTTCGAGCAAGCCTTACGACTAGACTCGCTCAAAACAGCCGTCGGCTACCTCCTTGTCCTCCAGGCATTCGAGGACGAAGACCACAATCACGACGGCCAAATCGAAGACTACGTGGTTCGCCTGATTGGCCTGGCTTCTCGCAAGGGCGACTGGGAACTTTGCGCCGAGTTAGCCCGCTTCTTGATCGCACTCGATTCGTCGGGCGAGATGCTGCAACGAGCGATTTCCCGTGTTGGTCTGCGCCGGTCTCCTACGAATGGGACGCATCCGGGTCTTGGTTCGAGGACTGGTTCGGCTGCTAGTGTTCGGGGTCTGGGATTGAGCCTTCCTGTTCGTACACCTTCGTGGTCATCTCTCTCCCCGACTTCGTCTGTCTCGCAACATGCTGGGCGAGACGGTGATGTTTCGGATGAGTATTCCCATTCTTTGGATAGTCGGGATGGCTCATAAACTTGATGCATAATTTAAGTATAGGTGGTACCCTGGCAACTGTATATACTAGTACCTTTTAACATATCCCCTAATCGATATTTTCAAACCAAGATAACACGCGCATACTGCGTAATACAACCATGACCTCGACGGCCAGCCTTGGAAGGTATCCTGGACTCGATACTACTAGTATCACCTGTGCATCCATCAGGTGCCCGGCCGGTACTGGTATCTCCTAGGTACGTACGTCCAGAGCCACAAGAGCTCGGGGCACAGAATACAGCTCTGGGGACAGTCAACAATGGAAATAATTCAAATTCTTTTCAATTCCGAGTCATCAATCATTCATCAGAGGTATATCCAACACCAACCCAATCCAAACCCGACAATCATCTATCCATATCACTAGTAGTAGTACCGATACCGATACCACGAGACTGGGTCCTGGGCCCTAAATCTTCAAGCACTCTCACAGTACAAATAACCCCGAATCTAATCCAACTGCATATTCCACAACCCATCACCCAAATAATGACCCTCATCCATAACAACGCCCTTGCCCTTACTCTTCATCTCCTCAGTCCCAACCTTAAGCGTACCAACCATACAAACCTCCTCCTTACCCTCCGCCTTGATAGCAACGACCTGTCCCGCCTCAAAGGCATTCTCCTTCTCAGGCAGACGGCCACCCGGCGAAGTCAGACCGGGAGCCATGAGCGCGGCGCCGGAAAGCACGAAGCGGATTGCGCCGCGGTCGATTTGGATCGTTGGCAGGGCGGAGGGGAATTGGTGGACGAGTTTTAGGTGTGGGATTGGCGGGCCGTCGATTGGTTGGAAGAAGAGCGGGATTGAGTCTATTGTGTAGAGGGTTACTCTGTCTGGGCTGTTGGGGTTGTTGGTTAGTTGCTGTTGCCCGGTAATTGATGCGTGTGCAATGAAACGAAACGAAACGGAAAGGGCAAGGCAAAGGCGGAAATGGCCTGGCCTGGCTGGGATGATGGCTTGATTCAGAGGTAACGTACAGTTTCACGGCCTCGAGGGATCCTTTCTTCGGCATGATCTCTTCAATATATGGCTCGAATCCTGGGTACGCCTCCAGCAGCCTCTGGCGGAGACCGCGCTGCACGGAGGACTTGACCTTCGACCGGTTGCTAGTGGGGATTCTGGTGGGTGATAGACATGGTTAGCTCTCGTGGTTCTGTATAAATGTTTGTTCGTGTCTCTTTGCGCTGGTTCTGTTCGAATTCCGGTCTTGGGGTCTCGAGCTTGTGATGCAGTGCGGTGCGGTGCGGTCGTAGCTGTTGACCCATCCGTCCTTCGCAATTCTTTGACCAGGGGGGCCCGGTGAAATATTTTCTCGGTCTATAGAGCTTCAGGGAGGATAACTTACTCTTTCTTGAACATGGTGCTGGTTGGTGAGTGTTTCTTGGTGCGGCGAGAACGAGCAGTCCAAGGTGGGATGCGCGGGGAGGTCACGTGATGATATCAGATTTGCGGCGGGATGGGACGAGGAGCAACTATGACATGGCCGGGCTATGGTCAGGTTCATGGAGAGTTGGCTTGAAAAGATGGTGGTTGTCCAGTCATATCAGGTTACACATTGAACACAGGAAACCATTCTACAAGTTTATAGTATACGAATGTACATCAATTGAAACATCTCAAGGAGTATCATTTCGAAATCTTATAGAACTATTACGTTTTGTATTTAGCTCTTGGCAGCACCGGCCTTGATGAGCAGGATATCACCGTCCTCGACAGTGTAATCCTTGCCCTTGGTCATGACCTTACCGGCAGCCTTGACGGCAGCCTCGTCACCAAGCTCGCGCAGCATGCTGTAGTTGTAGGCAATGGCCTGGATAAAGGTCTTCTCGAAGTCGGTGTGAATAACACCGGCAGCGGCAGGGGCCTTGATGCCCTTGCGGATGGTCCATTGACGGACCTCATCCGTACCGGTGGTGAAGAAGCTGGACAGGTTCAGGGCGGTACGCATGGTAGTGATAGCCTTGGGCAGACCGGACTTGGTGCCCAGCTTCTTGCACTCCTCCGCGGCAGCAGCATCATCGCCCATCAAAGTGAGACGCTCCTCGAAGCAGGCGGAGATGGGGAGAATGGGGCAGCCGGGGGTGTTGGTCTTACACCACTCGAACAGACCGGGAAGGTACTTGTTCTTCTGGCGGATGTAGTCCTTCTCGCTCAGGTTGACAAGGTACACGACGGGCTTGGCAGTGAGCAGGAACAGAGGGTTGATGGCCTCAACCTATAACCATTATGTTAGCAAGAATGCGCTGGACAATGGTTTGGGTGATTGGTTGAATCGGAAATGAGACTCCAAATGGCTTTCAGCATAAACTTTTCTTCTCAAGACGCCCCCTTCTTTAGGAGGGACGTTCGACGAGCTGGGTTTATTGTCGAGCTTATAGCTCTTATTCATCATGAAAAGGAGTGGTGGGCAGGGGTGGTAGATGTGGGTAGAAGGGGAAGGAAAAGCTGAAAACGTACCTCCTTGGGGGACCAGTCACCGTGACGGATGTCCTTGCCCGACTTCAACCACTCGAGAACACGACCAGTGGTGGCCTCCTCCTCCTTCAGCTTCTTCATCTCCAAAGACTGGCCACCACGGCGAGTCTGCTTGCCGAGAGCCTCGAGAGCCTTCTCGACGAACTCGATATCCTTGACGCGCAGCTCCTCGCTGATGATGGTCAAGTCGCGGACGGGGTCGACATCGCCCTCGACGTGGATAATCTCGGCGTCATCGAAGCAACGAACCACTTGGAAAATGGCATCGACGGCACGAATGTGAGACAAGAAGGAGTTACCGAGACCAGCACCAGTAGAGGCACCGCGGGTCAGACCAGCAATATCGTAGATGGTCAAGTTGGCGGGCACAACGGACTTGGGCTTGTAGTGATCGACAAGCCAGTCGAATCGCTCATCGGGGACGATGACACGAGCCTCCTCGGGGTCAATGGTGGCATAAGGAAAGTTGGCCGGGTTACCAAGGGTGGACTTGGTGATAGATTGGAAGAGCGTGGACTTGCCAACGTTGGCGAGACCAACCTATATAGTAGAATCAAGGCATGGTGAGTGAAAGAAAAGGAAGTACTTTCATGGGAGAAGGAAAGGGAGGAAGAAAGGAAAGGGGGAATGCAGAGGCTTAAATAGTTTGTGGAAATAAAAAAAAAGTGGACTGTGCTGAAGGAAAAAATCGCACAGAAAAAAGGAGTGGGGTCCTCACATACGATACCGCTCTTCAGGGAGTTGCCGGGGCGGCCCAGCAGGACCTTTTCTTGAGTTGAAGCCTTCTTGGGGGGGCATTTTATTGGATTTCTTCTTCTTGCTGGAGTAGAAGCGACAGGAAGAAAAAGGTGGGATGAGGTGGGGGGAAATGCAAAGGCGGAAGCGGGCAGAGGGTTGGTTCTGTTGGCTGAGACGTGCGGTACTTAAAGTCAAGGCAGGACCAGCTGCGGATCGATCGACGAGACGAAGGAGCAAAACGGAGGAATTGAGGAGCGACGTGATGACGGGGCCCACTGAATGACAGCGAGCAAGGTCAATGGATGAAGGAGAGTATATATATGAAGGAGAACCTAAAAGAGAGAGACTGATGACTTGGACTGAGCTCGACGGAGCTTCCTTGAGGTTCCTCGTCATCGGAGTTTTCTGCCAGTCTCCATTCACCGCCTTGCGCATGAGCACACGTGATATTCAAGCCCTGTACGTCATGCGCACTACACATAGAGTAGATTTATGAGAATGTAGTACCCTAGGTAGGTGCCTGGTGTACTTCTAGTATGAGATACTAGACGAAAGTATTACCTAGTCCGGTAATACTAGAGCGAACCTTAAGTAGACCTACCAGCATTCGGTTTGTGGTGGTACTGCCAATTGTATATACTAGTACTAGTTAGTAGTACTAGTATACTATGTACGAGAACGAGAACGAGGAACACCTTGAACTCCTGACTGGCAACATGAGGCCATCGGAGCACTGCTCCAGGTGAGCAGATGCACTGGATACTGTACTACTAGTAGTAGTACTCGCACTGCCCGCTGCCACTAGCAGCCACCAACCTAAACCTAAAAGGACGCGCAAGCATCCCCGTCTTGCCTCTCACAGCCTCACCAGTGGCACCCGTAGACTCGGCCGTATGATCGGTCATTTTACAGTACTAGTATATAGTCAGGATGCCCCCACCAGTCCGACCAAGTGCATCCTCCACTAACAATATCACTATTACTTGGCATATATGAAAATGCCCCAAACAGATGCAGATGACTGCTTTGAGTATACTACAGGGAAATGGATGTATGCTTAACCCATGGCTATACACTCCACACTCACACTTCAAGGGCTAACAAGCAACTTGAACCATAGCTACAATGACGCCCTCCGACACTCCGAACGGAGGAAAATATTCAACATCCCGGAGTTCAAACGCCTGGCAGCCCACTCAATCAACCAGTCTGAACATGATCTCACCGGCTTCAAAAAACTGGCCGAAGGTGGCTTCAACCGCACCTTTCTAATTACCATGCGCGATGGCTTCCAATTTGTCGCACGCATCCCATTCCCCGTCACAGAACCAAAGACCCTCCTCATCGCAAATGAAGTCGCGACCATGGATTTTCTCCGTTCGCACGGCTTCCCCATCCCCAAGGTCTTCGGCTATTCAACCGTTGCCGATAACCCCGCGGGGACCGAGTACATCTTCATGGAGCTAGTGACAGGGACTAATTTGGGCGAAATTTGGTTCGATTTATCCGAGCAGGAGCAGAAAACCATCATCACGAATCTCGTCCAGCTCGAGTCTAAATTAATGGCTCTGAGATTCCCCGCGAGTGGCAGTCTTTACTATTGCGACGACTTGCCCAGCAATCATCCTCGAATTCTTATTCAACATGAATCTGAATCTGAAACAACCCCGAGCAATGCGACTAATGAAAACCCGAAACAATTCTGCATTGGCCCCGACACCTCATTTCGATTATGGTTTGGCAAAAGACTAAACCTCAACGTAGAACGCGGACCCTGTAAGTAACCACTCGTACTAACGTGTTCCACAACCGAACGGGCCGGACAACCGAACGGGCCACCCCACCCCATTACGACGATATATATTGAATATAACTCAACCACCATATAATATATTGCAAAAACTAGGCGTTATTCACAACTGGGCACCTATTCCGCTTGTGCCCTGGCTCCCTGCAATTGCCACAGCGCTGTATAGGTCTCTCAATCGTCGTCCTGGTTGCGCGGCGTGGCGCCGGGGGTATTGCCAATTGGTGCTCATATTCAATTTGTACACGCAATTGCAGGTCCTCTGCTGTAATTCCACCTTCGTAGGGTAATTGCCTATTTGGTAAAGCTTTTTTTCTTTGCTTACGTCCATTTTCGGCCATTACACGCTCATATGTTGTCTTTAACATAACCATCTCATGTGCAAGTAATTGTGCACCTCTGGTAGTCTGCTCCAATTGTCGATATATGTCATTATCAGGGGTTATATCCCTATAGACTAGTAATCGCTTGATTGAGGATGCCTGCCGTTGAAAATTGATAGCTTTGGATGGTGTATGAGGTATGAATTCACGACTGCTATCACTACCATGTGATGGTGGTGGTGTAGGCGATGGGGGATGAATATCAAGTTTTGATAGTACTGTCTCTGGCGAATATGGAATAATGCCCGCTGCCATAAAACTGCTAGCAATTATAGAGGTTTTGTATGTTGCTGCGCGTGCTTTAGGGTATAGACTAAGAAAGTCAGGCTTATCAATATGTGTAGAGCCCACACGTGCAAGATCTTGTACTGCCTGACCATAGAAGTGCTTCAATACACTAAAACAACCTACATCTAGTGGTTGTAATAGATGCGATGAATGAGATGGCATACAAATTGGCACAATATTGTTCTTCATGCAGATAGTGTCAAATTGAGGGGTGACATGACTCCCATGGCCATCCATAACCAAGGCAGACCAGGCACCATGTTGACGCTTTTTGACGTATGGAATGAAGGAATTTTCGAGCCACGAAATGCCAATTTCATCAGTTGTCCATCCATTAGCACTGATCTCAAAGCGCCAGTCATTCGGGACAGTACTACACCACGCTGCCATCAATACCTTCGCTTTAAAGATAATAGTCGGAGGGAGAACACCATCCAGATGGACACACTCAATTGCAGTAACCCACTCTCGGTTACCCGGTTGTAGGAGTTTGCGCTTCCCCTGCCACTCTCGACTGGTAATAACCTTTGAGGTGCTAGTAATCCCCATTGCAAATCCAGTCTCATCGAAATTGTAGATATCTTCGTTAAGAATACCATATTGAGCAATAGTATTGCAATATTGATTAAACCATTCACGAATAAGCTTCGGATCCTCACATAATGCACGCTGTGCAGCGTAGCGACGTGAAAAACGTGTTTTAAGCTTATCGCGACGTTTGACAAAGTTCTGTACCCAGTTTATACCGATTGTAAGAGAGGGGGTAGTTGAACGTTGAGCGAGTAGTAAATTGGCCATTTCTCCTGCAAGAGCAAAGGTAGGGGCCTTGCCACGTGCATCTAGATCCAATATCCAATTCTCTAACGAATCCTCTTCAATTGCATCCAATTTTGTGCAATTTGCGCGAAGGGTTTGGCGATAATGTCTTCCCTTGAAACGCGCTTGCAATGTTGCACGAGGTACCTCAAAAACGCGCGCAGCTTCATTCAGAGAAGCTACTTTTTCATTTCTTAGCGCCTGTATAGCAAGTTCAATCCTGCCTTCTTGCTCAATTCGTTTTTGAGTTTTTGCAGTACGAATTGGTGGCATGGTGGTGGTTTGAAAAAGAGAGCTGCAACACGCGACGCGTTTTTTAGGTGGGGTGGCCCGTTCGGTTGTCCGGCCCGTTCGGTTGTGGAACACGTTATCAACTTCCACAACCACCTACCTAGGTATAACCCCAAAGCAACCTCAAAATCTAATATCCAACTTTCTCTACCATAATAGACCAAGATTGTTTCGCAGCCCTAACAACCGGCGCAACAAAAGAAATCGCCTACCTGTCGAAATTCGGAAAACCCCTCCTCCCCTTCCAACGACTCCGCCGAGAAGTCCACGCCTACAAACCCCAATCCCACAAAGACCACATCCAAAATCTAAAGAAATACCTAGCCATAGCGCCGGCCCTGATCCCCACAGAGTCAGACCAATATCTCCACCGACCAGTAATCCGACACCCAGACCTGCAACCAAACAACGTCATCGTAACGGCCAACCTCCAAGTCAAAGGTCTAATCGACTGGCAACACAGCACAATTCTCCCCCTATTCCTACAATCCGGCATTCCCCTCTCAATAAAGAGTCAAGATATCGTCGATCCAGGACTAAGCTCGAAGAACCTTGATTCGGAACCGACCTCGCCGAATCCGAGCCACAGTAACAGCGATGCCGATGGCGACAGCGACGACCTCCTACAACTAGTAGGAGACAGCACCAGTAAACCACGGCACCACTGGACATCAAAAGAGCTCGAGATTTTCCGGCGCCGCCACCTGCACCGCGAATATGTTAGACAAACAGCCGCACTGAACACAGAGCATTTTGACGCGCTGTCTGAGAAATACAATAAGCTGAGGCGCAGACTCTGGCATCACGCGGGTGATCCGTGGGAAGGGGATACCATTACCCTGAAAGCGGATTTGATCGGGTTATCGCGACAATGGGCTGAAATCACCGGTATCGATGCCGGTACCGATGCCGATACCGATGCCGATGCCATTTCCGACTCTGATTTCGACTCCGATACGGATATGGGTCCTGTCTCAGGCTGTCCGATATCATTCTCGGCCGAGGAGGTTAGGGAGTGTTTGGAATTGAATGTCGCGCAGGGCGAGGCGGATGAACAGTTGCAGGAATGTTTGGATATTGTTGGTGTGGCTAGTGAGGGGTGGACGCCGGTTGCGTCGTATGATCGGGCCAAGGCTCGCGCGGAGAAGTTCAAGATGGAGGCTTTTCAGGCGGCGGAGTCGGGGGAGGAGAGGAGGAGACTGGAGGAGAATTGGATTTTTGATGATTTTGATGAGGATGATTATACATAGCTTTGCATAAGCCTGGGCTTGTCTGTGGTGTGCCTGTGATGAATGAATGAATGAAGATCCATATCAATATTGGTGGTTTGTAGAGGGCATGATATTCAAATGAATCTTTGATGACACCACACAGATAGGGGTGGAACCCCGAAGATATAATACAATTGATACAAACGAAAAGCCCCTTCTCTCATTGCTAACTTGTTGTAAATAAAGAAAAATTGAGTATAAGCAAGCTGCCATGCAGAAACCAGATAAGTACCTTTCAATCCCATGGTCCCGCCTGACCAAATAGAGCCGCATGTGTAAACGCCGATTCGGAACCCTGTTTTTTTTTTAAAAAAAAAACAGCAAAGGGTTTAGATAAAAATAGATGATAAAAGAGAAGAAAAAGAAAAGGAGGAAGAAAAGAAAGTACTGAAGGGAGAAATGAAAAAAAAAAAGCAAAGACATCCTACGTCTAAAATCATAGGTCCATCGCGTCGCCTTCTTCAGCTCCAACTACCATATCGAGCAATTTGGCGTATGGAACGGTCACGCGCTGAAGTTCGCGGTATTTACCTAGAAAACACACCCAATTGTTAGTAAATCAACGAGAGAAGAGGAATGAGGAGAAAGGAAGACAAGGGGGAAAAACATACCAAGAGCAAGAATCACCTCTTTAAGCAGAGTCTCCCGCGGCCAGCCACACAGATCCTCCGAGCTCTCACGCCAACTCCGACCTTCACGCTCATTCTCCTGTAACCTCTTGACAGTCTCTGTTCCCTCTTCATCATCGAACAACCCGCCAATCAACCCCTTGAGTAGCTCCTCAACCTTCATCTTTTGACCCTCAGCACCAATACGCTTCGCATACATGTTGAGGTAGAGTCTGAACTCCTCCTTCGCGCCCAAGGATAGGGCAGCAGCCATGCGGTTCTCAAGGTGCGCAATAGAAACGCTCGACTCGAAGGTCTCGTAGCCTTCACGCGAGAGGAGAACTTTGATAAGTCGTTGGAGGAAATAGGCCCGGCCGCGGAGAAGGGTTTCATTCGTAGTATTACGTTCCAGGAAGGGGATGATACCGGCTGCCACGGATGCTTTGGCGTCCTTGATGTCTGGCTGGGGGCCGGATGCTTGCTGGAGATTGCCGATCGGTGTATCGGTTGAGTTCCAGTATTGACTGCCGACAGCCCACCAGGATTCTGTGATGCGTTGCCAGGAGTACATTGATGGGGAGTAAGAGTATCCTTCTCCGTTTGTGAGCGAGACTACCACGCGGCCTTCAGAGTTCACACGTGCGTCTGTGATGGCGGGGGTCGCGGTGGGGTTGGCGCCGAGTGTGTGGATTGCGGCGTCGAGGACAGGTTGGAGAGAGACGGGGGGGTGAGGGGATGAGAGGTGCTTTACGTTCCAGACGTAACACATGCCGACGGAGGAAATGCACATTAACCAAGGTCCATTGCACTCTAGAATGACTGGCTGCGCTTCCAGGACGAGGGCGCTTACTAGTCGGCGACCAGCTGGTGTCCAGATGTAAAGAGAGGCATCCTCGCATCCTGCAGCCCACATGTGTTGATTTCCGGTAACGAGAAGGACGGGTCGAGGGAGGAAGTCTTGCCATAGTGGTTGCTCACCGCGGGAGAGTGTGAGTCGAACGGGCTCGCGATCAACAGCACGGCCGGTTATGCTAGCTGGAGAAGGATTCCGAGCTTCGAATACCACGTCTACCCGAGATTTGCTACTCGACTCGCTTCCAGTAGCACCAGCAGTACCAGTGGTGGTAGAAGAGGGTGGTTCTGTAGGCTTTCCACTAGAATCCAAAGCCCGCAGGATAAAGGTTCGGATCTTGGGAACTGCAAGCCGTAGCTGACTGACCGACATGCAAGGGTTCGTCACTGCAGGCCGAATGAATTCTGGAGTAGGTTGCTGTCCATTTGCTGCTGGTTGGACCTGCGCGGGAAGCAATCCATCGGGTGTATTGGCCATGATCGGGGTAGCACCGTTTTGACTTGCCAAAGCGACGCGCTTCTCAACCAGGTTTTCTTCATCCCCTTCTAACTGGGCAAGCTTCCGCTTATTTCCTAGCAGAAGAGCAGTTAAGCCACCCTTGGGGAGACCATCGAAGGGCTTGGAGAGATCGACGATGGATGTAGGTGCATCACCCTTCGCTTGGTTGCTGACGGAGGCTATCAAGCGGGTCTGAGGAAGAGATGACTCGCCGGCCCCAGCCCCGGAAACAAGCAGCGGCGCGATACGCTTCTTTCCCTCTTTTGTGTATGTGGGTCTTTGCTTCAACCTCTCCAGTTTCGCTTGGTAGGGATCTGGTTTTGGAGTTTCGGTAGACGCAGGGGTTGACGCGGTTCCATTAGTCTGCTGCTTTTTCTCAGGAGCAGGCGAGGGTGCTTGTGCAGGAGTTGTGCCATTCGAAGGCTGAGCAGAGCTACCATTGACGGCAGCTTCCTGGGCGTCACCCATTAGTGCACCCATGCGACCCTCCACGTCCTTGATCTCGCCGGCCTTGCTTTGCTCCTCTAGCAGTAGTCCGTCTGTGGTTTCTGTGATACCGGCACCTTTGCGGTTTGTACCGAATTTGGTAAGCGATTTCTCGTTTTCTTCCATATCTGTAGCCCAGCCTAACTCGCCCTCTTCAAATCGGGCAGCAACGATGGTACCGTCGAGAGCTGTAGCGAAAAGGCACCTGCCGTCGGGACTCCAGGCCAGGTCCGATATTGTCTTGGCGGACATTTCCTGGGCAACAACGATAGGGCGAGCGTTGCTTGTGATCCAGACACTGAGAGATTTATCTGCACCGGCGCAAGCAATGACGGTAATGTGTGGCTGTCCTGAGTGGCCTTCAGGCTGGTTCTTTTTGGGCTTTTCTCTTGAGTAAAGACGAGGCGAGAACGAGCATACTTCGACAGGAGCTTCGTGACCGATGAGGTTGATATCGCCATCCCACGAGCCACGATTTATAATAGCAACCGAGCTAACGGGACCATTGACGGCATTTGCCGCAGCAATGTGCATACCATCCGGTGACCAAGAGCACCGACGGAAGTACGCAGTGAGTGGGGAATTGGCGAAGGGAGTTGTGATAGTCTGTTCAAGGACGAAGTTGTTCATTTGGTCATGAGAACTTGAATTCGGCGCCGGGGAAGTGAAGCGAAAAATGCGAACGGTTCGGTCATCGCTCGCAGTTGCGAAGTACTTGTTCGCTGGGTCGAAACAAATACCCTTGACATGACTCTGGTGCACGGCGATAGTCTTCAATTTCTCGAATGTATGACCAGACCACACCACAACCTTGGAATCCAGACCAACCGAGACGAGAATTGACGAGTCGAACGACCATCCCAAATCCTGCACATCGTTGTCGTGGCCGATCAATCGTCGAATTGTGCGCCAGTTCTCAACTGGTGGTGCCTCGTCCGAGCCTACACATTGTACACGCCGAACTTGTTAGCTTCGCCTGTACCATATCCACTTATCTATTGACAGTCCAGCCACGTTAGGACCTACCGAATGTCGAATGCGTAGGAGGATTTGCATCAAGCGTGTAAACACAAACGATCTTATCATCCGCGCCAGAAACGAGATACTTCCCATTCGGGGAGAAGCGAACGGTATGAATAGTGCCGGAATGATTGCTCATCGAGGCGAGTTGTTTTGGCTTGCTGGCGAATTCGGGGTTGCCAGTATTGTAAATGGACTCTGTGGACCAGATTCGAACGTATCCATCTATTACGCGCACATAGCGAGGCATGGGTTAATTGACTGAATTCACATATTCCCCTCCCCTCTCCGCCTGTCCGCACAGAGAAAGATAGGATGAAAAGAAAATAGAGGGAGAAAAAGGACTCACCACCAGCAGCTGTCACCAGCCTCTTCCCATCTGGCGACACATCACAACTGTAAACCTCGAAGTCTTTCCGTTCACCTGCGCCAAACGAATCCCCAAATTAGCCGAAGCTCCTACAATATATCACGAGAGACGGGACGAATAGAGAGCTGGGCCAGCAAAGAGTCCCAACCCACCTCATATCCAGCGCAGAAACTCCACGTCGAGTCAGACCTACCTCCATGCGTGAGCCAGACAGGCTTGATTATATGCATCGCGCAGCGCTAGCAGCATGCGCCGCTACTCCGAGGGTTGAAATAAATAGGAGGAATATGTGGAATTGGAGGTATAGAGCGAAGGGTTCAGATGGTACGCTGAGTAGAGGATCAGGGGTGTTCGGTTTCGGGGAGAAGGGTTGGTTTGTAGGGCCGATGCGGGATGAGATGAGCGTGCTCGGGCGGAGACAATGAAGGGCGTTAGGAGGGGCGAGATTCAGGTATTTATTGCAGTCGGCATCGCAGAGCTAGAGCTCAGGTTTCGGGCCTGGTATCAAGGCAGGGTCGGAGGAGGTTGTCAAGGGGGAGTAGATGGGAAGTGGTTTAAGGTCGGGGGAGAGCGCGCCCGATAGAAAAGTCGCGATCTCCAGATTGGCGCGTGGCCCGAGCTCCGCGTCTTGCGTCCTTAACGTTTGTGCCAGGGTTATTTATATCTATTCATAGGAATATACTATACTAGTAGGGATATTTGCACATTCGACTTATTTTAGACTTCCAATTGTTCTACAGGCTATCATACAAATGTCCCTTTCGGCTTTCTTTTTCCAGTTTTCCCCAATCTTCCACTCCTCCCCCGCGGTTCCTGTGGTTCCTGCGGTTCCTCCTAGTATGTACACATATCAAGGATAAGACGGACCCATTGGTTCCAAAAAGCTACTCCGTAGCTTCAAACTTAGGCGAAGAATGCTGCAAGACATGGGTTCATGAGAGTGATACAGAGTAAGTTAAAACCGCCGCAAGACCGAGGCATGCTTGGAACAGCGGGTGGGATGCGAAAGCGAACAAAGAGGAGGAGCACACGCCAAAGAAAAGGGGAGATCATTTAGTCACGGTCCTTCTGGGAATTCTCGCGAAATTAGCTTATTGCTTGAACTGGTTGTCGTAGTTGACCTCATTCGTCGCCTGCTCAGAAACGCCATCACGGGCCGCTACCTCCTCGACCTGTGCAGCATCACCGACGGTCTGCTGCGGCGTCGACTGCTCCGCACCAATCGCCTTGGAAGCAATACTCCTAGCCTGGGTCTCGCTAATCTTGCCGTAGACGGACATGGCACTGGCAATCATGCCACCCATATCACCAACGTTGCCCGGCACCACCACGGCCGTACCCTCACGAGCGAGCTTAGAGAAAGCATCGACATACTTCTCGGCAACGCTCAAGCTGACAGCACTGTGGGCGTGCTGCTCTCCGTCACGAATGGCCTTGGCAACGGATTCAATCCCGCGAGCTGTAGCAGAAGCCCGGAGCTCGATGGCTTGCGCCTCACCGGCAGCTTGGTTGATGCGCTCAGCGCGCTCGGCCTCAGAGGCCAAGATGACGGACTGCTTTTGACCCTCGGCGATATTAATGGCACTCTGGCGTTGGCCCTCGGAGTCCAGGATCTCGGCGCGCTTCGATCGCTCGGCGGTGACTTGGCGGTGCATGGCCGAGACAACGGCCTCTGGCGCATGGATATCGCGGATTTCGTAACGGAGGCAGACAACGCCCCACTCTTGTGCGGCTTCGTTGATCGCTTGTGTGATGTTTGTGTTGAGGGTAGCACGCTCCTTCAGGACGTGGTCGAGTGTTAACTGGCCGATCTCGGATCGCATGGTTGTCTGCGCCAGCTGTGAGATAGCGTATTCAGCATCCTCGACTCCATAGCTATAAAATTAGAAAAGATAAAACAGTCAGCGACTAGCCTTGTTGGAGATATCGAGTATCCAATCTGAGCCCATCCTCCCCGGAACAAAACGTACCTTGCTTTGTAGGCGTCAAACACCCGGGTATACAACACACCATCCAGCTCCAAGGTAACATTATCCGCCGTGATGGCATTCTGACTTGGAATTTCAATGGCAGATTCCTTGAGACTCTTAACGTAGGAGATACGGTCGATGAATGGGACCATAATGGCCAGACCTGGCTCCAGGATACGGTCGAATTTACCCATGCGCTCGACGATCCATGCTGTCTGCTGAGGGACGAATCGCACGACGGTGTTTGCGGGGAGAGAGGGGCGGTTATTGAAGTAGGTGGGAGCTCCGTTAGAATTTTGCTGAGGAGCAGCTGCGAAGCCACTGAAGAGGGATTCGGGGGCCAGAGTGTGAGGGGAATTTGACAAGGCTCGTGATTGTGTCGTGGTCACGCATGATGCAGTGGTTGATCGTGGCAGGCGGCCGCGCTGGAGGAGGGTTGAACCGCGAGACCGTAACAGTCTCGACGTCTGACGAGAAGCTCCCTCCATTTTCGGATTCTGGGGTAAAGTGAAGGGGGGAAGATGGGGTGGGGGGAGATGAGGGAGGAGAGAGAGAAGGCGAGAGCTGTCGGAGCGGAACAAGCCAATTGCCAATCGTCTCTACTCCAGTTGGTCCAAGTGTGGCTGCCTCAGGCCAACATGCGGAGTCGGAGTATAAAAGTACACACTTGGTAACTGCTTAGTTTAGGGTACACGAATGAAGGGTTTAAATTATCGCCGAATCATCCACATGGATGCTTTGAATTTCCTTGCGTCCTCGACTAAAAAAGGGAAAAAAAAAACTAAGGGGAAAGAAAGATAATCCAACGAGAACTCAGAACGGCCCGATTTATGCACAAGAGTAACCCAAACTGAAAAGGAAAAAATTGCCCTGTTTACTTTTCAGTTCTCGCTATTAGAGAAAGACGAAAGAGATACAAAAAAATGTAATCGTTATGCGACAGATAACCCTTAACACCTGCGGATCCGAAGTCGTAAGGGGGTTGGATTGTGTTCGTCGATGGAGCAAACACTCGATTGTAACAGAGGACGATAGTAGACATCATACAAGACACTTTTTTTCATTTGTTGGGCTTGACCTTCGCTTTGCTCGGGGTCAAAAGCGCCATCATGCTGAACTCGCTAAGATCCAGCATGCAGAGCCGGCATGTCGGCATCAGCAGGCAGGAATCGATAAGAACAATCGGAAGCAGTCAGGAAAGACGAGCGGTAAAAGAGGCAAAGGCAGGAAATTTGGAAGAAAAGTCACATAAAAAGTTTCTATGGTCAAGAAGGAAGGCAGAATGAAGTGAAAAAGAGAAAAAAAAAATCATTTTTTGGGCCCCGGACACCGCAGAACCAGGCATCGAAACGAAAAAGTGGGGGTGGATATTTTGCCCATGATATCATGCCCGGACTCCTAAACATTTTGGAAGAAAAAAAGACGAAAAATCCCATGATCAAGGTAAGCAGCTGCGTAATACAAACGGCGAGGTGAAGAGAGAAAGGGCGAGAGCGAGGTAGAGATAGGACGACAGACGGGGAAAGCCAAGCCGCTGTTTGTTGCGATGGAAATCAACACTCGGCATTCTAGAAAGAGGGAAAAGGGGGGGAGTGGGCGAGAATGTATGCAAAAACCCTTTGGAACACAACAAGGCTGATCATGATTTGATGGAAGGAGCAAAGGAAAATAATAAAAAAAAGAAAATGGATCCCAGAAAGCGAAAACAAGAAGAGGGAAGAAAAGCAGACGATGAACAGACGATGAACAGAGTCGCGACGAGGAGGGGCGTATTCAATGTGCACGATCTCGCCAGGCCGGTCTTGATTGACGGTCACGGTTGAGGAACATGCCAGTCCTGTCCAGGTTAGACTGCTCCATTTTCCTGCTTCTCATGGCTGTACGAAGGACCTCAGAGACAGCTGCATGGTGCATGAAATGTGAACTTCGAGACAGGCCAACAAGATCCGAGATAACTGGCTCAGGAATAGGATAGTGACTGTAAAGACATCTTTTGTAAAACCACATAAGAGCATTGAAACCATAGTCGACGTGTCGTGTGAAAAAATCATCAAGGGCTGTACGCCGAAATTCATTGTACAATGACAAGTCGAAAGTGCGGGTCAGGTAATCTGACCATGAGTGATAGGGAGGGCCCGTAGGAAGGCCTGGTTTGGGGGGGTCTTTTGTTGGGTCGACCTCCAGATGCATGATTTGATGAGAAATGCTCGGAATAATTGTTGACATTAAGGGACTTTTGGTGGGATTTATTTGCTTTTCCTTTCCACCCCGGGTTGCGGTGTTGGCGGGAAACTGAAGGTGGGCGGATGGTATCATCATCACCAACACTTTCAAGGCTAAGAAATTAAAGTGTTAGTTGGCGTTTCTGCAGCTTTCCTTCCTTATTGGAAAAAGGGTCTCAAGAAATAGACTCGTCATACCTGTTAGCTAACACCGTACGACCAGAGCAAATGGAGGGTGGGATCGTCGGATTTGGATCTAGTCCGCACGCTGCAGGGCTATCGTTAACTTCTGGGTCGATCCATGGGGTAAAATGGGAAGAGCATTCTCGCGGGGGACTCTTGGCGGGGTAGCATTGAGTATCCATGGGGTATCCTACATTCGCAATCTCATTCTGAGGAATTGACGGCTGAAACTCGGGGGCCGCGGAGGACAGCGATTGGGAGCCACGGGGGCCAGTACCGTTAGGCACAAACTGTTGGGCTCCGTTGGGGAGTGCGCCATTGAGACCGTGGGCGTTGAAGGGGACGTTCTCGTCGTTCTTGCCGGAGTGGGCTGCTGGAGCAGCACCTTCGTGCTGGGCAGACGGCTCGCGCTGGTCGTAGGGCAGAATCCACTGGGCCCATCTCTCCCTCGGGCGCAGGCGGTCGACACCATCCTCGCCGGTTTGGTATTCGACGGTTCGGAGCTGGCGAGAGATGTGACGGATGAGCTCGAAGTCCTCGGTGAGAGACTTGACGCGCTTGAAGTTAGCGATGACACCCAGAGGAACAAATCCTTGAGAGTCCATCTGGCGACGCAGGAACATGTCCTTGCACATGTTGTCTACGGAGAAATAGTATTCGAGCTGCATGGACAGCATGTTCATAAGCGTAAATGGCTCCATGTATCCCTGGTAAGGCATAGCGCTCATCGGCGCGGGGTTAACAGCCTGGTAGCCGTACATGGTGTTGATTTCGCCGGGGAAGGGGTAGACATTGTACATGTTTCCGGAGGCAGGGAGGGAAGGAGAGCGCATGGGCATGCGGTTGCCCTGCTGGGATCCGTTGGTCAGGCCATTATGCGATCGCTGGCGGTCGTTAAAGCCGCCGAATGACTTGGGAACAAAGCCGTTGTTGGCAACATTGCCAAACTGAGAGTTCTGACCATTGAAAGAGTTGAAAGGGCCGCGGCCGCCACGGTTGGCACGGCCGCCACGGTTGAACTCGAAGCCAGTAGGGTCGGCTGACTTGGAGCCGGACTCAGCCCGGCGGTCGTTGGCACGAGCAGCGGCTTGAGAATCAACGGCAAGGTTGGGGTTTTTAGAGTTGGCCTGGCCGTTCTTGCCGAACTGCTTCTGGGGACGAGCGACGTTCTCGCCGTTGGTGTGCTTACCATTGGCGTTGGTGTCCTCAGCGGCACGGCCTCCGCGACCACGTTCAGTGGGCTGGGTCTTGCGACCCTCGGTTGTGTTGACATCAGCGCTGGTCGAACGACGCGCCTGGGCGGGAAGCGAGGCTGCGCGGTTGGGGCCAGCCTCGTTTTGACCACGCTCTCCGGTGGCTTGCTTGCCAGCGGATCCTTGTGCAGGCTGTCCAGAGCTAGCCTTTTCACCGGCAGCGTGGGCAGCACCTCGGCCACTTTCGCGACCTCCGCGGGCACCACTTCGGCGGCTCCCTCCGCGACCAGATGGGGGGAGAGGGGTGTTGAACACGGCAGTAGGGACATAGTCCACAGGCATCCACTTCTCCTTGCCGTGGGTGCGCATAACGGGGCTCTTCTCAGACTTCTCAGTCTTGTCGGTCTTCTCTTGAGCCTTCTTCTTCTCTTCATCTAGAGCAACCTCGGGAGTGGGCCATGATGAGGCGTCGGCGACAGCGGGGAGATCGTCACGGCTCTTGCTACCGTCGGACTTCTTGCCGCCCTTTGAACCTTCCGTTGAGGCATCGGCGCCCTTCTTCTTCGAGCCAGACTTGGAGGACTCTTGCTGAATCTCCTCTGCCTTTCCAGAGGCAGCCTTTGTAACAGGCGTAGGCTTGACCTTGGCGTCCTGAGCCTCCTTCCTTTGTTGCCAGATGTTCACACTGGGAAGAGGCGCGGCCTTGAGCTCCTTGGGGGGGAGCAGGCTTTTCAGTCTTGTCGGCCTTTTCGGCCTTCTCAGTCTTCTCGGACTTGTCAGACTTGTCTTTGGGTCCCTCGGAACCATTTTCGGACTTCTCGGCCTTGGCGTCCTGGGACTTCTTCTCTGACGAGGCGTCGGCCTTGCCATTGGTATTTGAGGAATCACTCTCTTTCGACTCCTTTGTGGATCGGACGCTTGGGGATGAGGTTCTTGAGTGGATAGCCTTGGAACGGGTCTTGCTAGTGACGGTGGTGAATTCCTCGTCCTTATTCACGGTCGGCGTGGGCTGCTCGACTTCCTTCGGTGTCTCGTTCTCGGAGGCGGGGGTGACTGATTCTGTCGTAGCATCGTTGCTTGACTCCTCGGTCTTGGTCTCGGTATTTTGCACCTCTGTAGGTGTGGCCTTGGCTGGTACTGGTGATCCAGAGGGGCCCTTGGCGGCTTGCGCGTAGGAAAAAGTGCTCATCTTGACGAATCTGAATAAAACTCGAATGTAGAGTTTCACGTGAAGATGCAAAAAAAGTTCCGGGTTGAAATCACAGGATTACTCTGCTCACAGGCGGAGTTCTGTTTTCCCTTTGGCGATCCTAGAGAATTCGATTAAACGCTGACGCGCGGATCTCCGGAACTGTGGTAAATTGGAAAGAAAGCCTTTGCCTTCTTGCAATCCCACCAAGAAATGCGTTCCCTTCTTTTCGAGGATTATTCCCACGTCGTGTTATATCCGGGGAATTTCGAAGAGGGCAAGACGGGATGAAACTTCTCGCGAGGAAGGTTGTCGGAGCGGCGGATCGCGAGGATGGGAGGAATGTGAGGGTTGGCGATCTAGGCCACAGGTTGCATGTGTAGCTTCGTTGGGTCGCTTGGTCGAGTGATTGTTGGTCTGAAAAGCTCACAGCTAGCAGACGCACAGATCGACTTAAAGACGAGAAGTTAACTCGGGAAAATACCCGGACAATGAAACAGGCGCTGCCTTGTTACTGCCGAAACAATTAAGTTGCGAAAGAAATGAGCTGGGTGGCCCGCACAATCAATCCGCTTGAAAAGTCGCAACCAAAAAAAAATTGAAGTCGGATAATTCCCAGTGTTGTCTGATCCTTCAAGAAGATGTCGACGACCGAATGAGTCCTGCTGGGTAGACAAGGCGAAGTCGTGGTAGGGATATGACGGACGACGAAAAGTCCGGACTGTTGTCGGCAGATGGGTCGATCCTTCGGTGGAAAAAGATATTGTGGGCCGGAGGAAGGCGCCAATTTCTACCACGACTGGTAGTCTCGGAAAAAAGGGAAGGGAAGGAGGAGAGAGAAATCGGGTCCTTTCAGATCTCACTTAGAGAGACGTTCAAGGAGTGCCGAGGAGAGTTTCGGAGAAGCTCTCACTGGAGGGGGGAAAAACACGTTCGCGGAAGGACACACGAGGGGTGTAGGCCACTGCAAGGAAAGCAGGGGACTAGAAAGATCAGTTTGGAGGTTAGAAAAACCGGGGTGGGAAGGAGACGCACGCCGAGAAAGTGAGGTGAGGTGAGGTGAGGGGGAGGAGGGGAGTGGTGAAGATGAGAAGTGCAAAATAATAATTTTTGGTAATCAGGGCCGGCTGTGGTAGCGGGGGTTCTTACGCTGGGTATCGGTATTGCTGTATTATACCTGGGTATACTAGGTATACTACAGAGAACGGCAATAGGACTTCGGTTTTACTACTTTGAATTTGATATCTCTCCCTACTATCCATCTTAACATCGAATATCTTACTCCTCCCCTTCTGGTTCCCACGATGTTGCACGGCCTAAGGTTTTCCACGACGCGTATTAGTCGTACATCTCCATGCTGGGGCATTACCGCCCGTTACACTAGGTACTGCAACACTGCAGAGAAATTCAATATATGAACTGACACATAAAGAAGTGCTTCTCCATTTCTGTGTTTTCATTTTCATTTCTAGGGTTTCTTTCCCCCTTTGTGGTGGAGTTACTGAAGTCGTGAATATCTTGTCGCTAAATGTATACTACCTGGGTACTAACTAACTGAATGGGATCACGGAACTTGAACCCAACAACCGAGCCTCATGAAATATCACAACCAATGGCAGTGCCACTCCACTCCAGTCAAGTTGCGGTTGCAGTTGCAGTTTTCCGCAGGTTCTCTCCAATTTCACCCATTCAGAATCATTCAAGCGGTATACTATATATCCATGGATACAGTATCTCTAAAGGGATATCCTATCACTTATGTCCGGTCCCCTTGTATTGAAGGGACCTAGGTACTACCTAGGTAAATGGCCACCTGAGCAATTGCCAGACTTAATCCCCAATGAAGGGGAGACACACCCACTGTATTGTGTGTCAGACTTTTCTGTCCTAAGCCCTGGACCTTGGGTAAAAGTGGACATGAACGGCACATTTTCATTTTCATTTCCAATTTTTTTCTAATGTCGCGGGGGCTCCACCGGGCGACCCTCTGTTCAAGACCATTGGCTGGGGTCGGGTGCGACAGTATTCAATGTTCTCTTCAGGATATTGAATAGTAAGGTAATAGGCAGTAAGCCAATAGTCCTGGAATGGCAGAAAATCTACAGATATAGTTTGAATTGGTCCATATAAAATGTACCTGTTAAAGCGCCATTATTCGTGAACACTGAAACCCCTTGAGACAAACCGTAAAAGCAGTACAATCCGGCCGGCCTCGGGTACCTGACGAGTGTAATTTATGTACTAACTACGTCCGCCCTGGAGAACCCCATCCCATCCCATCCACTCCTATCCCATCCCTCCGAGTCCGTGCCAATTCGGTGCGACGGAACTTGAATGTGATGGGGCCCTGATGATGCTGGGTCTGTCTCGGGGTTCCCCCTCTGCATTGCCCTCTACTGGCAGGGTTTTTTTGCAGGGTCCCTGGAGATCCCAATGGCCATGCATTGTCATACTAGTACTTCTTGGTAGCGACCAGGCATGTGTTGCTATTAGCACTCCGAGTCTACTCTCAGGCTTGATATTACAATTCTTCAGTCTTCAAGTTGTTGTGACTTTTCTTGATATGTCACTTGCTTCCTCTTTCCGCACCCACAGACTACAGTACTAACTCGGCACCGCGATTAGGGCTGAGGGCACACGGAATCCGTCGGGATGGATGTGGATGTGGGTTCCAATGTAATTGCGTTACAACCGGCCTTTTGCGACGCCGCGGCTGGGCGTCGCGGATGGGCGGGTATCGGTAATACGGCATTTTCTCGGTATCTACAGTCGGGGGTAGTTAGTACTAGTAATTTACTAGAACTAGGACTTGGTCTATCTGTAGATTCAACATGTAGCCATAGCTAATTAGATACTCGATTATACAGTTGCATGAAACTACTAGAAACAGGAGTGGTATCAAGCACAGCGCCCAAGACAATATAACCAACCATAACTCCAAATTTTCCCCAAGAGGTATCACCTCTCTCTCCACCCTAAATCATTATCAGAAAACAATTGATCGCGGCCTCCAAGCTACTATTATGTAGTTACCAGTGTCGCACCGCAACAAGCACCTGCTCTCTCGCGTCCAGCTCAAGCGAGCCAACCGGCCCCGTCACAAACCCCAACCGTGTAAGAACCTGCCAAACCAACTTACGCTTCAAGGTCTCGCGCACGGGGATCTTTTCCATCGCATCGGAACCATTGAAGTATTTCAAAAATAAAGGCCAATATTTCTTCAGCAAAGTCTGCAGATCTTTCGGCGCAATGTCCGGACTCATTCCAACCAGCTGTTGCCCGGGTCCAGGCTTATCCGGGAACCGCGCGACAATCTCGTCCAGCCAACGCGACTCGAGCGGCGATGCGCGGTGCGGCGAGAGGATTAGCGAGGAGAGGCGGAGTGCGGTCGATCGATCGAGGAGTTTATGCGAGGTGCGTAGTTGGGCATGTGGATCGTATCGGCCTGGCATGGGGGTTTCGTCTCCGCTGCCGTGGCTGGCGAGGGAAGATGAGGACGACGAAGATGCGTCGTCGTTACTGTCTGAATCGTCGGTTGCAGTGGAGTTCGAGTTGTTGCTCTTGGAGAGATATCGGTCCACTTCTTCTTTGCGCAGGGCTGTTTCGACGGCTAGTTTGATCTCCGGGGTTACCTTGATCCGCGCGAATGTTCTGAGCTGCGTCACCCAGCCACCGCGGAGCAGCCATGCCAGGATGGTAAAGTATGTCTCCTTGTGGTCTTTGCTTGGGATGAAACTTCCATAAGGGCGGGGTGTGCCACTCAGGGCGGAGAGCATCTTGGGAAGACTGGGTAGAGTTGGGAATGCTGTTTGGTAGGCGATTGTAGCGATTTCTAGTTTGCTCAAGTCGCAATTTGGAGAGACGATGTAAGTATCGCGTTGGTGGATCGGGGGAATGGCTCGGGCACGGCGCCAGTAGACAAGATGACTAGCCAACATCTGGATGGTATGCAGTGGAATCCCCGAGAAGGCGGATATTTGGGCGAAGGATTTAGTTGGCTTCGTACATCGGATATAATGTGCCAGTGCTGGAGCTAGAGTGCCCCCAGAAGCTTCAACATCCTTAATGATTGAGGCTTCGCTGTCTAAGAGAAGCAGGGCGAAGTGCTTAGCCAGAACCTGATGCGGTGCATTGTTCTCATCGGCAGCAGGGTCGTCGACCGGGGTGGCGCTGTCCGCAGTTGTCAGCCAGAGACCTGGATACGCCTTATCCGTAGGCCCAGCAAGGTACGGCGTCGATGTCAATGGTGGAATCTGCAGTGAGATGGAAACATCTGGACTGAGCGAAACAGAAGCAATCTTTGATGCCGAGATGCTTGTATAAACCGTATAGATAGCCCTTGCCAAAGAAGACTGGTTGATCAAGTCCGAGTATAGATTATGGACGGATGTTTCTGGAGAACCATTAGCTTGCGAGTTGACAAAAGGAGAAGAACGGCAGATCTGACTGGATTCTCGTGCTTTTCTTCGAACCTGAAGAATGTGCTGTGATTCCTTCCACACATATCCCGTCCGAGCCTGCTCCCACTTGAGCGCCTTGGCGAACTTCTTGATGATATTCTCATAGATCTCCTTGACGCGCCCAGCATATTCCAGCAACGGCGGATCCATAACAAAAACCACATTAAACATCGTCATATCATCCTTATCTTCCGGGTCATCATCACGATCATCGACAGTCTTCCCGATTTTCGCACTGGCCATCGAGCTCCGCTTAGTATCAGTAGGCGAGACCAGCGAATCCGCAAGCGAAGCAACACTAGCACCCATATCAGGCGAAACAACCCCGTCCTCAACCTGCGCCTCATCCGCATGCTCATTATGACCTAGTTCCCCACCCTCCCACTCAGCACGGGGCTTCTTCTTCTTCTTCCGGCGCTGCTTGCGCCAATTCCCGTCGTCGCGCACAAAGACCGGCCACCCAATCAATGCCAGGTCATTGATGCCTACCTCGTAGCGCCGCTTATGCCACGACCTCGAAGGACTGAGTAACTTCTCCCACACACTCCCCGGTAATCCCAGAAGCGACTCCCACGGCGCACGCGACGAAGACCCAGACCCATCAGGCTGATCCGACGCCCCATCATCCTCCGCATCGGACATTGCCCCTCCACGCTTCCGCGTCGACCCCCGACCAGAACCCAGTGAGCCCGGCCGCTGTGGCTCCATCGTACCCGGCGACGCGGATATCATGCCATGCTCGTCGAGGCCGAAGTTGCTCGGCCTCCTGGCGGGTATGAGGTTTGCGGCGGCATGCGAGCTCCCGCTGAGGTAGTTCGATGAATTCAGGGTGGGGGGGCTGCGTGTCGCGCTCGCGGTCGTCGTCGTCGTCATCGGAGCTGAGACCGCTCTCGTCGCTGGAGCTTGAGTCGGTGTTCTTGGCGCCTTGTCTGCTGCGCGTGCGGGAGATGCGGCGGCCGCCCTTGGTCGTTGTCTTGAGCCGGTTTTCGCTGAGCGGTTTGGGCGGGTAGTGGAAGACGAGTCGGGGGCCAGTGCGTGATCGTACAATTAATATAATCGCTACCAGACATGGGTCTGGTGGGCGGGCGATTGATGACATTATTAGGACATGGGGGGTTGGAGATGTGTAGCTGGTGAGGGTTGGGCGGAGTTCAAAATGGTTTCCCCGCATGCGCGGGCCAATGGGTGGATTGGGTGGTTACCATGTACTTGAGTTGAAAGCTTTTTGGTATATATTAAACATCCCTAGGTAAAAGATACTATAATGATTACTCATTATCGATTATCGAAATGGAATTGAGTGTATTTCATTAATGTACAACGCCTTCAATCAACGCCGTTCAAGTGCAAACTCGCAGTCTGGTGCGGCTGCTCCGGTTTCTACAATATCGTACAAGTCTTCTCTTCGTCCCCAGTTGGAAATCATCCGACTCAGTTTTTAGTCTCCGTCCCTTGTGCTGATTGTGTTTCTGGAGCGCTGCTCTTCTTTTGGTCTTCCTTGAAGATCAACCCAAGATTCTCGAAGTTGTCCGGCGCCATCAAATTCCTGCGAGAAAAGAAACCCATTGTCAGTATCATTCCAGTGGCGGTGTATCAACTGATCACAAGTGTTCTTGACAGTAATATCTGGCTCGAGAATTTGCTCTGTCGCCGCGCCGAGGCTTGGAATCGGAGGCAACGTACTTGTCCATCCGGCACGTAAGGTATTCCTTAGCCAGCTTCCGGCATGCCTCGTCATTGGTGCCCCGATTGGATTTGATGCATTTCAAGTATCCGGAAATGATGTGCTTGCATTCTCCTATAGCAATCGAATGTATTTTAGCCGTGATCAGTTTTCGTCGTGGCGGGGCGATGTGTAGGGGATTAATTGGCGGGTCGGAGGGGATGTATCGCTGCAAACTCACCTTCGTGGTCGAGAGGAAAGCTACCGCGCTCAGGCCTGTCAGGAAGAAATATCCAAATGGTCAGCGAATAAGTTCAACGATAGACGATTGGGGTATCTGCCCATCTCGGGCGAAGCGGAGCGCATTTCCCAAAATTGCGGATATTGACCACCGTTACTCACGGGGTAGGCTTGTAGTTGACTGAACCACCTCCGGGGGCTCCGAAACTCATATTTGTATAGATCAAGAGGTTCGTCTCCTCAAGGAAAAGTAGTGACTGGCTAGGAGCGGAGATGTGTGGAAGACGCAGAAGCCCAGCGGATTGGCGGCGGGAAGCAAACCAAGCAAAGCAGACAAACACCGCCTTGGGCCAACCAGAAGCCCAAATCCAGAGCGATGATGTAGTTCTATATCAGCAACTCGGACTCGGACCTAAATTGTCCAATAATCTCGTTGGAATATCGGAGATACGATTCAAGTATCTTGGATCTGCATGGCTTGTTTGTTTCGCATTTTGCACTCGACTTTGATGTAGTAGGAAGTCCCCGCTTGGACTTGAAGTATATAAGTGCAATCCCCACTGGCAGGTGACATCTGACGCCTTCCGGAACTTGAACTCTTCAACATCACCTGTGGCCTTCTATATCCCCAAGACTCAATTTATTACACCCGATATTGTTACATCGCCACTTGACAAGTTCGAATTCACACCAAACTTGCATCTAACCCGCCAAGGATGCCTATGTACGTTCATCTATCATTCCGCTTTCCCACGGCATCCGCGGACATCAGACTCGGAAGGGTGTCACTGATCGTTGAACAGGAAACTAGACGGAAGCTGCCAATGCGGCGACGTGAGATTCACCCTGCAGTCTAACACCCCTGTTCCATACCAACTATGCGCTTGCAGCATTTGTCGCAAGGTGGGCGGACATATGGGCGCAGTAAATCTGGGTGGAATCGCGGATAGCTTGCGGGTGCTTCAGGGCCAGCATTTGATCAAGTGAGTATTACCACCTGGGTAGTATTCATTTAAAACTCAAACACTCCAGGGCTATACCGAGGAAAATCATATAATTGTGCTAACTTGATCATGTAAACGCAGGAAATACAAGGCGATCAAAGACCGCGGCACCCCGAATGAGGAGCGTTGCTCATCAGAGCGGAACTTCTGCTCCAATTGTAGCACCATGCTGTGGCTATGGGACGCTCACTGGCCTGAACTCATTCACCCTTTTGCTTCGGCCATCGACACTGACTTGCCCGTGCCGGACGAAATGGTTTGTATCATGAATGCCTCGAAGCCTAGTTGGGCGAGATGGCCGGAAGGAAAGAAAGTTGTGTATGATGTTTACAATGGGGGAGTGAGCCTTGAAGGATGGCATAAGGAGCATGGACATTGGGTGGAATAGATTACGCGCTGACAAGCGCGGGCTTAAGTTAAGGAAAGTAACTCGTGCTACGGAAATGAAGAATTACAAAAAGAATTTGCCAAGATAAGAGAAAATTTATTCAAGTATTGCTAGATAAAAATTTCATGGGTATCATAGTACTGCAAAGCTGGTTAGCAATGGATCATTAAGACAATGAGTGGCAACATCAGGAAGATGAGAAGGTAGTCAGTTCTCCAAGGTGAATAATTGTGGTTGTTTCCTCAATGTGAATTCGGTGGTAACAGCAAAAAGTGTTTGTCATCACGGTAGGTGGGGGTGTGGTGTGAAGGGATTTTGAGAGTGCAGTCTTACCATTAATCATGACAAATAGAGTGTTTACTTCATATAGTGAACTCCTAGATTGATCATGCTGGGTCAGCAATGGCATTCAGAAAATAAATGCAAACTGGTGCAATGCAAGATCAAAACATGGCAATTATATCAGGCTGTGACGAGAGTTAGAAACGAGTTCGGCTCAATGGCAGGAAAGAAAAGACACATACCTCATTAAATCAGAATTTTGTGTTTAATGTTCATTCCCGGCACGAAGTGCCAGGTCAAACAGTGTGAATAAAAGTTCATCATAAAATATTTGCCATGTGGATGTTGTGTGGTGATGCGAGAACAAGAAAGAATGTGTTTACCTATAAGCACTTTATTAGACAAATCATTCCGGACAGAAATATTGTGTGGACGCCAGTAAGAAGTGCATATGGGCAAAGGATCAGGTGACGAGTTCTCAACAAGTATTCCACTTTCCATACGTCCCAGAGTTTGTACGCTCTGTTTTGATGTCCGCAGGTTGGTGGATACGTTATGTCCGCCCGTTCGTTCAAATTATCTTCATGTAAAGGCATAGAGGCCGGGCAAGGAAGAGATTGATAGGAAGATTTGATATGTACCTATCCAAGTAACTTTGTTAGCAATGGATTCATCAAAATGGCCGATGTAAAATGGTAGGCAAAATTGAGTCTTTGTCAGACAAGGCTGAAACTTAATAGTATGACAGATTCCACATGATAACTTAAGATTGAGGAATGCCTTTGCATGTCTTTATGATCATCATCCAAAGGGGGGAGGGCAGAGGGGGGAGTGTTGCGAAGCGCAATGTGTGAGGATTCCTTACCTTTTGAATTTTATAATAAAGAGGAAGAGATAGGAACAGCCATCATTAAACTGTTCCTTGAGTCTCCAAGAGAGTGTCGAAAGGGAGCTTGAGGAGCTTGGAGCTCTAAGCTCAACGCGAAGCTTAGAAAAAAAAAGTTTCGCGAGCACGGGAGAGAAGAAAAAAATTGTGAGCAGAAAATCCCGTTATAAATTGCGGTACGGCGGGCGGGAAAAGCTCAATGCGCAGTTTTGGCCAAAGCCGAGCAAACCGGGCAAACCGGACAAACCGGACAAACACCCCAGAATGGCTTGTTCTTCGTCACTCTCTCTCATTCTCTCACTCATTCAACATCATTCACGTTATCTTCTGATTATTTTCTCATGTAAAGATATATGACCGTGCATGCCGGTACCTCCAGAAAATATGTTGACGCAGCTATGTCAACTGACTGCTTCTGGGCCCTTTGATTTTGTTCACAGCTCTCGCTTTCCAAAAGGGTTGATTTGATCATCCCAACACCGAACATACCAATTTGATCGTAAATCGTGCTCGGCATTCCAAGGTTACAATGGAAAACTTGCAGAATTTGATTTCTATTGTAAAAAGCTACAGATGCTGTCTTCCCAAGGTTTCTGGAGAGGCATGGTTGGTGACAAAGGCAGTTCAGTTGGAAGACAAAGCCCATGTATAGACCGAGAATTCGAGATAAATTAGTTAGATCTGACGGAGTGTTCCGAGGACCTGAATAATCTTACAAACACAGTAATAATTACAGTAGATCGGTATCAGCAATTGATGGGCTGATGCAGTCAGCCTCGGCGGTCTCGGCGTTGCAGATAAATGCAATGTTCAGCTTCTCCACCCGCTTTCTTCCTCACCATTCCCCACCCAACGACAAAGATTCAAGTGCAATATGACTATCAAACGTATATTCGATGTGGTGGTAGTCGGTGCAGGCCTCAGTGGTCTCCAAGCAGCCCATGTGGTCAAATCAGCAGGGCTGACCGTTTGCGTTCTGGAGGCCACCGAGCGGGTGGGTGGAAAGACGCTTACAATGAGATCAACCGAGAGAGGTTTCAACGATTTAGGCGCAGCGTGGATAAATGATACAACCCAGAGTGAAATGTTCAAGTTATACAAACGATATGGCATGGACGCAGAGGTTCAACGTGCCTGTGGCTATGATGTCATCCAGCTGGCCGACGGATCTGCCATAAAGACCCCGTATGGCCAGATTCCGGTCTGTTCATTTCCCGCGCTAATGATATTCTCGTTGCTGATGCAGATTTAGGGCGATGCGAAATTGCTCCAAGAAATGTTGCAGCTACTTCGGACAGAATCGTCCAAAGTCAATTTGAACAGTCCCTGTGATTCCGACGGTGCCAGGGAAATCGATAAGTTGACATTTGGACAATTCTGTGTCCAAAGAACGAACAATACGGAAGCAACTGGATACGCAGATACTCTCTGCGCGGAATTACTCGGTGTGGAGAGCAATGAAGTTAGCGCACTATACATGCTCCATTACTTCAAATGCGCTACCGGCATCGATAATATAATATCGGACGAAAAAGATGGAGGTCAATACTTGAGAAATAGACAAGGTATGATTGACTAAATCATAGTACATATAATCATAGAGCTGACGAGCTAGGAAACCAAACAATCTCGAAGAAATTAGCCGAAGAGCTTGATTCAAATACCGTAAAGCTACGAACACCGGTTGTTTCGATTGACCAGTCTCAAAAGGACAAATGTGTAATTCTCACAGGAACTGGAGAATCAATTTACTGCCGCAAGGTTATCATCTCCATTCCAACGACATTATATCACACAATATCCTTCGATCCACCATTGCCTGCAACGAAAACCACCTTAAGCGATAATGCAGTAATGGGATACTACAGTAAGATGGTATTCGTCTTTAAAGAGCCCTGGTGGCGCAAAGCCGGGTTTTCAGGTGTCTTGAATACTGAAACGGGGCCGATTCGTTTTACCAGAGATACGAGCATCCCCGCAGATGACCAGTGGTCAATTACCTGCTTTATCGTTGGGGAGCGTGGCAGGACGTGGTCGAAGCTTTCCAGATCTGCTCGCTATAATCAGGCATGGGAGCAACTTAGTCAATCCTTTGGAAAACTTGTTCACGATGTCCCTTTCCCGTCAAATCACTTGGAGATGGAGTGGTCGAAGCAAGCATTCTTCCTTGGTGCCCCTTGCCCAGTCATGACGCCAGGAACACTCACGAGCGTGGGAGAGAACCTCACCCGGCCATTTAAGAATGTCCATTTTGTGGGAACTGAAACTGCTACTGTTTGGCGAGGATACATGGAGGGTGCCGTCCGTTCTGGCCAGCGGGGAGGTGCTGAAGTTGTGAAAGCTTTGTGCGAAATTTGAGAACCCAGGATAAAATACGGTGTTCACCAGGAAAAAGAACCCGAAATTCAACATCTTCGCTAATAAAATGTATTGATTAAAAAACTTTGAATGGAAATTTATTCTTTCTCCATATGAAATCATGTGCGGTTTACCATGTCCTTTACGGTGTCGCCGAATCCTACCATGCAGATCGTAGCCCACGCCGCAACTCCAATGCGGGGTACTACCCCACGAAACAAGCCCTTGAAGCCAGAGGTTGCAAGAACGTGTTTGAAAGTGGATACAATTGTCGGAGATGCCGGGCGTGTGGGGTCGCTTTTCATTGATTGCATTTCCACTCGAAGGACCTATGTGTTTAGTTAGCTATCACGATGCCATATCCATCACTGTATATATGAGCTCACTTCGAATGGCTGGTTCCAACAACTAAGTGCACCGCCAATGGTTGATGCCAAGATCTTCTCGCCAAATCTGAGCTTTTCGTTCTTGTCCTTCCCATTTACAGACCGTATGGTTTCTTCGGCAAAACGGGAGATGCCAATCCTGGACGACCAACCAGTGACTTGCCGCAAGGCGACGGCATTGACACCCTTGTTCACACCTCGAATTCCCTTTTCGCGCAGAATATGCAAGAAGGTATCCATTGTTCCAGGAACCTTGGCGCCTTCAGCAGCAATTTTGGTTCGGGTTACTTCGACCGTCTTCATGCATGTTGTCATTCCCATAGTGAGATAAGACTGCGCGATGCCTCCACTAATACCACCCAAGACACCACATAGTGTTGGAGAGGAATTCAACTTTGTGCGAGCTTGATGCTCGACCTCTGTTGATACTAGCACCAGAATAGCACCTTTAGTGGAAGCTTCCAGCCACGCCTGAAATGCTCGCGATTAGGGTTGCCTGATGTGCACAATAAGGAAGAGACACATACCCAGGGAATAAGCCCTTGGTAGAAAGCCGGCACATATCCGCGAGCCCAAGTCTTTTGAACTGCTTGTCTTAAAGTGTCTTTTCGATTCGCTGCTAGCTAGAGTAGTTCAAATCGTCAGATGAATTGCCTGGGCCCACTATTATACAAAGACACACACATGAGTCTTGAGAACTTCCATCGGTTGTCCAAGAGTAGTGACTGCTTTAATTAGAAAAAGATCAGGCTGCCAATAAAATCACATATGGTAAACTTGCCTTGGAAGATGTTCATAACCGCCCCGACCGCCAAGTTCTTGTACGGGATTGGCCGCTTCTGCTCAACAGCATCTTGTAAGCCTAGGGCACCATTAACTGCCAACTGTGCCATTTTCAGAATGTGAAGCTCCGTTTGGATTTGTGTCGCTAGCAAGATATAAATGACCTAGCTGACTTAGGTACTAATTCAAGAGGGCAGTGGGGCTCTTCATCGGATACATCCGAAATTTTGGGATGTCCGCGATCGGCCAACTGCTTCGGATTTGCCGATGGGCCAACGTTTACACATTCAAATGCTCACTGATTATCTCGCGGACCCATTATCTGACCTTGGAAGTTATCCGATATCCCCGAAATGGCTCGGTTTCAGAAGATTAGTCTTCCGAGCTTTGTTATATCACAACCAAGTCGGTTAGCTACTACTCATGCTCCAAGATTTGAAAGTACATTCCTACACATTGGCGATAAAATGGCAACTCGAACAAGCACTGGCAGCTTCCATGAAAACGACTCAAATAACCAGTCAGTTTATACAATCTCACACTGTGTCACATCTAGTTGTTCTAGGTCATCAATTCCTCCCAGAGCAATCGACACCCATGTACATGTCTTTGACCCAAAGTTGGGGCCGTATGCACCCGGAAGGGCATACACACCCGAGGATGCACCGCTGGAGGAATTAATAGCGTTCAACCAGAATTTATCGAAAATTTTTGAAAATAGCACCTTGGTGCTAGTCCAGCCTTCTCCGTACGAGAATGACTGTTCAGTCATGATGCAATGCTTGCAGCGACTAGAAGATCAAAATATCGACGCTTTTGGTATCGTTGTGCTCGATCTTGATAATGTTACCGACGCAGAACTGGCAACCATGCATACGATTGGTGTGCGAGGTATTCGTTTGAACCTACAGGCAGATGGCAAAGAAGTCAATATTGACAAATTGGTATTCGCTTTGCAAAAAACTGCGGACCGCATTTGTCACTTGCCTGGCTGGATCATCCAACTGTTCGTCCCAGGGTGGTCATGGGACCGTGAGTTTCAATCATTCTTTTTTATATAAAAAGACCCAGCGAAAGAAAAAGTATACTGACTCGAAACAGATCTCTATCAGACTATTCTTGATCTCCCCGTTCCGGTGATTGCAGACCACCTTGGGGGCATGCTTGGCCCATCCAAGTTGCCTTCTTCTTTGCAGTCATCTTCGACATTACAACCCGGTTTCAAATCATTACTATTGCTAGCAAAGCAGTCCTGTGTATATGTGAAGATCTCAGGGCTATATCGCATGTCAAATGAGATTTCGTCGAACTTTAGCGATCTGGAGCTCATCGTTCGGACCTTCTCCCAGGAAATTCCCGATCAGGTCATTTGGGGAAGTGACTGGCCACACACCGGAGAAGGAAAGAATAGGTCAAAGGAGAAGTTGGAACAAAAAGAGGCATTTAGAGTCATTGATAATCATGTTATTATGAAACAATTACAGCGTTGGATGGGCAGTGATGTCTATAGAAAAATGTTAGTGGACAATCCGAGTTGCCTCTATACCTAGGTGCTCTAGAGGGACTGGGCTTTGGTCTGGAAAGTGTTTCTACCGTTGAAAGGATTCGGGGCGAATGGTCAGGTTTGATAGGGATGTGTGGTGAGGGAAAACGGGCGGAGAGCAGGGCGCAGCTTCGATACCCTCCCGCCGCATGCCGCCTACGGTGGCTAGAGTATTACGACGGCGAATTGGGGCACTAAACCCCGAAAGGAAAAAAATCTAGTAATTCACAAGTTCACCGTTTGAAACTAAAAATGTCCACAACTCCAACTCTCCGCATTCCCAAGCAAAGCCATTCCGATCACACGAAGTTAAAGGAAGCAGTCCGTCGCCGCCCAAATACCGGTAGTCGGACAAAGCGTGCAGGCTAAACTCGGCCGAATTTTCGAATGGCTGGACTTTGATTATTGAGACACGTCAACCGCAAAGTGAGTGAAAGGTTTCCTCAAGGAGGTCAAAGGCGCTGAGAGGTGTCGGTACATCACTTTTACTTGCACTTGCTCCACGGAAACTCCACAGAGGCTGTGGATTATCATCGGTAAGACCTCAAATCCAGACGATCTTGAAAGAAGCCGATAAAGGGATATACCAACAGGATGGGCATCGGAATTGCAGCGAAACAACTTCCAAAGAGCAGACACAATTGCCAGCAACGAAAATAAATTTCTCTACCAAGAAAGCGATGAAATCCACACTATTTATCGAGCCGACTGTTGCATTGGAAAAAGGATCATAGTCCCATGGGATCCCTACTCTGAAAGAATACACGAAATCTGGATAGTTTATTTTCCTATCCAATCTCTGGGGGCTGAAAAAAAGAGGGAGTGTCAATTGCCAATTTTGAAGAATTTTTTTGACAGAAATGAAGAGACTTCCAACCCTACATCCGGAATTCTCAGTCAACATATAGCATGGCTACCTGAAGAGGTTATCTACCAGGGAGTAAAATGTCAACGCCTCACGTGGTTTGTGGAGTGGAAATCGAAGAAGACCGAAGAGTTCTAAGAGACCACTGCACAATGAGGATGAAAGGGGACTGGTAAAGCCAGGAAGCCAAAACTGATGGTGAACAATTTCATTGATGAATTGAAGAGCCTTAGGATGGTTGGGTACAAGACGTGGCATGCTAACTTTGAGGAAATTAAAGACTGGGAGCTCAATGTTTAGTGCTTTCAAGTGAGACTCGTCCATATGGCATCAATTAATTATTTGCATTTCACACTCGCTGATGGGGTGATGGTGTGACTGGTACGTCCATAGATGACAGAGGGAAATTAAGGTTGCCCAGTCCCACCTTGTCTGTTGCGCACTAATCCTAATCTTGTCAATAACAAAGCATTCTCTGCCTGGGCAGGATATATTCCCTTTTCCAGCCTTTTCTGATACATACGACCATAGGGTGTGGAGAACAGGGCTTCCCGTCCGCTCAGCCGTACTTAAGCCACATACTAAACGCAGTCAATAGCCAAAGAGCCCTGGATCTTAAATTAGCGTCATTTTCTGTGTTAGGGTGAGTGCGGGTGATAGGGGTGAGAATTCTGGAGACTGGGGTGAGAGAGGTGAGAACGGGGTGAGAGCGGGTGAGAACAGGGTGAGAGGGGTGAGAATACCCACTGTGGTGCGTTGCGTTCTCCCAATCTGCTGCAATGGTAGAAAAGAAACGCCTGAGGGCGCAAGTTCAGTCTGCCATTCCTGAATTCATTTTTCCTCAGCTACTCGACCGAAGATGCACCCAGAAGAGATACAAAAGAAGCTGGACGAGAGGAAGGCACGTGCCGCGTCACGTGGTTTCACCCACGAGTATCAGAACGCGCGGGAACAAGTGGTCAATACTATCTGCCATAAGCAACTCGCTCCAGCTACGCTCCGCAACTATGAGAACACAGTGTTAAACTGGGCACTGTAGGTAATCAATATATCATCTTAGATCGTTGAGGCTTATCAATATGCGACAGATGGAGACTTTCTCGTAATGAAGCGACAAACGCCAACTTCTCCAAAGAGGAGCCCGATCCCACCCCGCAGCTGTTGAAATCCTTTGCAGAAGACTACATTGCCACAAGGAAAAAATTGCCCTCACAGAAATCTGCATGTCTGAACTTCATCAATTTCACGTCGAGGTGGGAGCGAGAAACTTCTCGCTCTCTACCGGGCCCAGTTAAGGAAGATGTTCTCAACGTAAGGCAGGTATAAAAGATCGCACAAGGTATTCGCTGACCATTTTTAGTACATCAGGCAGGACCTGACTGTCAAGTATAAGCTTACAACAAAGCCGCGGGAACGATACATGGTTACAGCTAAGGATATAGACTACCTTCTTCGTGGCCTATTCGGGGACGATTGGCATGACTATAGACACGAGCGGGCTCGGGTTCAAACAGGCAGCGCCCTCGCAATTTTCGCTGGCTCAGGCTCGAGAGCGGGCGCTGTCGTGGAGTCAAGTGACTATCGTGATACCAACGAGTGTCTTTATTACAGGGTTTGTTTGGATCTTACCCCCCCCCTTCCTTTCCTGTTTCTTTCCCAACTTAGAACTGCCAAACTGATGGAGAATTGATAGCACCTCACTTTTAACATGAAATGGAGCTCGAAAGATGGTGAGCTCAAACGTTGGGTGACGATTGATCCTCAGTTCCTGAAAGGAAAGCGTTATAAAGACGACGGATCTTTGTAAGATTCCTAACTCTTCCAATTCTCGATGACTAACCTAATATTTGAAGACCCAAGAATTGGTTCAGGGAAAACCCGATCCTCGGATTCAACTTTGTGTTCTGGGTCATAGTGCATGGCGTCGCCGATGGTGCCTTCAAGGGACTCAGGACGGCAGAAGAAGTTCTGGCAGTAAGACCCCCGAAAGGAAGGGAATCGTATACACTTGAATGGGATGAGGGGAAAAGAGGACTCCCTTTTTTTAGGATGGTAACCCCGGATGGTCCCCTTCCCACAAGGGCATTGACATTCTCCTCTCTGCGGCATAATTTTACGAGCCTGGCTCAGCGAGAGTGCTTCAAAGACCAGCTGCGTGTGCATGGAATTCGTGCGAATGTTGCGAATTGCATCGATCGTAAGTGCTTTCTACTTGAATTCTACCACCCCTTACTGATGCCATTCAGCCAAGGCTTCGGAAGCCACTCGTGGCCAGGCCCTCGACCATCAGAATCATGATACCTACATCAAATACCAATCTGTGCTAAAGTCATTGGATATTCAGGCCCTTGTCTATGACTTGGAGCCAGATTATGAATGCCGAAACATGGAGCAAAGTATGGCTCACCATCGAGACCCCAATGCCCCAATGAAACTGGACGCAGCTTCTATCGACGTATTCGAGAATACAGACGAAATCAAAATGATAAATGAGAAAATCCATCTCTTGACGTCTCAGATGTCGGGTCAGCCTCTAATGCATCCTGATCTTGATGCTGAGCGCACAAGTCTCTACAGCAAGAAATCAAAGCTGCGCCTAGCTTGGAAAAAGAATTTTATACAAGAATGGTGGCACTCTGCCTACGACGAATACATATCTGGAAATGAATTCACCGAGCGTGATAAAACATCCCTATTTCAGATATTCAAGAAATACCTCCCAGAGCGCGCAAGGCTTCGAGAAGCACTTTTTAAAGAGGCTACATTGGATAGCGTCATCGGGCGACAATGCCTGGATGATATGGTCAAACTCTGTATATCCACGGAGCGCGTGGTATACTATCCAGGACTCTATCCAGTGGAGAATTGCTGTCCATTCTGCTCCATGCCTATTCTAGAGTAAGTCTTTGCCATCAGTTTCTACGCTGTCGTACTAACTAATAATCGTAGTATTGCAATGCAAAGGCGAGCGAAACACATCCTACAGTGTCAAAGACAATCTTTGGGTGGCTCACCGTACCAACAGCGCTATGGCAATGGGAAGCGTGCACATCGGCGGGTACAGCGTAATTTTGTTCAATTCTGCTATCTTTGTGCAAATATCTGCTGCGGTGAAGGAGAGTGGAAGACCCATTGTCAAACACATCTGAATGAACTACATCCTCGATGTGGTATTTTAACGCTCCGTTATACCCTTGTTGCACCTGGCTTCTGTCCATTCTGCTTGGGCGATGAAGGGAAAGAACCGGATGAGAGGTTTCAACAATGGCTGGTCAAGTCAACACTTCTCAATCACATCGACAGCCATTTTGAGGCTTTGAAAGCTTCAACTACATTCATCTGTCCACATCCATGCTGCCAGGAAAGGGATTATCATGACACCTCGGGCCTTCGTCGCCATTTCTTCGACGCCCACTCCATTGAAGAGCCTCGTTCCAATTGTATCAAACGAAAAAGGAAGTGGCAGGAGGAACCGGAACTCGATCTTGAAATCAAGGATTCCCAGACTAGTTACGTTCCTGCAGATAGCCAAACATCTTCCATACCAGAGGAGAGTGATGGCCTACAGAGCTTTGAAGACACAAGCATGTTTGACATGGAAGAACTCATGGAGGAGTTTACGCATTACAATAATCATCAGGTACATCGTGAAGAGAAAGAAGCCTGCGCATGAAAACACGAACTGATTACAGAATCCGTATCTAAACTGTACGAAGAGCCTTTCCATCTGGAGTTGAGACTAAATCAAATGTCGCTCTTTCTGCCTTACCAGTTGACAGCCGCAGTATACGAGCAGACTAGTGCTATCTCGATGCCGAGAAGTGCATAATTTGCTCTGTTTGAATATCAAGCAAATTTGGGATCACGGCCACTGAAGCGATGGCTGCCACGGAAAGCAGCGAAGACAGGAACATGCAGAGGTGCATGCTTGCGAAGTAGTTGAATAGTAACGGACTGACTGCGGCAAGGCGAAAAGGAAATTCGGCAGCTCGAAGGTCGCTTTACCGCGCTGTTCTGTCTAGGTGATGGATCTTCAGTGGGCGAATGTAAAGCCGGGGGAAGGGCGGCCAGTGGAAGGAGAAATCCAGTGAGCCTAGTGTAGTCAAAACCCGTTCGCATGGACGGGTCTTGTATACCTTAAGGTTATTGCCGAGACCACCGGAGATAGGGACATTCTCTGAATCATCCCGGCTTCTGGCAGGATTTCGCCCCTCTCGGCATTGCTTGGCATTTGAGTCAAACAAATGGATGACACTCGGCTTGTCATTGGCGGGTCCAGTCGATGTGAGTATCAATTTGGCTCATCCCTATATTCGCACTATGGAAAGCTGTTAGCTCGGAAGGAGGAACATAGAAGCATGCATTGACTGCGTAACTAAGAGAAGACACGAAAAGAGAGAGGTGAAGCAGGCGTGAGGGAATGGCGGGCAGAGCGCGGCGAGGAAGCGAAGCTAGCCGGATGGGGAAACCGCATGGATCCGCCAGTCGAGAATGCACAAGGGGGTTGCAACCGGTGATCTTTCGGACTCACCCTAAAGTCCCTTTTGCAGCTGCCAGTGGGCATACGAAGACTCAGTATGAAAGGGATCGATCCACCCTCAATCGCTTGGCTGCAATTTGATGACAATTGTTTCCTGATTGGCCCGTAAATGTGGGGAGCGCGATTTGATGACAAATTTTGTATGATTGGTCGATAGTGTGGCGAATCCATAATAGCCTGCGCCTCAGGCTGTTGGTACTACTAAGTAACTATTAGCCAGCAGTAGTAAATGCATTGACTGGATACCCAGCAAATGCCTACTGAAAATCTGATCGTTAAAATTACAGCATCGATGGAACCACAGACAGATGACTCGAGCTACCTTGGTATTGGTACGCAAGGTCAAGAGAGCGACGATCCCAGACTCGCTCATGAAGGATGCGTCTTTTCTCTTCGACGGCGTGGTAGCTTGCCACCTAGTCTCACCATTTCCCTTTACGGGGCCTCCACGTCTTGCCCTAGATGGAATTGAAAGAGCCCGAAGTTTAGCCGAATTACCTGTATTCGAGCCCATGGTAGCATTTCTCGATCTGAACTGTCTCAAGGCAACCATATGTGCAAATGAGACCCTGAGTTTACGCCGCCACTGAGGCTTGGGCATATGACGCGTAAATATTAAGGCCCCCTCGGGCCCAGCCGCTTTACACCAGGAAGCTTTGTCTCCATGAAGTATGGGATTGAGATCATCCTCGGCACTGCTTGGCAAATGGAGAGTGTTGCATCTGCAGTAGGACCGGTATTCCAAACCTGGAAGATGTGGTAATCCTTTCTTGCAAGGCTCGATCGGCGAGGGGATATCCAGTTTGGAGCTGGTCCTGCCGAAATGCATTATAAATGCGAGCTATTTCCTGCATCAGACAAAATAGTTTTCATCCTGGTATTCACTCATATATCTTAGTGACACCTTCATATAATGATCCGACTTTTAGCTCCCCTGGCGTGTCTGGTTGCTACGGGATATGCCACCGCACCTGTACTCGAAAGAGCCAACGGCCCGTCGACACAGGCCGTGACTAACAACTGCAAACAAGCTGCACGTCCCGCCTAATGCCATTGTTTTCGCCCATTACTGACATGCTTCCAGTGCTCTCAGCTTTCCTCAGCTTTCGGATCCGCTTTCCACTGGCCGCAAAATGACAACTTCACGATCTGGGACGCGAAGCAGCAAGAAGTTCACCCGGTTTGTCGGGTTGAACCGTCGTCGGCCAACGATGTTGCCGAAATACTCGATACTCTCGTGTCTCACTGGTGCTACTTTTCAGTGAAAGGAGGGGGTCACTCCAGAAACCCGGGAGATTCCAACTCAGTCGGTGGAGTGACTATCGATCTCAATCGTCTGAGCGGTGTCGAGATCCTTCAAGGGGATACCAGGGCGCGTGTAGGTGGTGGCGCGACTACAATCCAAGTTTACGAGGCTCTGGAATCTCGGAATTTATCTTTCGTTGGCGGTAGAGTTGGCAGTGTCGGCATGGGTGGTTTCACCCTTGGTGGAGGAACGTCGCCTTTCTCTAACAAGTACGGATGGTCATTAGACAACGTTTACGAGTATGAGGTGCGTAGTACTTTCAATCGGCCATTCATTATTTAACCACTGACATGCCAGCCTAGGTTGTCCTCTCTAATGGAACGATCACGACCGCTTCAGAGAAGCGCAATCCTGACCTCTATTTTGCCCTCCGTGGCGGCGGAAATAACTTCGGAATTGTCACAGCCTTCACTGTTCGAACTTTCTCCCAAGGCCCTGTCTTTACCAGCATGACAACATATAGTGCGAATCAGTCAAACCAAGTTCTCGACAAAGTCTACGACTTATACACAGACAAAAGCCTCAGCAGTGATATGGAAATGGGATACGATCTTTACTATTCATACAGCTCTGAAAGTGACCAGTTCACACTGAGTGGCACCCAGCGATACGGGAAACCGGTCTGGAATCCGCCCGTATTTGCAGCTATTAATCGCATCCCCACGCTGAGTAGAAACACGAACATTGGTCGCATGAGCGAAGCTGTTGACGGGACCGATTCGATGGGAACTACACGGTATGCTCTGTCAGAAAGAGTTCCAACCTGAGATGCAGTGTACTCAATTTTATTTGCAGACACCTTTTTGCTACGCTAAGTGTGGCTCCATCGCGCTCATTATTGTCGAAGGGCCTCAAGATCTTTCAAGAGGAGGTGGAAGCCATTAAGCATGTCCCTGGCTTGGTTCCCAGCTTCATTTCCTACCCGCTGCAGAGGAACGCTATCAAGGCTATGAAACAGCGAGGTGGAAATGCATTGGGGATCGACCGAGACGAACCTCTTTTTTGTACGTCATACTCTATATCCTAAGGTTGAGTTTCCCCTGCATTTGTACTGATCCATCTGAAAGTGATTCTTATCTCGACGGCATGGACAAAAAGTACCAACGACGCCGACGTTAATCGGATGACGGCCAACACCATTGAGAGACTCAATACCACTGCTAATAATTTGGGGGTTGCAAGCCGATATAAGTATATCAACTACGCATCGGCGGCGCAGGCCGGCACGGTATTTCTTGGGTATGGTGATGAGAATTTGCAGAGGCTGCGAGGAATCCAGAAGGCGGTTGATCCCCGGGGAATATTCACATCCAAAGGCTTGTGGCGTGGATTTGTCAAATTGCTCTGATCCGATTATCCATATCAATGTCTTGTTCACATATCTGTTGATGTCAGTACATGAGTCGGCTCCCAGAGCCAGGCTTGGCGACTCTTGGTTATAAATTTCAGCTGCGCCATGGCTTTGTAATAAGCCATCGCGAATGATCAATGTGCAACTTATTCCTATCGCATTTAAATCCACAGTAAATTCAACGAACGGAGCTTTTCTACTAGTATACAAAATCAGGGCCAGACTCCTTGAGGATCATCCCTGTCGGGCGGCTTGTCCTCACTTGACACTGTTCTCGTCGACACCCACACTGTACATAGTTCCAGGACTGTCCGACAACTAGCGAGTCGCGCAACTCTGACGTTGTTTAGAAGCCAATCTTTCATTCCAATAATTTTTATGCATTTTATACTATGAATATACAGCCCCAGCACTCTTAAGGATGATATTCGGAAGGCACGGGATCTGGTGCTCGCAAATGGCCTTGATTTGAACCAGATCCGCATTGACCAGGACCCAGACTTCTTTATTAAACAATGCGTCAAAATGGGGGTGGCACGCCGGTTCGTTTGTGAGATCACCGAATGGGTGAGAAGTTTGAAACTAGTGGTCACGGAGATAACTAGAAGTGTCTTATCGGAGAAATAGCTATACGGTAGATGTGATGAATGAAGATGGTCAGTCTATTCCTATTTATTTCGATTCGTAGGAGAACTGAGTAAACTGAAGGGAGTTTTCCTCAAGTTTCACGGCCCATCGATGTGGACACCGGCATGCCTAAAGTGACCCCTCGCACTTTGCTCTCTTGCTCCCAGTCGTTCAACACATCACTCCAGAAAATTATCAAAGCCCTGTTCAGGATTGTCTTGGTAGTATCCTCAATGCTTCCCAATAAAGGATTTGAGTTCAGAGAAAACTCCCCGATGGGATTCAAATCAGGCTCCAAATTATCTATCGTATCTGTTAAAATTTTCGGTATTAGGCAAATACATCAGTTCTACCCCCGCGTCCGAGCACAGTTGTTCTAAATGTTCAGAATGATGGAAAGAGGCGTTATCCATCATCAGAACAGACCTGGGCTATGGCCATTTCCCACAGTGTTGAAGAAGCTCCTCACTAAAGTCCTCAAAAACCGACGTATCTGTTGAGCCTCGGAATATCCGTGACAGAATAATGCCATCTCCGGAGTATGCTGGCAAGATCTGGTATCGTTGGTCGCGGTGGAATTTGGAGACCCGGATCGGTGTAGTGCCGAGCGGTGACCAACCTGTTTTTCGGAAGCCATCCGTTTATCGCAGCCAGACTCGCCAAGATATACTAGATGGTGCGACCGAAATTCGGATAGGTTGTTGAGATATGAATCCCGCAGATCCTTTTTTGCTGTCTCGTCCTCTGACGAGTCGCCTTCTTTGACCAATTGCTCGAGATTAGCGCTCGCCTTACGCTAGCAGTCGTTGCCTGTGTGCCAAACTCATCCCAAGAAAAACCGCATCTCATCGGCTTCTCCGCTAAGTGGTCAGAAAGAGCTTCCAGCATCGGGGTTATGAGACAGTACTTCATGGTCTGCCTGCTCGAATGGGAAGCGCTCGAGTGTCACCGAACTGTCGCATGTTACTGCGGATCATAGTGAAAGAACGTGGGCTACATCCAGCGGCATCAGAAATCTGAGTTATGGTTAGAGGTTCGCTTGGGGTCATGACGAACTCTCGCGTGGAAGATGGCAGAGTCGGTGCCATCGTGCCTTGGTATCTTAGCCTTAGTAGGATAGTAGGGACAAGGTGGTCGGAGGTGCAACTGTGGGAGGGACGAATTTGGCAGAAAACGTATTCATTATTACAGTAACTTTGGCGTATTAACCTTGCCAGATATCTTACTGTGCCCTGAAACGAACGAAGTGAGAGAAAGGGATTCTCCGCGGGCGGGGATACCCCTGTTCCCTAGAACTTTATTGCCCTGAAACGAGGAACGAGTGAAAGGGGTTCTTTCGGCCACGGGTATACACGTGAGGAACGTGGCTGCAGCAGCGAAAGCTGGCCTACCAAACTGGTACCTTTGCTTGCGTCTGATTTGCTCATTCTAAGGCGATTCCTCGCTTCTCGTTGGTTGCCGACTTTGTTTCCTTATTGGTCTCATTGTCCAACTTCTTAGCTTTGCAATTGGTCTTCAGGAACTTCCCTTTCTAGTTTAGCTTCCTTGCTCTGCTACGTTGTTCTTCGACGATGCTTCCCTCTAATTTGCGATACTCTTTTTTGGCCAATAAAGTGCTTGGGCCGTTTAATCACCCAGCTACTGATTTCATAACTCGTGCCTTACGTGGTTATCTACTCTTTCATGTCACACTAGATCTGCCTTCCAAAGCACTGATTTTTGCGCTGGGGCTACGCCAGCGGACTTGCCAGTGCAATCAGTAGGTCGATCTCCCACTCTATTTTTGAAGGGTCATCTATGGCCCTTGGTTCTCGAGTCACAGGTAGAGCCAATAGATGGTCTTTTTGGATGTATAACATACGCAAGGTAGGCCAGAAGACATTGATAGGTATGGGCTATAAGCTGGTTGCTGGACTGGTAGGATCTTCTCACATTCATAATGATATAAACACACCCACCGCTCAATTACTAGGTTCATCTAATAAAAGGAACACAGGTAACTAGCTAGATGGAGCATCCGAGTTCTTTGCACGAGGCATAACCTTGAACGATTCATGCACAATGTCATAGCGAACTCGAGAAAGCTCCACGGGCTTTTTAGCATTGCGCAGTGGTGCGCTTCCTGTTTCAAGAGCACTCAGATCTATGTCTCGATCCGTTATCAGGAGCACCATATGCTCGGTGATTGGGCACGTCCGAGGCACCCCAACGGGCCACATAAGTTGTATACCTCTGTCTACCCGCAACCAGTTCTCGCCCAATGTTGCGCTCTCACGAGTTCCAAACGACCTTTGTTCAATCAGTGTAATAATACCAGCCACATTGACATAGAAAGCGTGGACAAAAAGTCTCTCAGGGCCGTGGTTCGCTAGACGGAAGTAGATTTCGCCTTCCTCGGGAATGCGCACACCGTCTTCGTCCAAGGGGCGCAGAGAAATCCGAAGATCATGCACAAATCTCTCTCGATCATCATTGCATTGAAGGTTGAGGAGATGCTGCGAGCAGGCTATCTGTTCAGCTGCCTGGACCAAGTCCCTAAAATGGTTGCTTGAGATATTCATGCACCCAACTTGAACGCCTTCGGTGTTATATAGGACAACTTCTTTGTCTCGAAGTTCCATCGTTAACAATGGATCCTGACTTTCCTCGGGCCTCCAACGTCGAAGTATGGTGGATTCCAGGATAGCTGCATCGAGTGTCTTCAATCCTTCTGGAAGTTGAATTGGCCACGTGGGAACTGGGGCAGCTGTTTGGAGATATGCCCATGCTCCTCCTGGAGGCAAGATAGCATCTCCTTGCCATTTGACGCGGAGTGCAGCTTCGGATCCACACATACTGGAAACTGTACCCTCTCCCAAGAGGCTCGTTCCATGATCACCACGCCCAGACGGCCAGATAGCGTACTCATCACCAATGTTCACCCCAGCCAGTCGTCCTGCCTGAAGAATGACGTTGTCGCCTCTCGTGACAAGATGGTAGCCAGTCGATCGCCGTTCCTCCATTGAAAAGTACAATCGATGGTGCGGGCCACAAACGTGAGGACGCTGAGAGGGAAACATCTTGGCCACTTGCTCTCTGACCTTTGCCATTGTGGCTTTCCACGACGAGTACCTGTTTTCCAACTTATTAATCTCACTGACCAAGAACTCAGTCATGATACTGTATTGTATGCCATCATTATTTTGGTATTCATAGGCTGAAGAGTGGACATCAGACGCGTATATCCGAACCGCGTGCGGGTTTTCCTCGGCGTCGACGTCGCCTTGCAAGTATCCCTCTTGCTTTAGTCTCTCGATGTACCCCAATAAACTAAGCCTTTGCCGCGGTATACACTTGTAACGTGGATTGCGAGCATTAATAGGGTCCCTAGCGATATTTGCCGCATGGCAGCAATCGAAGATGGCCGTGACGTTGGTCGTAATATCCGTCGTTTGGCGGAGGAGGTCTATGAGCTCAACTTCGAGTATCCCACGAAAGTCCTCAGTTGGGCTTTCATGGTAGTCCATTGGAACGAGCAGTTGATGATACCTGGGTCGCGGTGAATTCACTTTATCTGGTGCCTCTTCGGGCGCCTTCACAACGGATCCGTGACCTGAGTAGTATAGGACAACAGTGTCCTCTGGATCTAGTGACTGTATGAGGGATAACCAGTACGCTCTGATACCATCCCGAGTCGCTTTTTCACCAAAGCATTTAGTGATGGTGAACCCTCTGTTTTCCAGCATGGTTGACATGAGATTCAAGTCGTTAGAAACGCCTTGGAGACCACCGTAGGGGCTACCGATAAGCAAAGCCTTTTTCCGATGGGATGACAGATTTAAAGACATTGTAAGAATGATGAACGCCGAACTGGGTCGTTGCTATGCGATGAAATATGGGAAAGTTGCATGCGAAAAGGATGACGATGGAGACCTATATATCTCAGCGCATCACGTGCTGTCAGCCGCGTGACAGGCAGGCATCTCATCCTACTGCCAATGATTGGAGGATACGACGCACTAGTTTGCTACCTGATGGCGGGGCTTGTATGAGGGGAGGTGGCCAACCTCCTTTCAGTTGGCGAGATAATCCTTCCATCTTGTGAATAGGAATTTCAAAACTCATCTTGGCCCTAAAACTACTTCACACCAAGACAAGCTGAACCGAGACTGCCAAAACAAACCAAGCACCAAAATGTCATCCATCGCTCTGGAATTGCGTTTGCAGGCTGCTCTCCAACATGCGACAGACCTCTTCGCGCAAGCCCAGCGTACCCCGAAAAAGGAAACGTTCAATCAGGCAATCAACCTCACGATAGAAGCCAAGCAGTGTTCCATACCCAACTCGGAGGCATATCGCTATAGCGTGGAACTCCTGACTAAGATATACCGTCAACGACATCAGGCATATGGCGAAATATCGGATCTTACAGCTGCTATCCGGCATGCCGAGGAGGTTGCTGGATTCAACGATATCTCTTCACGATTAGCAGGCCTGCAGAATCTTTCAATCCTCCAAACCGACCTTTTCACCGAAACCAAACAAATTGATAATGCGCAGGCAGCCTTTGCGACCGCTCGAAAGGCAGTGGAGCTGGCGAGTGGATGTGGATATGATCAAGTCTCCTGTGAAGCGAACCTTGCCGAAGTCCTGCTTAGACTTTGCCAGGAGAGGCTAGAAGTACATGAAGCCATCCAAATTGATTACGCAGTTGAAAAACTAGAAAAAGTCCTTGAAAGTCACCATAGTCATTCAGAAGTTGTGACCTGGCGGCATACGCTTGCCCTTCTGCTTCGCCTTAAGTTTGAGCGGACAGGTAATACTCAGTACTTGGACAGTGGAATCAGTCAGGAGCAGTCAAGTTTAGCTTTCAGTGAAAACCATGATCTAAAGAGGCCAAGGCGGCTAGAAGCCCTCGCGGGTATGCTCACTGACAAATTCTACTGCACCGGGGAGTCCCAGTACTTGGATGATGCAGAGAAAATGCTTCGTGATGCTGTCCGACTGTCGAAAACCAGCCCAGACTCTGAGAAAGCAACATATCTCAACGGATTAGCTTTGACTTTGGTTGCGAAGTTTCAAAGATACGGAAAATTGGATTATGTGCAAGAAAGCATAAAGAGATCGAGGTCTGCCTCTTCCTTGGAACGAAATATTGCTGATAAGGCAAAGTACTTGGGCTGTCTTGCCAACAGTCTGTGTCTTCTCTATGACCAAACCAAAGAAGAGGGCACTCTGAGTGAAGCTCTGGGAATCGGAGAGACCGCAAGAGAGACTACAATCGTAACTGCAAGTCACCCTTACAGGCTCACATGCGCAAATATTCTAGCCAAAATTCACACCCGACAGTTCGAACTTCATCGTGATACACATAGCTTTGACCAAGCTATATGTCTCTTCTCAGAAGCGAGCAACTCATGGTCACAGGATGCTCCTTCTCGGGCGGTAGCGTTCATTAATTTAGGAAATCTTTACTATTGCCAATCTGACCACAGAGACCTGGACAAGGCTTTGGGATACTTTTTGCAGGCATGCAGGAGTACGGCAATATATACAATTCTCCGAGTAAAGGCCTCCCAAATGGCCATCGGTATTTTGGAGAGCAAAGGTCTTTACGCAGAGGCAATCCAAATAGGAGACGGCGTTCTCCATTTGGTCCAAGAATTGTGTGACCGATCCATGAATCTCAGCGACCAACAGTATGCCGTTCAACAAGTTGCCGGGTTAGCAGCTGAAGTATGTTCATTGCACCTTCAAACAGGTCGTGCCTCGGAAGGTCTCCAGAAGCTAGAATTCGGCCGTGGACTGATTCTCCGGTACATGTTCGATAAACACGATAGCGTGCAAACCCTCGAGCAAGATCATCCCAACCTGGCCAAGGAGTATAAGGCGCTCCTCTTCCGGCTCTCCACAGCCGACAATGAATCCTTGAGCATGTCCTCTCAACTGTCCTTTTCTGGGCATCGCGTGGAGGCTGGTGAGAAGCTCAAGAGACTTCTTTACCGAATTCGTCAAATGAGAGGCTACGAATCGTTCTTGCTTGAGCCCTCCATAGACGAACTGAGGAGTTGTGCATCAGGCGGGACTGTCGTCGTTGTTAATGCAACCCTTGTCCGGGCCGATGCGATTATCATTCGCAGTGAAGGTATTAGGTCAATTCAGCTTCCTGTGATGGAGAAAAGTCTCGCCAAGTGGTCATCGGAACAGGGTTCTGGAGCATCTAAAGGCCCCACAAGAGGCTCCCCTCTTGGCTTACGCGATGCAGGTAGTGGAACCAGAGCTGGCAACAATAAACTGTTTCTGAAGTGGCTGTGGGACAGCTGCGTCAAGCTTGTCTTGAAGGAAGTGCGAAAGGGTTCTGGTCTCTCAGCCGATGGGAACGTGCCGCATATTTGGTGGCTTGGAACAGGGATGGCCGCAAGGTTTCCATTTCATGCGGCTGGCGACTACAAACACAATTTACAAGAGAACTGCCTGCAGCAATCGATGTCATCCTATACACCTTCAATCAGGGCTCTTGCTTATGCATGTTCATTATTGCAAGAGCCGCCGCATTTGGTAGAGCCTAAGGACAAGTCTATCCTGGTCGTCACAATGCCAACTACCCCAGGGCAAGTGGATCTAGAAGGAGTGCGAGATGAATGCTTTGCCATCTCAAGTGCTTGCAAGGGAATCTTTAAGTCTACCCTTCTAGAACATCCGACGGCGGCACACGTTCTTGGAAATCTCGCCAAGTCTGAGATCGTTCACTTTGCTTGTCACGGTCTGTCAAACCCAGACGACCCCTCCAAAAGCCATCTCCTGCTCCAAAGTAACAGCGAATCTGGCGACGCAATACCTGATAAACTCACCATTGCAGATATATGTGATACAGTTTCTCATGGGGTCCCAGCCCGCATCGCGTACCTATCCGCCTGTTCGACCGCAGAAATTACACCCACACGGTACGCTGATGAGAGCTTCCATATCGCGAGCGCTTTTCAAGTTGCGGGCTTTCCGAGTGTGATTGGCGCCCTGTGGCCTACTAGAGATGATGTCTGCGTGAAAGTCACTAAGTACTTCTACGAATCGTTCGTTACAAACTACCAGACAGATGGAAAAGAGTTGTCAGTAGCGTCTTCCTATCGAGACGCTGTCCTTCGTGTACGCTCGGAACTATTTGCAGGTGGAGGAGAGGGTGACCCTATGACTTGGGCTGCCCACGTACATCTAGGTCTATGAGACGCGCGGTGGCCAGCCTCAAGAATAACGTTGTGCGGTGTCGAAGGTTATTTTGCGAGACACTTGTCCGTATGTTGACAGAAATAGGTTACCTTCTACACTCACTAAAAGGAAACCGGGACTGGTGGGCGCGATATATAAAATTTGGCATATTATACCAATTGCACTTGAAAACGGGCCAGCTATACGAAAGCCAAGCGCGTGAGTGCGAAGAGTCTGGCATCCACCAGAGCATGATTAGCAAACTTGCTAAAATGACCATAAATAAGTTTTAGAAGCCGTATGCTCGCGAACAAAACTGCTAGGAGTAGGAGGGCAGGAAGGGGTGTGTTCCTAGGTACTAGCTTAGGAGACTAGATAGTTGTCAAGAGCAGAGGACGTCAAATTGATGCATGCTTTAGCCTTCCTTAGTCCACCAAGTCATCTCAATCTATCTCAATAACATCACATATATCATATCCCTTCCTTTGCCCTGAAACGAACGAAGTGAGAGTGCCCTGAAACGAACGAAGTGAGAGTAAGGGATTCTCCGCCCGCGGGGATACCCCTGTTTCTGGAAAGTTTATTTTTTTCGCTGTTGTTAGCCAAATTACGGCCTCTCATTCGCTACTTCGATCCACTGCCTTTCTCTGATTTGCTACCTTTTCATTCCACGCTCTCTTCTGATTGCTGTTCGTGCAATGTCCAGTTCAGTTTAGTGTTGGCGGGTTTTAACCTTAATCATTGGCTCTTTCTACTATAACCCTAACAGCTGACTCTCTAACCCTGGTATCCGTGCCTTGTGCTTCCTATTCATTCGTTATATCCTCATGCTCATTATGTGCATGGTTTTGCTACGCACTTCTTCAAGAGCTTCATCTGGTTGGTTAGATGACTCTGACGTGTCTAGATACACCGCTTCTTTTTACATATACTCTTGTGTTTTGGGGTTCACTGTTTTTACCCATCAAAGTCTTCCAGGCTGTTTGAAACCTTCTATTGTCCACTTTGTATTCTTGAAGTACTTGCCTGCTATGCATATGGATATGACGGAGACATAAACACATTCTTATTTGATATCGATATGTCCTTTTCTGCGATTCAACCCAGGCATGCCCTTCGACTACTTCCGGAATTCTTTCTCCTCACCATCTCAACCTTCCCCATCAGGTTACCGGCCTGCTGCTGTACAGCCCAACTCCCCACCTCTTACATTCCTTCCACCCACCCCGTCGGCCTCACGTCCATGTCCTTTCCCTCCTCCGTCGTGCGATTCACCAATTCGTCGCAATCATGATACTGGCTTTTCCCCGGCTCCGGCGCTATCATGGAGATGGATAGATTGCGTGCTCTAGAAGCGAAGACACTTGCGGCCTGGGCCTGAACTGTCCGGTAAAGCCTCTTTGCCTAAAAGCTTTTCATAGTTTTACTGCCACACTCTATATACCAATTTCCACTAATTCCACGTCGTTTCAGGGCTTACAGCGTGCCACAGCGCGCGTCTTCCAGTGCCACAGCGCGCGTCTTCCAGTCCAGTTTCCAGTGCGTGAGGCGTAGCAAAAAGAAGTGGCTTAACTATATATGAACTGCTCTGCCACGCACGCCTCCCATTCGCCTTTGCAGCCCGCGGTACCTGCATTATTTTCGCTTTCTTTGGACTAGAGCGTATTGAATTAGGGTTGTAGGGTTATTTGCGCATATTTATGCAAGTTGCGTTGCTTTCATTGATTCATCATCTGCTTGTCTCCTTCGATATATTGCAACGCTGTACTGTTTATCACCACACTAATTTTCTCTTAATACATTGTCTCTTCCCTTTACCCCTCTTCTTTTGGACTTATGTTTCCGTCATGTTATCTCATCGGCTTTACTTTTCCACATGGCGATTAGCCCTTTTTCTGATCCTGCCCTCCGTACACTACGTTCGCCCTGCGTTCCTGTATTGATTGTAGTCGCCGAGTATGCTTGTTATCATATACTCAACCACCGAGGTACCCTGCCTATCACTTGTTCGTCCACTTCCTGATATTGGCCCCCGTCCCTGTATGGGTTGCCACTATTAGACTGAGAAACACTTATGCCGATACACATGCACGATCCAAAACAGGCCAGGGAGACAGTAGATTTCGAAAACAGATGACCCCTTAGACACTCACGCTTTCTTTCCTAGTACCCCACTTAAATTGCGCTAAACTAATTTTGGTCTGAGAAAGTCCCCACTATCTTTTTCTTGATGTATTTCTGGACCCTGGTAGATCACCAAAGTTACCGTAATTACATTTTCTGGCATTGGGTTGGGAGAGAACCGGATGAAACGTTTCCCGATCGCCGAACCGACCTTGGAAAGACGAATAGCTCCCGTGCCAAGGTCCCAAGGAAAGCCTATCGGTGTTCGGCAGAAATTCGAATCCTATTACCGGTTACATAGGTAGCTGTTATATACCATAGTAGGAGTTCGGGCATGCGTATTACGGCCCTGTCTGGCCGCATTTTTCTTAACCCTGCCACCTGTAATCATGGGTGCTGCTTCGGATGCTCTCTACTTTGCTCTTCATCCAAATCAATTAGGAGCGCTGGTTCAATGGTGGGTACAGAACTACACCTCAAATGCACTCCCTCTTGAAAGACTGCCAAAGCTTGCTGATCCTGGGTCTGTCAATCCTGCAGGAAACTACAATATGTTCCCATACACAAGCGAGACGAAACGCAAGAGTCAGCAACAGCCAAAATCTGCTTCGAATTCTTAGATCAGACAGGTCGCAGCTTCAGCCCCGTTATTAAAGAGCTACACCCTGAGCTACTCTTGCCTGTATGCGTGTTTTACCTGATACTGCGTGGACTCGATACGATCGAAGATGATACATCAATCCCCTTCGATATTAAAGAGCCATTCCTTCGAAGCTTCAAAGATTATCTAGATAAAGATGGCTGGACGTTTACCGGCAATCGCCCAGAAGAAAAGGATCGCGCACTACTGATGCGGTTTGACAATGTCATTGCCGAGTTCAGGAAATTGAAACCAACTTACCAAGCAATTATCAAGGATGTCACCGACAGAATGGGGAATGGTATGGCTGATTTTGCGAGAAAGGCGGCTCTCGGGGATGTGAGTGTGAGTTCTGTGGAGGAGTATGACCTCTATTGCTGGCATGTAGCCGGAATCGTTGGCGAGGGTTTGACTCACCTCTTCGTCGAGGCCGAGATGGGCGAGAATACCCTGATCAATCACTCTCTGTATAGATCAATGGGTCTACTCTTGCAGAAGAACAACATCATCCGCGACATTCGTGAAGATTTCGATGACGGTCGCCGGTTTTGGCCCAGAGAAATCTGGTCCAATCACGTCAACAAGTTTGAAAACCTGTTCGAACCCAAGTATCTCAGGAACGCGCTTAATTGCAGCTCTGAGATGGTTTTGAATGCTATGAAACATGCATTTGACTCTTTGTCATATCTTGCGGGCTTGCGTGAACAGAGCGTGTTCAATTTTTGCGCGATTCCATCAACTATGGCTTTGGCTACGCTGGAGTTGTGTTTTCGCAATCCGGCGATTTTTGAGCGAAACGTTAAAATCACCAAAGGAGATGCGTTGCAGTTGATGGTTGAGTCTAGTCAGGATCTTGAGGGCGTGGTGAAGGTCTTTTGTCGTTATTTTCGTCGAATTCAACGAAAGAACGACCCCGAGGATCCGAATTTCTCGAGAATTAGTATTGCATGTGAAGAGGTTGGTATTTCTATAACCGATGAATAATTGTTGATTATAGCTGACTTGATAAGATTGAGAAATTTGCCGAGACTCTGGCGCTCAAAAGTGGTGAGCTGGCTGAAAAAAAGACCGAAGGAAAGGAGCATCCGGCTGTGTCTAATGCCGGACAAGTGATTGCTGCTTTGGCAGTTGCCTCAATCTTTGTATTGGGGGTTTCCTGGCTCATAGCTCATAGAACTTCGCTTTGATTTTGCTTGAGCTTCTACTAGATAGGCAGAAACTTGGAGTAGAAATAGACACAGGGGATAACTGAATTCTCCTGTATTCGAAGACTTGCTTATGTCATTTTGTTTTGCGGCTACTTGGTTAACTAGTTACTGTAGTGGGGGAATCGCTCTGGTGATGTCAGGTGACGTTGTAGGCCTTAGGCCTTACATGCAGTATATAAGCCCTCGATGATAGTTAGCTTACCATCCACCTTTCGGGTCACCAATGTTATCTTCGTTATTCAGATGCACGCTGCGGTTATGCTAAGGGCCCGAAGGCTCTGAATACTGTTTTCTCAGTAGGGCACCGCTTTGTCTACTACTCTCCTGCACTCTGCGAGTGTAGTGGTTTTGTCCTCTTGCGATCGACCCGTCTGCCAACGCAGACTGCCAGCGAGCATTCCCATCTTTCATTACTTAGTTTACTGTTGGTTAGTCATTTAGTCATCCAGAAGGCTTCATCATTGGCCCATTCGGAGTCAGCTGCATTCTGCATTTCCGCTCATTCAATCGATCTGAACACTTGAACGCTACTTCTCAATTCCTCTCTCCTTTGGCTCTCGTTTCAGGGCCGAGGCGTGCAACGCGCGCGTCTTCCAGTTTTCTACTAACGTGCACCGGTATCTGCAACCTAGCTACATCGGGGCTAGGTAGTTCCACCATCGCCTTGGCGTTAGGGTTGGAGATAGTTTCTCTGTGTAAAACATGGAAGCCAATTTCGAATAACCCTGTAACCTCAATCTTTGACTTCGAAAATGCAAGAATTCAAAACTTTAGCTATTCAGTTCATTTTCATTTCTGGCCTGAATGAGAGATTCTAGTCAGGATGCTAGAAGAGGTCTTCGGAGTACTTTATCATTTCCGTATCTGACTTTGTAAATCAAAATCAAAACATGCCAATGATGCCTAAGTCCTTCAACATGTATATAGTAGATATGATCCCACCTTAGCCACCAATCTGAGCCAAATAATATTAGCTCAGTCATAGTTAATGGTCACTCCCTGTAAAAACTAACCATTATTCCCCATCTGCGGGAGACGGTTCAAAGAGAGTCGCAGATGCTGTATAGGATGCGGTAGGTCAACCCAGGTTGCTTCTGCATCAAACCGGCAAAACTGGAACATGACACAAGGAACTTAAAACGAGACGAAACGTCATCAACCAACAGAGTGATCAGATCCTCATCAACCGTGAGCTGTTCGCTGACGAAGCGTAAAAGTTTGACCACGCTTTCATTTTGGCCGGGATGGGCGACGAGCTGTTCAAGAAGAGCATGAACCAGTTTCCACAAACTCAAACGACTAAGCATATCCAGGCTTTGACTTTTTGCAAAAATATGCAATCGCGCATGGGTTAGTAGTACATCTGGACATTCACAAAAAAGGGTTCGTCCTTCGGAAAATGATGATCCGAGGTTCTGAGAAAACACGCCTGCAAGTTTTCCCAGAAACTCTTCGGTACTTATGAGATTGTGAAGGTATTCGTCTCTGAGTTGCAGATATACGGCATTGAGTTCCGCTTCACAAGTGACGGATGCCGAATTATGTGTCGGGGCGGGAATAGAATAATCTCCGATGTACATATGTTCCAGAACATGACCAAAGATATCCTCTACGCCACTCTTGATTGTAATGACGAATTTTTCCTTTTTACCAATGGAAGCGGAAAGCCCCGTTAAGTGTCTTCGAAGAACGCCGGCATGGATAGCATATTCTTTTTGGTCTGGGCCCACCTCGAAATACACTATGGGCGAGCCTAGGTCACTAGGGCGGTATTAATAGAGGCCGTTTAACAAAGATTGAGAGTACTCACTGCGGATGTGATAAAATCATAGTTTGGAGGAATGAATATGGTGATTTTGTTGGAGCGAGTGGTGTAGCTCTATAAATACTCAGATTACCAGGGAAATCGGACCTGCGACCACGAGGATGGTTCTCTGTCCTGCGACCATGAAAACGGATCCCTGAATCATCAAAGCGAGTCTTTACGATTACACAAACGCATTTTGACGACCGCAAAAAAAGAGTCAACGTGCTCCCACCTGCGACCATGTAAACCGACCCCTACCTTTTGCGACTATGAAAACGGATCCCTGCTAACCCCACTGCGACTATGAAAACAGATCCCTGTCCATGCAAAGTACCGCCTCTTCATGTTGCGGGGTAGCCGGTTTCTTTTCATGTTCAATGCTACGCACTAGTACTGTTATTATGAGGCACTGTAGAGATCTGTCGAGTGCATTTTTGCAAGTGCTTCCCTAGTAGCACCCGCCTGGAGTGGGTGGCGTCACGAACAGATTCCAGGACACAAACACGCTGATCCCTGCAAATAGTCAAAAGGGCCCTTTGAAGAGAATATGGGTATGAAGCCAATAAAATCGAGATTTATTATTGGGGGTATGCTCGTGATGGATCCTATCAACTTCACCGTAAGGTCGCTCTATGGAGATAGCTGCATGGAATTTGATTTCCGACCTATACAGCATACAAGTGGACCTCAAATAATCCCTTTTAAGATATACAGTATCCACACAGATATTTTGGAGTGCCAACCCCTCTCTTCCAAGACCCATAGTAACAAGCGATGAAGATAAAATATTCCGATCTCCGGAAACTAACGTTTTTTTTGATCTGGAAAAGCGACTGAAATAACTTGGTATTATTATGTCGGGAAAATGAGATAACGTATTAATTCATAGGGTTAATAGAGTGCAAGCTAGTGTTCAATTTCGACTCATCTCTCAAACTAGAGTTTTACCTAAACAAAAAAGCAAGAAATTTAAAGAGCGCATGGCTTGCATGTAAAAATAGTATCCTCTCAAGAACAGCAAAGGCCTCGGTGTCCTCGCCTTCCGTGTCTTTTCGACGTGGTCAGCTAGGTGCAAGCACAGGTCGACGTAGCGGACCCATTATCGAGGCTCGAAGACGGACTAGTGTTTGTACCTGCGGTGGTACCTGTGGTGTCTGCGATGGTACTTGTGGTGGTGCCTCCGGTGGTACTTGCGGTTGTACTAGTCAAGGACTTAAAATCAGACGCGCTGCATGAGCTCCCAGTATTGAGCCCCCTTTCCAGCTTGCATTTAGCGTTGTCGCCGCCCTGTTTAGAGAAAGAGACTTCTCCAGTCTCGTTAACCCTGATCCAGGCTGCATTCTTGCCGTCCACCTGGCCACACGCTGCGACATCAACATAAGAAAAGTCCAGGCGAGTGCCATTGACGGCCACAGTGAAATCTAAGGTTTTATCAGCTTATCTGGTAATCATGCTTTTAGCATTGCTGTGCGTACTCGAGCAATCTTCTCCGTCAAGCTTTGCAAATGGTGCAGAGTATCCCGTACAACCGTGAACGTCGCTGGGGTATATTTTGCAGTCACGGTCTTCGTCAATGACCTGAAGGGTTCCTCCAAGGGAAGTGCGTATAAAAGTGCCAACAATAAACGCGGAGATTGCGAAATGCATGTTGATGGAGACAGTATGGGTGAGAATAAGGTTCGTGATGAGAGGTGAAATATTATTTTGTGATATTGGGCCCAACAGCTTTCCTTTTATGTGGGAGATCTCTTTACCTTGACATTGTATGGGGAACAAAAAAGGTGTCGCAGGGCGATTCATTACGTACGGCAAACAAGGAGCCCCACTCGAATGTGGGTCTGCAGCACTGAAAATGGGGTCGCAATTCAGAATAGGTGCTCTTCTAACCAGCCCAGGAACATTTAGAGCGAACGGAAATCCTGTCGCAGCACTAGAATAGGTTTCCATCTAGCCCGGAATGCGGACAATGTCTCTGGCTCAATTTTAATCTGCTGTTCAAGGTTTACTGATCAGTAAGCCACAGGTCAGTTTCACAAGGTAGTTCTGTCGGGACTTTTGTTCCCTTTATGACCTGACCCCCATTCTAAACTGATTAATTGATCTACCTCACAGTCGTTTATCCTAAGTCCCTGTATCGCTGCATCATGGCCTCCGAATCTTCACCATCAACTCAGAGTGGTGATGCAATCAACGTCTTCCAAATTCTCCATCAACATCGAACAAGTCTGGTGTCGGGTCCGGATCACATATCCACCCTAGACAGCATTATCGACCTTGGAAATAGTTATGCTGATCAAGAAAAGCTTTCAGAGGCCGAGTCTCTGTATAAGTATGCTTTGCAAGGCTATCGGAAATTTGTCGGACAAAATGCAGTTTCTGCTCTTGAGACTCTAGACTGTCTCGGGATTGTATACTCCGCAGCGAACGAACCCGAAAAAGCCAAGCAAATGTACCTGACAGCGCTAGATGGCAAATTGGAGACTTTGGGCTCCGACCATCGTTCTACACTTATGACGGCGCACAATATCGGGAAATTCTTCGCCGACCAAGGAAGTCTGGACGAGGCGGAAATGTTGTACCGTCTCGTCTTATCAAGAAAAGTAGAGATTTACGGTTCTGAGCATGTTTCTACCCTGATCACAATGAACAATTTCGGAATTGTTCAACGCCGACAAGGTGCGCTGGAGCAAGCTGAGGCTACATATCAACAAGCTTTGGCGGCTGGAATGAAGAATTTTGGTCCCAACCACACGGTGGTCCTTGACACTATCAGCAACCTCGGGTGTCTCTACGAAGACCAGGGTCAATTGAAGAAAGCAAAGCATATGTATAAGCGGGCTATGATTGGACGTGAGAAAATGGTTGGTCCTGAAGATATATCCACCTTGGACGTGATGAACAACCTCGGCGCTCTCTACCTAGCACTTGGTAAAAGCAGGAAGGCGCAAAAAATCTACAAGCGGGCTTTTGAAGGCTACCAGAAAGTTCTAGGGCGCCATAATTCAAAGGTTCAGCAAGCAAGGTTTGGTATGATGGTCTCCATTTATCGTTCTCCGCGCAAGAGTCACAGGATACTCAAATTCCTATGTGGAAAGAGTCGGATCATGGCATGGTAGATAAATCTAGTGTAGCTACGAACCGCTGTTCAATTTCAACGAAATTCTTCCCGGTGCCCCTGTAAGGCGACTGTGATGATACTGGAAAGAATCTCAAGCACTGTTTAAACACATGAACAGCTTATCAGGACTGAAATAAGCCCATGACAGTAGTCCTGAGATGTGATATGTTCCATGAACGAGCCCAGCCGAGGAAATGTTTCCGATGAAGGAATTTGGCCAGGAAATGAATTCCCAAGAACAAAAGATTCTTGAGAATTCGCTCTGATGACTCAGATTATTCTTGAGAATCAATTCCTGAGATTTGATTATGGAGAAGGCTTTCCTGACCAGATCTTCTTTGTCATTATTTCTCAGGAAGGCTTTCAGGGGACGAGTGAGTTCACGGGAATGGATTCTTAATGCTACATCGCTCCTAGTATATCTCTCACAAGAAACTTGCATTCTTAAGCAAACCTATGTCATGAGAGCCATTACCCGTGCTGTATTTAGACCCAAGAAAAGAATCAAGAGCCTAGGAGGATTAGAGACTTTCGCTCCGAAGGCGAATCCGTTTAGAACGCTTTGGCTTTTCCACTCGGCGAATCTCTTCACGTTCTTGGATAGTTTTGTTGATACCATGCATTTTGAATCTGTCCTCTTTCACAAGTTTTGCCTCTGTTTCTCTCGAAATCACAAAAACGGCGTTGGTCGCGTCCGCGATTCCCGCGCGAAAACACATCTGAGGACTCAGACTATTCAAAGACTTATCATAGATGGAAAACCCTTTCCTCATGTATTTTGTTGCGATACGCTCTACTATGAAGGGATCCGCGGGATCGACCCGGTAGTGGTCAGATAAAGACCAGTCGTCATTAAGGTAAGACCAGAATTTAAAATCAATTTGCTCCCGTGTCTCAGAGGATTGAGCATTGTCTGAAGGAACAAGCGCCTGGGCAGAAACATCTCCCTCCCCGGCCTGTACTGGCGCAGAGCCGCCGAGGTCAAATCTGGTCACACGATGGTCTTGCCGTGATGGGTTATGTTCGGCCTCAATAGCAATTCTTGTCTCGTCAATATCCAAATTAGACGAAGAGATCTCCTGTTCCTCTGTATGGCGATCCTCGCAGGACTTGAAGTTCTCCTCCGGAACATCCCCGGAATAGGGCAGACCATATTCCTGTTCGAGCCTCTCTCGTTCCCAGTCTTCATCGATTCTCTCTCGCTCTTGCATCGACCTAGCTATATTTTCAGAAAAGTTTTGCCGTGCTTCACTTTCTCTGACGCTGCTTCTTCCCCTCGTGGAATAAACAGATGGAGAGTAAACTTGAGCCGGAGTTGGGCTTCCAGACTTGAGACTCTCACGAGGGGAGGCACTCTTATGGGCGGAGGAGCTCTCATGAGAGGAGTCACTTTCATCGGGCGTTGAAGGCTGATCTGATCCTCCAGCAAGGTAATCACTCTTGTGACTAGTATCAGACGGAGAGGACCTTAGCTCTTGGCGGTTAAGCAAAGGGTTCGTAGGAGACGCATTGGGTTCGTGTTCTCCAACCTGCCCAAATGCCTCCTCTTCAGGCTCTGATTCAAAGGCTTCTGAGCTCTGAGAGGCCATGATATCATCCTCTGGACTTTTTTCACAGAGCCTATCTGGCTCTAAGAAATAATTCCTTTCACCGTGCTTCCTGTCCTCGATGTTAGGACTATTGTGACCTTCAAGGGCGCGACGTGTTTTGAAGTTCTCATATAGTGGGCGCGCTTGCCCTGATCCAATGTCTGGCATACTGTCGATCGTATGTGTATGGGGTGCAAATTGGGACGGTTCATTTTCATCAACGAACAAAGGTGAGTTTTCCCTAGGCGGAACGCTTGGGCCTGATCTTCCAGCTCCTTGTTTTGGAAGCGAGCGTTTTCCAAGAAAGGCATAGTAGAAGCAACGACGAACGTAATAAGTTGTAACAGGCGCAAACGCAGCTTCGGCATGGACTTGGTCGAGAAATAGGTGTGGAGCATCCTGAGCATGGGCCTTTTCCTGCGGAAACCCACATCTTTTCCTGGGTTGTACCTCGCTGTCTGCCAAAAGCTCTGAGGTCGGCCGATTATATTCAACAGCTTGCGAAAAACAAGCAGAGATTCGGTCAATGAGGGATTCAAACTGGGTAGGCTCATATTTAAAATATTCTGGTTTTCGAGCTTGCAACAGAGCATGACGCGCGATTAGACGATCTGGCGATCTTTGAAGAAGGTTATCGATAGTTTTCGACCGAAAGCCAAGGCTTTGAGCCAGTTCCGCGAAATTAAAAATGACACTCTGGTCAAGCTCCCCGCGTTCTCGCTTAACAAGAAGTTCATCCTCACATTTGGCTGGAAGGGGCATCGAATTATAGTGACGCATTGTATACAGCCAAAGCTGCCGATATCCCATGTCCAGCCTATCAGAGTCGTTACCGGGTTCTTGGTGGAATGAGGACTCTGATATTTGTATTGAGGACAGCTTTTCCCCCGAATCTGCCAGGAAACAACCCTTCATTGTATTCCATATGGAGGTGCTTGTGACTCCAAAGAGCCATCTCATGCATTGTGCGCATTGCTCAAAAAAGATAAAGTCGTCCCAGAAGGTCTCTAGGGATGGAATTATCCCATCAAAGCGTTTGATTCTTTCCCAAATTTCCTTGCGTTCCGACTCGCCAAAAGAAGAGAAAATTTGCCCGCTGAATATCAGCCCCATCAACTCTTTCGCGTCCTTGTCACAGTTTCCCGGGGCTTTTAGCTGGAGTTTTAGGACAGATTCGGTCTCAATCAACCGAAGTGCACGTTGATTATTGCCGACAAAAAAGTGATACGTATCATAAATATGATCGAGATAGGTCAGAATCTCCTAAACAAAATTCAAATCAGCCGTCAGATGTGTCAGCTAACGTTGATTAGGATGAAAATTCACCTCGGTAGAAACAAGGGCAATAACACGATGAAGCATGCTGATTCTCATTCCATGAAGCCAGAGACCGGGAATGGCTAGTAACTTATCAAAACCATCACGGAGTTGCTCATTTTTCTCTTTCCCTAGTTGCTCTAAACGTTTGCGTTTCCAATCAGAAGATAAGCGCATCACCCACTTTTGTCGAAGTATTCTGTTCCCGTCGCTTTCATATTGGCGGATTTTTCTATATATTTCCCCGTCAGTGAGTTGCTTCTCACTCGAGTATTCTTCGCTGATAGATGTTTTGAGCTCTTCACTCAAGTCTGATGATCGGGTCTCAAATTAGCCTATGCGGAGCAGATGCGCAATTCGGATTTACCGTCGAGATAGATGTCCACGGTCCACCATCGCTCATTAGGGGCTAATACCTTAGCGCCAGCATACAAGCGATGACGCCCATGCAAACCGGTCAGTTGACCCCCTGGAAAACTCAAAGTGGGTATGTCAACCCCCGAGCTTTGGATAAGCGAGCGAGCAGAAATGCCAGCATTCTGTATTGCCTCTGATAATGCCTGGCGTGACACTATAGCAGGTACGTAGTTGGCGAGCTCAAATCGTTGACAACGAGCCTTCCGGAATATATTGCATAATCTGTCAATATTCTTCTGATCAACATAATCCCTTTGCGAATCAGTAAAATGGATATCCGATATTTTCACTCGGGCGACGCCTTGATACTTTAGTCGCCGCTCGCTAGCTTTTTTGAGTTCATCTTCAGTGAACAACGCACGCTGCATGGCCACTCTTCTCACGAGTAGACTTGCACCTCAGCTCAGTTTCCCAAAAAAGGTTGAGTGGTCGCACTTCAGTGTGATTTTCCCTGGAAGGGGTTGGAATTGCATAGATAAGACGGCTTGCGGTTCATGAGGTACTTACGACGAAGAAAGTTTCCTCGGCTTGTTTTGATGAGACTCATGGGATGACACAAGATAATTGACTAGCCCAAGCAGCAAATTCCCATGAGATTTCAGGGTCAAGGAGTTTGAGGGTCATTGGTTTCCACAAACTTTCGTTTTCATAGTCGCAGATCAGATGAGCTAGCAGAAATAATTTTCATGGTCGCAAGTGGGCTAAGCAGGGGTTCGTTTTCATGGTCGCAGGTGGGTTAAGCAGGGGTTCGTTTTCATGGTCGCAAGTGGGCTAAGCAGGGGTTTCGTTTTCATGGTCGCAGACGGGAATGTCCGCTGCGAGCCTTGCACGCGTCGACACTCTCGCCTTCGCTGCTTCCCAATGTTCGAACAGCATATAGCTGGGTTTTGGAGACAGGCTAGAATTTGCTCTATCTGAGACTGATCATACTCTACTGACCATGCAAGCTTTTCGAAATGACAAAAGACAATCGAAGCACCCACTTTGACATCCAATACAAAGAGGGCGATCAGGAGCTGACAAAGCACGCGCGAGCAATTCAACCCACCTCCACCCAAGCCGCCCGCGAGTATGAACGTGGCTCTAGCAGGAAAGACGGCGCCCAAGTGGCCGCAAAAAAAGTTGATCCTCCCCATGAGTTGGCCCTCCCAAATATCGTTAAATCAGGTAACCAGTTGAGCATGAAACTTCGGAACGAATCGCCATGGAAAACACTAAAACAAGTTTATGAGTGCATTCTGGCGGATCAAATGGTGGTGGTAGTAAAGAAATCCAAGCCAAACAACGTCTATCTCCTCCAGAGGTTCACTGAGGGTAAACATGAGGAGATATATCATAGACTATCCTCCATGCAGCACATTAATGTGGCCTTTGCGAAGGATTTCTTTACTACGAGTGACAGCTTATTCGCTCTAAGCGATTTTGTTCCTCTAACACTTAGACACATTGTGGATTGCCGCCATTTTCCGGATGAGCAGCAGTTAAATGCAATCATGACGCAGGTTAGCTTAATCTAAGACCTGCCAGTATCAATCACTGATATATTGGGCAGGTTTTGAATGGGCTTAGCTACATAGTATCTCAGAACTTGCAACATACGACTTTGGACTGTTCGGGTATCTTAATGGACACCGATGGCAATATCAAGATTGGCATGCATGAGCTTATTCCATATCGAAGTCTTGGCTCTGACAAAAGATTCTAGGGCGTCTACACACCTGTGTCTTACGGGGCAGATGGGAGTCCCAGCCACCGGAAATGAAATCTGTGGCGAACATCATGATGCAGTTGCTACAAAATTATGTCAAGGACGATGGAAAGGTCGGTGTTGACGACTTGAATCGCTGGCCCTCCGATTCTATTCCAGTTGAATTTCTTTCCGCCACAATCACTGTCGGCACAGTGGAGGAACTCATGAAGGCATGTGCGTCTCCCCACGACTTGGAACCTCCTACTTACACTTTTTTGCCATCAGCACCCCCTTATCAGCAAAATTAGATTTAGGAAGAAGGTCCTCATTGGCCTTGCTTGGTTCGCTCTTCATTCTACTAGAACATTTTGGGGCTATACGCCCTGAGAAAGCTACTATTTTGTCACCGCTGTTTGATGCTGTTTTGCATATTCGCAAAATATAGCCCGCAGCACGAAAATCCATGGTCTCTGAAAGACCTGAAAAGCTTTCATTTCGTTAAATTCTACTCTCTATCTTGCATCCACGGTTCTCAAAGTCCTGTAGATTAACCGGGGTCCTGTTTCCAAAACCCTGCGACCATAGCTTTCTCCATGCAACCTGCGTTGGTTATTAATGCAATCTCATGGGTAATCACATTACTACCGAGCCTGCTTGTGGGACTAAATTAATTCTCTCTTTAACGGGACTTAATAAATTGTAAGCTGTAGGCAGTATTCAAGGTCTGTCATGTTCAGACGTCGATGCAAAGTCCCTGGAAAGAAATGATTACTTCAGTTTTGTGTTAGAAACCACTGAAAGACCAAATTACTAGACTTTTCGGCTGGGATTCTATTTTTTGGCCTTTTTTATTATCTTGACGAGTCTGTGGACCAAAGACCTTGTACATTACTCTTATTTCTTCTTATTGCTGATGCTATTGTCATCTTAAACTATGAAGTCTTAATATAAGTAGAGGTATAGATCAGAAGATTCATGTTCGAACGTCATCTGGCTATATCGTAGCTATGGATGGTATTCAAGGTCTATCATTCGCATTCGTCGGTGCAAATTATCTCGCGCAATAGTTCGTAGTTGGTCGCGCACGTTTTCATTCGTGGAGGCTGCCAATTTATCAATAGTCAATATTGCCGTAAAAATCATAGAAACAATGGCTTACCTAACAAAAGCATTTGCCCTCTGTCATCCCGTATCGGTGATAATTTGTCGATGTACTCACCAGAAAGCTCCATTGAAACAACCTCGGAGTAGTCAGGTACACCCTCATAAAGGAAAGCTCTTTCATGATTACCAAACGGCTGCCCTTGAAGTGCCGAAAAGTCTTTTCCTATATATATCGAGATACTTAACATCTAGCTTGTCGTCAGCTTTTGCTTGAACATGGATACATTATAGCCTACATGTCCATTGTCAGGCAAGTCTTCTTTCAAGAGCTCATTGACCTGCTCCTGTGCCGCAATCGCAATTTCTACTTTCTTAGCCAGGAGTTTCTATCTTGCGGCAGTTACATACCACGTTTATCAACTTGCCAAAGAAGATGCACTCGACGGACTCGCGATGTGCATGTGTTGTATCCATGGATCAACTTCCGAGCGTAGGGTAAAACGGCAGCAAGCCCAGAGCCACTCGAAATGAGAAGTACATTCTCATACTCATCCACTGGCTCGCTGACGCCATGAGGTCCACTGAACAGAACCAAGGAAGAATATCCCGAGGCGCCAGTATTTCGTAGCTGCCGACCAATTGTACCGGTCAAGCCTTTTTGAGGTTGAACCAAAAGCTCAAGGACTGATTGTTTTCTTTGAGACCAAGATATGACCGTGAAAGGGTGCGTCTGTGTCCATGACCAGAAGCTGACTGCGGGGAGCCACACGTTGACGTACTGCCCAGCTCTCACCTTGACGGGTCTCGGTAAAAACAAGGAAATTTTCAAGGGGACATCGTTGATATCATGGGATACTTTGGTTTTCTCTTGCTCACTGTATTCCGTGGTACTTAAGAACCTGGCTCGTGGATATCCGTTCCCCGAGAAAATTCCATTACGATACAGAAGCATCGCAATATATAAGAGTGAGGTGACAGCAAGCATGCCCACCCCAACAATCAGATATAATGATGGAAGCAACTCAACTTTCGGTATGTGTCTCCAAATACCATATATACTGGCAATCGTGAGACCTTGATGAGATCGGAGAAAGGCTTCGTAGGAGAACTTCCGGACAAATGGCAGCGATATTAATAACAGCGCTGCCAAGCATCCAGCTGCCTATCCATAAAATTAGACCCCAAAGGCGCCATTCAGGCCCGATATAGCTTACAACAATGGTAGAGAGGCGTCGTTCCTTTGATTCGTCTGCTGCAGATTCAGTATCAAGACGGAAGCCATGAGCACTCATATGGAGCACTGTTAAAGCCGCTGTCATCCATCCCGACACTCGATGTAATTTGCGATAAAAGGGCAACGAGATGCCTAAAAGATCAGCTGCAAAGCTTAGATGTAAAGCTACCACAGGAAAAGCCATATTGATAAGCGAAAGATCGCCAGCGCGGCGGCCAATGATTTCCAACGAGGAACTTTTGTAGCACGCGAGGAAAATATTAATGGTGGCATAGGTCAAATGGGTAAGTATTCCCGCGGGGCTCCAAGGGCCCGCAAGTGAGTGACGAGAGATAACAGAAGGGTAGATCAAATGACGAAAGACAAAAACTCGAGCTGAATCTTTCCACTGAACAAGTGATTTGAGAATTCTAATCAAAGCGAAGGTCAGAAGTAAGCTTCCCGCCAGTATGGCGTATATCACAAGGGGTTCCATGATCTGGATCTCCACTGTGCCGAGAATAATGTAAGATTATTGTTGGTTATGTGTCCATGAAAGGATATGTATGCGAACTTAAATAAAATTCCAAGATAAGCTACGGCCTAATTACTGTACAAGATCACGAAGTAGAAATTTTTCGAAGGATGCCGCCGAGGATTTTGATTTCGATGACAACAATGCTTTCTGGTACTTGCGAAGGGTGGTCTCGCGGAAAGTTTCGATTTCATGGTCGCAAGCCTTGGCTGTGGGAACTTGCTCTTCATCCAACAGGGATATGTTTTCATGGTCGCAGGTGTTGGCTGTAGGAGCTAATTCTATTGGCCCCAGCAACGGCCGATATCGGTGGGGGCAGGGATCTGTTTTCATGGTCGCAAGCCTTGGCCGTGGGAAATTGCTCTACATGCAGCAGAGAAATGATTTCATGGTCGCGGGTGTTGGTTGCAGGAGCTCATCTTATTGGCTCCACAACGATGGCAACTGCAGAGATATTGTTATGGCCGCGTGTGGAAATCACGAAGTTGGGCTCTTCTTTTCCCGCTCTGTGACGAGTCGGAACAGAACCGAAATCTAACTGCTTCGTGCCGATACCGCCCCTCTATACTTTCCTAATCTGGGGAGACGAATTTGTCATAGAAGCAAGACTGGTTTTCCGGATTTATTTCATTGTTCACAGTCTTGGAAACTTACTCGTCTGCATCCGAATAGATTCGCGCACCGTCCGAGCAGACTAACGCCATCATCATGTATGACAAGAATGAACGTAACGGGCTTGCAGCTAGACAAGAATCTCCTGTCAGCTGCGACTGCGAATTATCTTTCACGTCTAGACGAGGTTTCCCTCATCCTGGACATCCTTCCCAGAAGTACACCCTTAATTGGAAAATCAATCAGGCAGGTCTAGGATGGCTCAGTCTCGGCAACTACTTTGGTTACTCTACCGTCCTAATCAAGAGGAGAGAAGCAAACAAAGAGCAAAGTTACTTCCCAGCACTACAGTCGGTCTTTCACCAGAATTTGGTCGGCTTGGTGGAAGCATTCTATGATGAGGGCTTTCTCTACCTAACTTACAACTACGACGGACTGGTTGTAAGCTTGTCGCAAGTCACCACTACCCCGAGCGTTATTTTGGGAGAGTTCGAGACTGCGGGCATCCTTCGTGGCATCCTACGCGGCCTGGAATATGTACATGAGCGTCTCAGAATTGGACATGGAAATATTGACGGGGATAATATCCTTTTGACTCCAGATGGCATCGTTAAGATTGGTGAGCATGAAGTTTGTCAGGTCATCAATTAAGTACTAACGATAGTAGCCAACATTGGAGATGCCATGATGCAAGAACATCATACAAGCTTTCTTGATGATCGTGAAAAGCTTCGCGCCTTGTTTGTGGCTTTGAGCCAAACTAAGAGCCGGAATGATAATTGCTTGACGGAAAAGGACCAGACCTCAGGCTTGACTTATTATGCGCAACATCTTGCGGAGCAACTTGTATCATCTCCGTACTCGTGTTTATTTGAGGTACGACCCGTTGACTTAACTCGTCCAGCGCTAACGAATTTTTAGCATGTATTTCTAGAACAAGGAGGCCAGGATGATCGTGCATGGCATCTGATTCCTCACTATTTGGATAAAATACTACACTGGGGGGTCCCGAAGGGATAAAGAAAGCACACTAGCTAATGTACCTAATTACTATCTTATAAACTTAGTTACATATGCTCAACCCTCTTTGCATCGCAGCAAATGTCGTCTTGGCGCATGATTCTGTTGAGTTCAAAACCGAATTATCACCAAAAAATTGATTCTGTGTTCTCGCTATAACTTCCTTCCATACACTATCTCGAGTGAGGCTGACCCAAAGCTGAAGGATTAGCCTGATCCTGCATTGTGAAAGAAAACGCCTAGGTGGAAGTTGCGCGACCATCGGAGTAAAATATGCGAGCGTGTTCTTGTCTAAGCTTCTCCAATTTTCCGAATTTGTATATGATAAGTAAAGCCAGACAGGAGGCAACGGAAAGACCGGACGCAATAACAGTTAGCAGAGCCATGATCGACCAGTTGCCACCATGAGCCGTATAAAGACTGATGATAGTTGTCAGGAGACCGGCTAATGCATTCAGTAGAGTTGGCCTGGAATAGTTTAGCAAAGGCAAATACATTGTGGCACGCTTCTTACATGAAAATTCTGTTAATAAGCCAAATATAATTACCCCGGTGTTCCCAATAGAGCCACGCCATAATGATCAAGCCTGTGACAAAAAGAAAACATGCTATGGCGAGTAGCGGAGGATTTTGTATTTTATCAAGAACCATCTCCCCAGCTTCGCTTGCCATAAAGTCCTTTGAAACTGCATCTGACTTCTGTAGCGAAGTGAACGTGCCAGGCACCACCAAGTAGCCGGCCAGCAGGATCCAGTGTGCGGCACTGGCAAGTATGTTATACTGCCATGGTACCTCATCAGCCTCCACTATCATACGGGCGTAGCGAGTCTCAAAAGACTCATAATGTGGAGCATTTCTCTGAAGGGTGGATGAATCAAAGGACATTATGTTGGTTGAAGAAAAGGAAAACATGGAGCGGCGGGTGTGGCCTTTATACCTCGCTGATAATAGTCAATCTCCTCAAATAGAGGCCACTGGTACGCGGCATTGACTGAAAGGGAATTAGTATTTATCAATAACCCTCTTGACCCTTTTAGGAAAATCAGCTCGATTTTACGTGGAGCAGACCCTTAAACGGATATCAGTAAAGATTCCCCCCCCCCCCCTCTGGCCTGATAAAGTACTCATTTGACGCCGTAGCAGAGAACTTCTAAACTTTCAATGCTCTATTAAATACATACACTACATACACAGGTATAATAAACATGGATGATGTATGCTGTTGATCCTCAGGAGATGTTATCCTCAAGAGTTCTGTTCAAGGACATTGGTTTCTTCCTTCGCATCCTGTTGTACCTTTGTATTCCAATGTAGTCTATATAGTTTTTCCAGACCACATAGATGCTCCCGTCTTGCAGAAAGCCACTCTTGAGAGACATGATCCGGCTCATCCTGACTCGCAGAAGTTTGCATATCTTTGAAGCCTTTTCTATCTAGTCCGTTGTAGTATTTCTCCTATGAAACGCTTGATTAGTAAGTCTTATTAAGGTAAGTAGTTGACTCACAAGTAACCCATCAGGGGGTGGCCAAAGCAAGTCATCTAGAGACTTATAGACAAAGCACTCTCTCTCATGCTCGATAAATAGATATACCCTTGCGCCGCATTTTTCCGAAAGCTTATGAGCCTTGGACTTTAACGTATTGGATAGGTTCTTGAATTGGATGCGGGCTTTCTTGTGGGGATCAGGGCCGCCCATGATTGTGACAAATATCAAAGACGGGCAAAAATGAAGTATTATTAGTCTGATACGCGAAAATCACCATTAAGTTCGACGGTTTTGATAACCCAAAGAGTATATTTTCGAGAACAGAATAAGACACGTCTTTGTCTGAAAAGCTATCGAGTCGTAAATCGGATCCTACATCCTAATTATATACCGGGAAAGATTGCAGGGGCATGGCCTATGCGTGTGCGCGTTTCCTAGAGCCAAGATCTGCAGACGTTCTTGATTTGCGCCTCCTTTTGCCTTTGGTGGCGCATCCTGTCATGTCACATTCATGGCATGGCACCCGGCAGGGGTATCCGTGATCTTCACGGCCAAAAGGCACCTCCAGACCTTGCCGCAAAGTAAAAGTAGCTATAGTCTCTGGAAACCCGGATAGCCTCCACTTTCGTTTTGAGCCATTCTGAATATAAACATTTACTGTGTGGTCCAGATGCCGAGTCAGTAATGAGATCGGGCGATTATAGCACCCACAGGAGGCGCAAAGGCTATCCAGACCCCCGAAGTCGTCGATCACACCAGAGTCGGAGACATAACTAAGCCCTTCGGGATAAAGTTGCTCCAGTGCCGCAATGATCTTCTTGGCTGACCCTTTGCAGCGTACTGAGCCAGAGCACCAAAAGGGCGAAGCAGTACGCTCCGGTAATGAGCCCACAACGAAGAAAAATCTAGACACAAGCAGGGTTGTTGCGGCTTCGCGAGCCATCCGAGCACTTCCGGATTGAAGGAGAACAATATCGCGATAGTCATCCATGGTATCAACAGCATCGATAGTTTGAGGCGCTTGACCCAGGGAAACGTCGAGACGATGGCAATCTCCTCTGACTTCACCACCCAGTCGAACTCTCCATTTTTTCCAGTCGCTATCTGTTTCCATTGTTGACATCCATGCATCAAATCCCCTACGTAGAAATCCGTCACGAAAGATGTGGCGGAAATGCGGGGTGTGGTCGTTAGGCTGGGCCTTTCCAGTTCCGAGTGACAGCATCCGTATGGAGCCCATCGAGGAGGGCCAGATTTGGTTGGAAACCCGATTCGCAAGATCGCCAGCAAAATTATACTTTAAGCCCCCATCCTGAAAGGTTCCAATCCCCTGTAGGTCCACAGGCGTAAAGAAGCTTCCCAGCCAGTTATTAGTTGGTCCGTGCAAAGCAAGCGTGTGATTGACTTACAACGGAGCAGCCGCGGTGGCTCGGGCTCTGTATTTTTCTTTATTAGCGCTGTGCATGCATCTAGCCTCGTGAATCAAGACCTACGCTTCCCGTACAGATGGCTCGTGTCGCATGTCATCAGGACGTAATATATGATAATCTGATGGTGTTAGTCATGAAGACTCGCTCAGCCTAGAATAACTTGCCGACTTCTGTCTCCGCGTATTTCGATGCGTTAAAATTCCCGATTACATAAGTACTCGTACTTTTGGAAATGCTCGTAGTTACCACGCCGACCTTAACACCTGATCGTAACGGAACCCGGGTTCGTTCTTCATTTGCGCCGAACAGGCAGCGGGTTTCTCCAAACGCATCCTTCAAAGTAGCATCGAACACCCGAGAGTCATAACAACTATCATGTAATAGCCATTGTATCCATTTAGCCGCCTCGCCAATCACAGACTTATATCCGGAAATTGGATGGAGAAGGGAAGGCAAGACTGATGGCCGTCTCTGAGAAAAGATACGACGCGCTAGCGTATTGAAACGTTCAGAGCAGTCCGCCACATCCCAGGCCATTGCGAACAACCCCAGAGCAATAAGTCCCCCCTGTGAATTTCTGTCAGCCTTTTGTTTTAGAGAATATAGGTGGTATCTTTGACTTCGACTGACCAGAGCTAGTGCCGAGGGCAAGGTCAATTACCTCTTGAACATTACATGGGTGCAAATGCTCTTGTAATAAAAGAAGGAATTCCAAGGGGATGACACCCCTGACACCTCCTCCATCAATGGCAAGTATTGTGGGGCTCATTGTCGGCGGGAGCACGTCTACTGTCAGCGGTTCTTGATACAGACAGTAGAGACAGCCTTTGAAAATGAATTGATGCTCCATCCCTGCCACTGGGCTCCCAAATACTTGAACGCATCGATCACACATCCCGTGGCCACAAACCAAAATATGTTGTGCAGCATGCAGAAGACAGAAGAGGCAGATGAGGTTACTTCGCAGACGACACAACTGGCCACTTTGCGATTCGAGTTGTTTCCTCCGGATATTCACAGACGTTTTCTTGCTTTCCCAAAAAAGGTCGAATAACTGCGAGAAATTTCGTTCCACCAGATCGGTCTGTTGGGCGGGGCATAAAGACGGCCACAGTGTTTGAGATCGGCAATACGTCTGCTTTACGACAGACCGATACAGTGTTCCAAAAACGGAACAGGGACTAATGGCTTTGTGGCGTCAGCTTCTACCAATGGAAATTGGGAATTATTTCACACACCGAACATCCCTGGCACATAATGGTCCATGAACAGGGCTGATGCAATGGATGGTGCTAGCTCGCACGGAGAAAGGCACGCGCGATGGCCGATTTCAAGATAGTGCGTTAGGTTCGATTCTGCGCACAGACCCACAGGGCGATCATTCCGCGTGGCTGTTACTATGTCGAACGGGCTAGACAAGTCACCAATGGTGTGCTGAACTGCAGACTGAAACAATGCTGCGAGATGCTTCCCATTTGGGCGAACATGGTTAATTTGCCGAAGAAATGATATTGCTTTAACCTCTTCAGCAATAGCAGATTTGATACGCAGATACTTCGCAGTATCTGACAATGGGGTGATTGGAAGGTGGATGCATGAAACACCGGAAAATATCTCGGACAAATCTTCGCTCGCGCTGCCTCGAAGACTGTCACGGAGGGGATCCTCCTTCGATGTATTGGCCTCGCAATTCTTGAATCCATTGTCATATACGAAGATCACTCTGGGTAAAAGTGACTGTGCAAGAGAGGATGCAGAACCAAGCCGAAGGTATTCGGTCAGGAACTCCATTGCCTTATCGAGGCTGGATTTATCATCAACAAATATACAAACGACATCAGCAAACATAAAAACGAGACGCGACCACAGAACTTGCAGCAACTTTCCCGCAGAATGAATGTCCCAGGATACGGGAAGACCCATGCCAGGTGCGAGATCCTTGGGGAAGGGGAAAGACCCTGTGCAAGGAATATCACCGTCGGCCAAAAAGGTGGGCTGTGAACTATCCAGTGAAGCAATATCATATCTCAGTCGGATGTGGGCTTCAGAAGAATGTCTCTTTATGTTGTTTAAGGTGTAAATCTGCTGGAGAGCATAGTCCTTGCATTTACCACCCAAGAAAACACATAACGACGGACGCTGGGACTCTGGGCTTGACAATTGAGCGACTATACGTGACAGCCGCCCGTGGTCGAGCACGGCAAGTCTGGAGTCTTCTCGGATACCGACATCAAGCCAGGCAATGTCTATGGTATTCTGCATCGTGTAACTCACCAAAGAAATCCCAAAGTTGAATTGTTCTGCATGCGCTAGCCACGAACATTTAAGATCGAAAATGTTCCTTCATTTCCTTATTGTTTCACAGCCAGGGTGATATTTGAGCCTAGACTCGCCGGGCTCAAATATGCAATCACTGGAAGGTAGTCGTGGCGCTAGTTGATCATATTCTCACCCTCCGCTCACCCCAGTCTCACCCTAGCTCTCATTGACCTCTGAGTATCATTGTACCGAGGTACCTTTGTCAAAGGATGACGATCGTAGACCAGGATCGGCTAGGCAGAAACAGGGCAGATAGGAATTGACCGAGCTCATCCTGGTACCTTAAACAAACCGTGTCTAACCAATCAGCTGCTGGGCGCGAATGTTGGGAGGGGTCGGCATTTGGAAGCTCGCAATTATTTAAGCACCATATGTGGCAAGCTATCGTTCGTTCATTCTCTAGAAGATGTCTCACGCTGAGTATTTCGACTCGTTTGAGTCTCCTATGGATTTCAATACTGCATTCGGCATGTGGACAGCATACGATTCTTTCTCATACTTTCCACCCCTTGAAGACTATGAAAATACGGTGGCAGGAGCTCCAACTCTTTACACGGGAGAATACTTCAATGAGGAGCAAGTCCTTCCTGTGGAAACTATTGAAAACGCTGCGCAACCAACCGTTTCTTCGGATGCACATATGACAGACGTTCGAGATGATCATTTGTCGCGACATGAAAGGTAGCATTCAAACTATAGGCCAACCGGTTGGAAAGCGCTAACTGTGTTTTTTCTAGTTATTTCCCTCCCTCTGAGATCTTCCACCACCTAGCCCAGCCTATAGAACAGTTCACGACCACCATTCATACTTTGACACAGACTCTAGAGTCCAAAATGGATGCATTTAGTAGCCATATCGGACAGATGGAAATCCAGACGAACAATCTAGACTTTCGGCTCGACAAGATGAACAGCCGATTTGATAACATGGACGGTCGATTTGACCATATTGACAGTCGATTTGAGGAGATGGACAGTTGGCTTGCTAAGCTGGATAGCCAGCTTGATAGTATGAACAGCAGGCTGGAGAAGATGGACTACTTTGTGGAAAAGATGGATGCAAGTATCACAACTCTGCATGGTTATCTGCTTGAAGTGGTCAAGCACGAGAAAGGATTCTTGGAGAAAATTACTGGTTTTCAAGACGTCATAAATAGCCATTAGTTGAAAGCACGTAATAGATGACTGCGCTGCGGGATCCCCAATATTCTAGTTGCTAGTACATACAACAAACACGTTTCAGTAGACATCACATCAATTCCCTTCCGGTCTGGTCGCACCACACAGGGACTAGTACAACATGTCACTCAGTCAAAGACAATTTTCGACTTCATCGGCTTCGCCTGCCCATCACTATCCAGACATTTGATTCCAGTACTCTGTTTCAGAAATAACCTCCGTCTCCGTCTCCGCTGTTGGTTTGCCACAGCTCCAGGTATTGCTTCTCGGATTCATGCAAGCGAGCGGTGGCTCGTGAAAGGGCATCATCTAGAGAGTTGATAATCTCGTACATGTTCTCTTGTAGTTGAAGTAAAATTTGTTTTGTCTCTTTGTGCCAATGAAGCTCTGCTCTGAGGTAACTTATTTCATATGCAGATTCTTCCATGCGAGCCTTTGAGTCTGGCGATGAACGCTTCGCTCGTTGCAGCCTAGAGTGCAGTCTTTCAAGATTGGATGATGTTCCTCCGAGGCAGAAGACCTGGTGGTCCGCGGGTGTGATTTCCTCTGAGATTGGCTCGAGGCGCTGGTAGGAATACCGACTCATTGCGAATTTAGAAGGTGTGTGTGTCGGTTCTTGGTGGTGTCTGTTCCACAAAATAGGTATAACATCGTGAGGTGGAACTTAACCAAATTAAATGCGATAAACCATCATTTTGCCTCATCACCCGGTGACGCAATCTCGCGCGAGCACAAGAAAAGCTCTGAATACGCAACGTGAGGCTGTCTCACCCGGAGCGCATGAGTCGCTGGAACCAACCCCCTGCGGTTTGTCCAAATTCCTAAGACCAAAACCTTTACCTAGCCATTTTCGGTCATTCTAATGGCTTGGAACTTCGAGCCAATGAAATAAATAAACTATTGTTGGGATCTGCAGTTCTGGACTACATCGTAAGCCTTTCCTTGTCGCAGCGTGCGCGATCTCCTGACTACGTGCAGATTGCGACACCATTTTCAGTCTAGCGAAAACAGCTAGAATTTATTTTCGGAATGTATGTCCGCCGATCTGAGGCTGTAATTTATCTTGCTTTGTGACACTCAGTACCGTCTCTAGCTCGGGACAATCTCGTCGTGGCCAGCGTCGCCGAGAGAGTCTTGGGCAGCATATAAAAACCGACCCCCCTGCTCCCAACATGTACAGCAAAATAAGAAAGAATTAAACCTTGTTGCAACGCTCGCTATGTCTTTCCAGAATTTTGCGTTGGTCCCATCGTCTGGGGAGAATGATTATCAGGTAGGCAGCCGACTTTGACGCATTTGCAGTAAATCCTAACCAAAATCTAAGAGCCAGACCGATACAGTAACTGCAAAGCAGAGCCACAGTATTTTCCCTTTTATTGAGGGTTTGCTGCGCCAGGAACAAAGATCGAAGCGTTACCAAGGGCAACTGGAGTCGAGAATTTCTGCCGATTCGGCGGAGTACCAGCGATCACGTGCCTATTCCTTTCAGCTACAGAGAACGGTTCACGAACTACAACATCACAAAGCACAGCTGGAGATATCTCTGGCGCATACAGCAGATGCTTGTCGTGTAATAGCTCGCGACCTTGGCCTCGAGAGAGCGAGGGTTCAAGAGCTTGACTCCCGTCTCACTGAAGTATACCCAAGTATCGACTTACTGCTACAAAGACTAGCACCTGCAGACAACATGAGTCCACAAAAAGAAGATGGGCTGAATGGACATTTTCTACTCGAGAACCAACGCCAACAAGAAGTGATTGCAAGCTTGCAGTCCATGCTCCAGGCGCGCGAGGAGGCGATCAAGGAGCTGAAGTACAAGCTAGAGCAAGTGAGACAAGAAACAAGCTTGGTGGGTCTTGTCGACCCGGAGAATTTGAAAGATGAATTCTCTGAAGATTCTTGCTTGGAAATCATCACTCAGAGTCCTGCCCCAGCAAAAGAACATTGATCGAACTATTCATATTTTTAGCGAAATCAATGCTCGTCGGTGCCGTATACAAATGAACCTTTAATGTATTCCGTAAATTGTATTAAAAGCCAGGACGCTACTGCCTAGAGAATTTAGCGTCGCCGGATAAATCGGCCGCGTGATGTTTTGGAGGAAATGAGAAAGCTAATTAATCTTATCATAGGTAGGACCCACTTCCCACATTCCCCGAGATGATCATCGTGAGTGAAACTGCGATGATTGGTAGATCAATTATTTCTTTCGCCAAGGCGCGAACAGCTTTCGAAGGTTCGGGACAGACCTTACCGGGCGATCCCGTTGGCCAAAAGCTTTTCCTTCTTCCCATGAACCCCGGTCAGCACTTAATAAAAAGGGTGCACACCATAAAAGGCAGACTGACTCAAAGCACATGACCCTGCATGCATGCACGTATCTGCCGTTAGACTTGTCTTCTCGAGTACCTATCGGACGTAAAAGTCCATTGAGGAGCACGAGATCGTTGCCCCTGGCTCGGGTGGCAATTATGTCTAGCTTAATGGCCTCACTTAGAGTTTTTTTATTCCCAACGGCGCCAAAAACTTTCTTTTCATTGGACAATTATTAGTGCCTGTGCTGCTCGTGGACCTAAGGATAGTGGGGCAGAGATGCCGTCTAGGCACCCCGGAAAGGTTCCCACGCGCTGTCAGGCACGGTTTTCCTTGTCAAAAAAAAGTGCCAGAAATGAGGACCCTGGACTCGAAGATCAGAGCGCACATTTGGGGGCCAAGACGTGGAGTTCCAGAGGTCCACCTTGAATGGTTACATCCCATCCCCCGATTGTCGGATCTAGACCTCCTTCGGCTCCAGTATTTGGAATTGATCCTTGCAATGAACTTTCTTGGGCCTAACAGTATGGAGGAAGTTTGCTAGCCTGATCAACTCGTCTCAGGAAGTAAATTTGGTACCGAGTTCACTAGTCTGTGAAGCTCCGTATTCTGCGAATTATCATCAGTTCACGGAAGGTGATTGCAGGGATATGAATTTTGTCACCCATTCGCAAAATTGCTCGTCATCCTGCCATCCCAGGCCACATTCCTGTTGGCATGCGATGGAATCTCCAGCCTCTGACGCCGTTTGTTTCCCGGCTTTAATCATGGATCCTCCCATTGTCGATTTTACCTATCGTGGCAAATACGGCCAATGGGAATCCTTTGATATCCTTCAACAGAAAGCCCATTCGATTCAGAAGCAGCAGAGGGTATACTGGACGTGATTCATAAAAATGGGAGTATCGCAAAACATCAAGGTGCTGCACTTTTTAGAGACAGAATTGAGGCGAGAATTAATGAGTCCTTTACCTGCAAAAGTCCGATTGTTGAGCAATTGAGTGACGATGGATTAAACACTGGGGCCTCACTGCAATGGATTGATCTCATCAGTGCTGATCTGAGCCAAGTGAGCCCGTCGAGCGATGGAAAATATCGTTACAATACGGGTGAGTTTCGCGTCGTGGTAACGCAAGAGGATCGTGATACACTTTGCTCTGCTTTCCTTCGGAAACTGGTCCATTCCGCGGACCCTGAAGACCTGGATGAAGAGAAAAATGCCAGGGTGAGCGCCAAGACAGATGTTCTTGGTTTGTTAAACGAAGTTCATCATGGTAAGCAATCTGAGTCGCAGTCTTGTGTGTAAAACTGACACGAAGCAGCTTCCGAGACCCTCCAGGGGGTTTTGGACTCTCTTGAATTGCCAGGAAAAATGAGAAATGATACCTTCCATCCATCAGCACTTTTAGCTCCACCTTGCAGTGAATCGCCTGACTGCCAGACGCCTAAAAGCGCAATTCCTGGCATCAGCTCAGAACCTCCCGACGGGAATGAAGCTTTACCAAACGAGGAACCCAATCCGGTGACTGGTGACAAAGGGGCTTTGGCATCCGAAAGAGATGACCAATCAAAAAACTCTGGATTCCTCTTATTTAGCATGAGGAAATCAAAATCCAAGGCATCCGATCGCAGAAGAAATGGAGGGCGATGGAGTGTATCCGAAAGAAAGGATTTGAAAGAATACATACGTGGCCGAGAAGAGCTCAGTTGGCAGCAAAAGGTTGATGGATATCGCCGACGCTTTGGAAGCCATCGTAGCGATGATTCTATCAAAACGCAGGCTCGACTCATGGGATTCCATGTCCCTGATCAGAAGAAGAGTAAAGTTGTTAAGCTCAAAACCCGTCTTCCGAGTGTTGACTCCAATCGACTCGAGACGGCAGGATCTAGTGCTATGGATGACTCCGAAACAGGTGAAATTCTGTACAAGGATGCAAGTTCCGGATCACGGACTCCACAGTCGCTGAATGCATCGAAAACACCAGATACAAGTGCTAGTATCGGCGAGATGCAACCCGTCGAGGCTACACCAAACCTTTTAGTCGATGGTGGAGACAGCCTCTTTGGATTACATCCTTCATTTAATGGGCCCCAGAGGTCAAGGCGAAGTGCCTTGGAACAACTATTGAACTGAGGCTGTGCGTTTATGAAGTTTACAGTACTCTCTGTTAATCCTTTTTTTGCTCTGCCCCACTTGAGAGAACAGGGGACTTCGCTGGTATCTTGTGTACTGTAATTATTTAACACAATATTATGCTAGTAATCTAGTAGAACTTTTTCTGTAAGTGACGCCAGGTCTCCCTAATTGTCGGCGGTTGTTTGAACTAAAGAAATTTCCCTATTTTGTTAACATACCACTTGTGTGTGGATTGCCATTGCTGTACTTTAGGCATGACATGGAAGGGATGCGAGCCGGTATATCTTGCGCGATTTTTTAGCCAGGCCCAGTTCTTACTTGGACCCGCAACAGTTAATTTGTTAGGATATCGAAACAGTGTCGCAGCGGGGACCTCGCACTGGCCTTTATGATGTCAGAAGCGTCAGTTGCGACACTGTTTTACTTCTACCGGCTGTCTGTACATGCTTTAGAAATTTACATTCAATATATTATGGCTTCGGCTGCTTCTGAGTATCGAAAATATTTCCAGGCAAACCCAAGTAGGTCATAAAATCAAAATGCATCTAATTGCTTTTCTTGGACTGGTGACAGCGACTGTGTCTGCCATTGTTGACCGGCAAAGTCTTCCCCGGCCAGAATGTAGGGATCAAACACAAAATTTAAAAGATGTAAGTGTTTATCACATATCTAGAACAGTTTTTATGATGTAAGTGTGTCACTGACTTGGCGATATTAAGTCCGACCTGACAGACTGTTATATGACTTCCCCCCCAGAGCGCTCTTATGCCAGATTATAGGGAAAGGATGGTGGTGGAAGTACAAGAGGCTGATCATCGAGAGAGACAAGTAAAATTCATTCAATTAAAGCCTTTCTAATTATCAAAAAGAACTCCGGCTACCCAGGCTGCATCGTCGCTTTTGTTTGCAAGGGAAATGGTGTCTGCACAGGCTTCGGTCTTATCGCAGGACCTTAATTTGATCTATTTTTCAGAGATCCAAAGATACAAAGAGACAATTTTCCCTCCTCCAGCCCAGCCGAGTACTCTGGGTAGCGTTATTACAACAAACACTTCACCGCTCCCGAAAGGCACCGATGTTGGGCAGCTGAATATTCAGAGTAAAGCAGCACCTATGAGCAAGATATCATTTGCTCTGTACAATACTTCAGTTTCTTTAGTATTAGCATCTATGGGGTCTGTCTTGATGCTTGCACTGTTTGATTGGCAATTGCCGCCGTTTCCTTTTATGTAATCAGGCTTTAATGGCAGAATCCTTGAGAAAGCCCAGTTTGTGTACGCGGCCAATGTATGCATTTACGTCGCTTAGTTTGAATCTCATTCTGGTTTTAGACGATCCTGAAATAAACACTTAATACACAGCATTCCGCGAGGGTTCCTACAGTACAGTATCTCGAACACAGACTGCGTTCCTCATTGTCATTTCGTCTTTGTCACATTTCCCAGAGGCAAGGACACACAGCAAAACAGATTCAGCAGGAGTTTCTCCTTGCTCCTCACATCTTTCTTCATTTCCTCAGATTCTGAGGTCAAAATGCCAAAATGCCATTCTTGTTTAGCCCATGCAGTCCTTCTGTCAAACATAATCTGGTTTTTCACTTTCGTAATTGCATTCATCTGTTCGTCGACAGAGTACTGTTCTTTACTATCCAAACAAAGGCGACACAGCGTGTAGATGTTGATTTTTCGTTTTGCTGGAAGAAGATGAGACCATAGGACAGCGAACGAAGAACCTGGGTCGTAAGGAGCGAAGGCAATTTCCGACTTGTATTCTTCAGTCTTCATACATGATATACATGACCACAAAATTTTTCCTTTCATCCTATAGAGCTATTAGCAACATTACCATACATTTCTGAAGACAGCTTACTTCGCGACGGGTAGATTGTTTAGCGCTATCACGGAGAATGTGGCCACTAAGTGGCAGTACAAGACAATTTATACTAACTTAGAAATCTATGCTTTATCTCGGTTGCCTTGAGTAGAAAAACGCTGGTAGGTATAGAGGTATCTGAGACATGGTCGCAGCTCCACCCTGTGCGCACGGGCCTGCGACCATAAAAGAGTAGCGGCAGTGAGATGTATAAAAATTAATAAAGCATATAGCGAAGTCAAAGCTCCCGTAGTTTAAGTCACCAAAGCAGCGAAAGCAAAAAAATACCAGCAAATGGCGAGATTGGCAAATCTTCCACTTGAAATTTTAAGGCTTATCACTGCCAGTCTGGAACGTTCCGCGCTCAGAACCTTTTCTTTGGTGAACAGAAGGTGCAGAGCGGCTAGTGAGCACGACATCTTCAAGACGGTCAAAATCAAGTTCACAAGAGATAGCCTTAATATGCTAGAGGATTTATCAAAATCTTCACTAGCAGCATATGTGAAAACTCTTCGTTACGACGCTTCAGAGTTACTAGATCCGTGTATGTGACATGAGTGCGCCTAACGGGTGTTTTGGCTAACTTCCGCAGTGATTCAACACTGGGAGTATTTCACTTCTTGCATATATACATCGCAAGAATATGCAAGGGACAATGCAGAATTTTATACGAGCCTTAGAGGGAAAAGGTTTTCTTATAGAGCGATATATCGCTACTACAAAGCTCTGGCCCAAGACCAGTGGACAATCATGGAAGATAGAGCAGACGTCCGTGTAATGACTGATACTCTTCCACGTTTCGTGGGCTTAAAGAACATCAAACTGTCTTTTTCTGGAGCCGACGAAGACCAATTACTATGGTTTTCGAAACGGTTGTTTATTTCATATGAAGAATCGCTGAGCTATCATCTCGAAGCGACTTTCAGAGGTATGGCGGCAGCCCAGCAGAAGGGGTTGGCTATTCGATCTGTGGAAGTGGAAGGTATGCATTCAATGCTGCCCAACCAGCACACAAAATTCAATCAAATTGCCGAAAAGGGCCTCATGTCTGTGGAGACTTTCAAGCTTGTTGATAGCCCTGGATTGTTGAGCTTCTTGTCCTTTGTCTCACTACCAAGTCTCCAAAGACTTGAAATCACTGATTGCTGGCTTCTGGGCTTCAATATGATAGAATTCTTGGAAGGTCATGATATGAGAATACAGAAAGTCCAATTCCGTAGGATAAGTCTATTTTATGAAAGGTTTGGGCGAGACAATTCCTACTCAAACTGTGTGAAGGAATTTTGGGAAACTGTTTCTGATACTGGGAATACCGGCAAGATTGAAAGCCTAGTTATTGTGCGAGCTCTTTGAATACATCTCTCTCTCTTTCTCTCTTGGATACTTCCCGCTTTTCCTGAAGGGCCGTTGCAGACTGTGTTGCAGTCTCGGGCACATACCAGCTACCTTTGTGCTGTATTTCGTAGATATATTTATAGGGCTAGGCCTCTATACTGTAAAAAATACTGTAATTAAAATTACTAAGCTTGTCATGGCTCTGAGATAAGTTAAAGGCCTCTTTTTAAGTATATAAGCCAATCCCCCTGTCCTCCCCCTTTAAGCCTTCAAAGGCCTTTTGTACGACTACCATGGATGAGCAATCACCCCCCTTCGGAAACCAAAAGCGGGCCTCTTGGAGGACATCCTGCAGAGAACGTCTATCTCAGCATATCTGTATGATGGTCGCCTCTGTCCCTATATATACATATCTATTAACCTATATATAGGGGAGACTCTTGGTGTGAAAGTGCAACCTTCTGAGGTGCGGCTTAAGCCAGAGGAGGATATGCTTTACAGGTGGAAGATAAAAGACCCTTGTCTTGAATCCCTGTTCCAGAAGCATCTCAGCAAACACTCAGTGGGAGCTTACATGCTTCTTCAGAGAGAAGTAGGGCAAAAGTTTTTTCGCCATTCACCCAGAGAAAGTAAAATTTCCCATGTCGCGTTTGGAAGTCGCACCTACTAAAAGTAGTCTAGGAAGTGAAAAGAAAGGCAGACCTGGATCTCCTTGCTCAACTACAAACCGAAAACTTAGATCTCGCCGAGAAACTCAGATTGGCTGAAAACAAAGCAAATTGCAGCGAGCAGGCTACGATAGAAGCCGAAGATGAGATAAAATCCCAGAACTCGATAATCCGGGAGGCACAGATGACAATCCATTTTCATCAGCAAGACATCCTAAATTGGATGGCCCTCTGTGAATGGTATCAGGCCCGCTGTTTACACTGCTCGAACGTTCTAGGACAGATGACATTGTTCCTGCAAGGGGATTCTAGCGAAGATACTGTATGTCAGCCTTATCGGAATTAGGTTGAAATGATACGTATTCTTCTTCAACTAAATTAATGATGTAGAGCCATTTAAGATTCTAGTACATATACTGTATAGCTTGTTATTTAGTTGATTACATAAAATCTCACTATATTGTCTTCTTTGCCGAGTAAGATAGGCTCACCAGGAGCTACGCCCACTTGAGGCTTTACGGGTGTATCTCGTGGTCTTGGGCCAAGATGCTTGCAACACTATTCTCACCAGCAACTGACTGCGACACCCTTTTGGACCTGCGACACCCTTTTGGACCTGCGACACCTTCTTGGACCTGCGACACCATTTTTAATACGCGTCATCATTTTTGGCCTGCGACACCATTCCTGGTCTGTGACCATCATTTCTGTCCTGCGACACCATTTTGGACCTGCGACACCATTTTTGGCCTGCGACACCCTTTTGGACCTGCGACTCCATTCCTGATCTGTGACATCATTTCTGTCCTGCGAAAGCGTTCTTGATCTGCGACACCGTTTTCATCTCATAGCGATCAACTCATTTTGATATCTTATAAGCAATGCTGCCCCAACGCCTAATGGAGTACACAAACACTTGAAAGGAAACACAAGAAGGACAGCTGGACTGTTCTATTTTCTAGATTCAGAATACCCGCAACTCTATTTTCCACAATGGCAAAAAAGAAAGGAAATAAACGTGCGGACGCTCAGAAAAGTGCCCGCGACATACAGACACCTATTTCCGATCATGAAAGGTCCGATGATTCCGATACCGACAAAGCCAAATCGAACAACACAAATGAAACAGATAGCAGCCAGACCACTTCTTTGATTAACACAACTCGATCGGGATCCCAAGATGCGGAGGCGAGCAAAGACAAGGAGCCAGAACCCGAAACAAAGAAAAACGAAAAGAGTAAAGAAACTGTCCGGAAGGCGAGGTTCGATAGAAGCCCGACTCGAGAGGGCGATTTCGCTTCAAATGCAGGTGACCACGAGTCTAACGATGACGAAGATTCGGATTTAGATAATGCCTCTGATCAAGGTGCCCCGGAAGAACATCAGATAGATCCACTCAGTGGATGGGTGGAAGATATCATTCAGAAAGAGACATCGATCCAGTCAACAACGATGGTTGAGGAATTTTTTACGTCCGAACGCCCTCGCTACGAAGAATGTCAGCAGTTTTTCCAGCAGCTCAACCAGAAGATTCGAGGTGCTAATGAGCAGAATAATGTGAATGATATTGATATCGGCACCATACCAGAGTTGGGTTATAATGGCTTATGCGAGGCTTGGCAGCAGAAAGCAAGCATTGCCGTGGAGAATGAATCAGTTCAGGATTTCTGGAACGCTTTCAACAATACCCACAAACTTCTGAAGATCTTCAACGAAAGACACTTCCTTCCTCAGGCCTGGAATATCAGCCAGGATTGGGCACAGGAATGGGTTGGAGCTCCAAATCCAACTCCGGTTGAAGACCCTAGCTCGGCTTCTACAATCGCGAATGGTCAGTCTTCTTCGACTTCGCAGAAGAGATCTGATGGAGAATTGAGCGACGCCTCCGACTATAACACTCAAACGAATGCGAAGTCTGGGCTCGATGCCTTAGAGGCAAGAACTATAAAACAGCAACGCCAATTGAGATCGGCAGAAGTTCTGTTCTGGTGGCCTAAAGGCACTGGCTCTCAAACGTTTGTGCGCTACGGAGGCAAAACCCCAATTTATCGTATTCGAGCCGGCTCGCACGAGATTTACAACAAAAAGCAGACTCAACGCGTTCTTACAACACAAACTCGGGGAACTGCTAAAGTCTCAGAAACTAAAGATGGACTTCCCGAGGAGCGCTGGGCATACACACGAGACGATGTGGAGGATATAATTGGCATCGGCTGGAAGATTGAAGATGATGACGAAGAGGGCTTTGATCCTATTGATCTTCTTCGGCCTGCTAAGGGCGCAATTTATCCGCATACTCGAGCTCTAGTAACGTGGAAAGATGGTATTGCTTCGCTGGAAGGTCGGGCATTCATTCGTCGTATCACAACTGGCTCATCCTTGGATGGTGATCGAGTGATATATCAGAAAGCGAACGAGCACGAGATCGCCTACCGCAAGAAGTATGGGCTGGAAGAGTACGACGATAATGCCTACGACGATAGAGACCCTGACACGGAGAGCGATAGCACGGTGAACTCCAGAAGGGCTCGCAATCGAAGACACCATAGTAAGCCCACGCGATCCTCGAAATCAACAAAGAAATCCAGACACCAGTCGCGATATGAGACCAGCGATAGTAGTGACACCGAAAGCGATTCCTCCTCGCAGGCTCACAACAGTCATCGCAGAAGAAACCGCAGTGAGCCAGTTACTCGTCAAAAATCCGCACAACTGGAAAGGTTTGATAAAGCTCTCATCAAGAAACTTGAAAGAGAGATCCAAATGCTCAAGTTAGGAAGGTCAATGTCTCCAGGAGGGAAGCCCAGAGCGCAACCGAGGGCTCACCGACGAGGAGGGCATCGCGAGCGCACTGATTGATAAGGACGAATGGATCTGTGATATATTTTTGCGACACGGCCCTTCTTAGGCAGATTCAACATGCTGCCTCATTCCTCTGATACGTGCGCGGAGAAGTATAGGGGGTGCTTCTATTTTGCCAGTTTTTTAGTGTACTTCTTTTCTTTGCAGCGTCCCGATAAACGTGGGAGTCCGAGTCTTTCCCGCAGTCTCTGTTTTTTAATTAAATTGCTATCAATGTATGAGAATTTGTGAACGATTACTGTAGCAGAAATCCTCGAAAATCAGTCGAATGAAATCTAGAAGTTGGTGATATGTGATGCTATCTCTCGCTCCAACCCATAATTCCAACAATTAAACCTGCAGTATGGCGAAGGCGGTGAGGATATGTAAAGTCTAGTACACTTTACTTAAAGATGAATTGCCTCCAATGTCTGGATGCACGCTTTCAAGAACAAGAATATGAGGCCGATCAACCGAATCCAAAGGGTAGGAGCGCAAGCGATTGTTGGGACATTCCTCACAGTCGCGACCAGCGTAGCGGAAGCGGAGGCTCATATTGCCACAGTGCAAAACCGGCTCTGGAGACGAGCTGTGAAGATGTGGACAGACATGCATACCCTACCAGCAACCAATCCCCTCCGCAGGAGTACAGCTCAGATCAAGAAATTCAGAAGATACCACCGTTCACCATTATATCATGTTGCAGACGCGCTGAAAAGAATCGAGATGGAATCACTGGAAACCATCAATCCATTCACCTTGGCACCATGGGAGGAGCGTATGCAGAGCGATGGTCATGAAACCCCAGAGACACAGACCGAAGCAGGTGGAGCCAAGCGGATCGTGGTCAGCAGTTCAGCACGGAACGATCTGGTTGGATTTGGAGTGGCGATCGAGAAGCAGCCACCTCTTTATCGAAAACCGAGGCTGAAGACCTTCTTTGTCACACTAGGCGCAAGAGCAGATCAAAACCCATACTCCGGGGAATTGGCAGCAATTGTATACGCACTGGGCACGCTACAGGGACTGAAACGGTGCAGGGTCACGCTACTCACGAGCAACAAAGCGGCGATTCTCACGCTGAAGAATCCTCGACAACAGTCAGGCCAGGAACACATCTGCCAGGTATACAAGCTGATCAAGAGACTACGGAAGCATGAGAACCACATCAACATCTGTTGGATCCCGACCAGCGAAGATAATCAACTGCTAGGCCTAGCAAAAGAGCAGGCTCGGATCGCGACCCAAGAGGATTCTACCCCGCAAACACAGGTCCCCCGGATAAAGTCCACAACACTGAACATCTCACGATCCCAAGCAGTCCCCAAAAATTGCCTGCCAGAGAATATAGGGAAACACTCCAAACGAGTGGATGCAGCACTTCCAGGGAAACACACCCGACAGCTGTATGATCGATTAACTTGGAAAGAAGCAAGCGTGCTAGCCCAGCTCCGGACTGGCATGGCGAGACTTAATGGATACCTCTATCGAATCAACATTGCAGAGACGGATCAATGCGCATGTGGACAAGCCAGAGAGACCGTGGAGCATTTCCTCTTTCGGTGTCAGCGGTGGACCACACACCGAACGGAAATGTTGCAATGTACCCATTCTCACCGAGGCAACATGTCCTTTTTCCTAGGCGGCAAATCGCCTCTGGATGACCAAAACTGGAAGCCGAATATGGAAGCAGTGCGAGCTTCGATACGATTCACAATCGCCACGGGCCGACTGGACGCCACTTAGCCATGTCGACCAACACAAACGAACCCCCCCAACCCGAACTAACCCCCACCCACCACCTCGTGCCAGAGACGGTAGACGCGCTTCAACTGCCGAGAATAGGACGTTGAACACTTGAAGAAGCGCCTTCAAGCCAGCCTACTAACAAAATTACTATCCCGCGAGGACCCACCACGATAATGACAGCTGAGATGACATATACTGAGAGTAACCATGTATGGGCTGCAAGGAGACATTGCATATGTTAGGACATGTATTGGTAGATTAGTGACAGTTGCCCTTTCGGCTTAGCCACCGGGCGTTAATAAATTGTGTGTGTGTGTGTAACAAAGTCAAACAAGACCTGCAAATTACCTTAGGTCGGCCAGTCAAGATGTCCGCAACTTGGTCGAAGTATCCCCAAACTTCGGCATAATGCGAATCTATCGACCACTTGATTCTAGATCGGCCTTCGCTATTCAGCACTTGCCCGTATTCCGTTTTGGCCCACCATATTAGAAAGTCAATCGAGTTCTCTGATTCGTATAGGATCCAGTTCTTTCTGCGGTTCGGTCCGACGCGTTTTAGAATCGGCGGGGGTTGTTGACTGGATATGCTACTCCGTCGGGGTTCCCTGAAAGGCTGCATGGCCACTTAGCATGTTCGCTCGCGTCGGGAACAGGGCGGGCGAGATTTGAGTGCGCATAATCTCAATGTTCATACCGAGGATTGAAAATCAGAGTCTAAGAAGGAATCGGAGGACGGTTCAATTGAGGGTAAGGGACTGAAAGATCGATCAGTTAACAGCGACGACATTTTTCTGAAAACCTCAGCGTAACCGAGGCTCAGCCTTCAAATCCAACGCAGTGTTGTGTAGTCAGAGATGCTATTGCTTTGGATTGGGACTCTTTCATTATTTTTTTTTCCAACGCGTTTTGTGGGTCGCGTCAACCCACGGGTACCCAAAACCCGCGCGACTGTGAACGACCTCAAGTAGGTGTTTATTGTTGCCTAACCAGCTTTCTTATCTCGATCGAGTGACAATTCTAACACGGAAGATACTTGTTTGACTAGGACCTGCTTAAATTTGAGGTATCCGGTTGTGGCATCCGAAAATACAGGGTGGTAGACAATCGGCCCAAAACATGGTGCAGCTACTGTCCGTCATCAATATATATATTTGAGGGTGGATGTTATATCTTATCAGATTGTATTTCCCATATTAATTCGGTACCAAAATAAATTACCAAAATTATACAGACTGACTAATCATATATTATGCATCAGTTATGTATTTTGATGGGTACAAACGGGTAATTTGGGTACCCGCGAAGATTTTCCAGAAACCCGCGATGGGTTACCCGTGGGCGGGTTGGAAAAATGAAAACCCGCCCCGAACCCGCGTTTGGCGAGGCCTAGGAATAGCCTTGCATTCGGAGAGCTTATTTCTCCGCCCCGGCTGACGTGGCTCCTGAAAGATGTAAAATAACCCCCTTGTGGTCCCTCTAGGAAATTCTAACAGTAGACTTCATATTTCTTCCCTGTACTCAGTCATTCTGGGGTTATCCTTATAAGTCATTCGTCATGTGCTATGTGAACATGCTGTGTGTCGTCTTCCTTATCCTCGGCTTTACATACCCAGCTTGCGGTCAGAACAACCAAACATCATTAGAAGGGTGGAAGTACGATGACAACACACGTTCAAGCTGGGACATTCTTTGGACATGTCTTTCAGCCATCCTAGCTTGTACCTGGACAGCTCTTCACATCAGAGTTCCAAAACGTACTGAAAGCGCTGCAGATCCCCTGCGATGGAAAACATTAACGTGGATTGTTGCCTTGATTGCACCCGAGATAATTGCTGTACGAGCAACTAGCGAGTTGCTGGATGCAAAACATACAGCCATGCGATGTAATTTGGCCTTTCAAAACTTTCGAATCAAATCTCAAACGACAAGCAAAGAGCTCTCGGCATCCCCTTGGAACACTACACACGGCTTTTGCGTGAATATGAGAGGAGTCATCTTGCAGACAAAAGATGGCTGGACGTATCCGATTAATGACGGCAACATCACGCTTCTTGCTAATGCTGGTGTTATCAAGGACACGGATATCCGTGCTCGTGATATCAACGATCGAGCCAAAGCTGACTCATTCGCGAAGGGATTTTCTATCATACAAAGTGGCTGGGTGGCATGCAATGTCATCGCACGGCGAGTATATGACTTACCTATCTCTGCCATTGAAATCTCGACCGTTGCGTACGTGGTGTGTGCTGCCGCAACCTACATTTTGTGGTGGAATAAGCCAAAGGACATGGTGACTCGGTTTATCATACCCTTACAGTATGATCGAGAGGGCGATGACATGCCAGCTGAAATAAGATGCATCGTTAGTAAAGATGCTGAGAGTTGGATTCACTGCTCGAGATTGGATTCAAAAGACTCTGTTGGTTTAGGTGGGGCATTGAGTATTTTGTTAATATTGCTATTTTTTCCCTTTGTCTGGGTAGTTGGCATCTACCTTTCTCTCAAGGGTGAATTCAGTTTCAAAATCTTCATAGCTGATAAATTAGGGTTTACAACCATGCTCTACCAAAGAAAGGTGGCCTATGAAGCGCAGAGGGATCCCAAGGAGGTATCAAGAAGTGAAGAGATTTCTCGGGAGGAGACGTCAGCTCAATTGGGAACGGAATACAGGGTGGATAGAAGGGTGGAAGTTCTATCGCTGCCAGTTGCTTTGAAGCTCTATTCGTTCATGCTTGCTAGCACGCTTCTTTTCTGTGGAATCCACGTGGCAGCGTAAGTTAATTTATTAAATAAACTCTTGATGGAAATACTAACCGCTATTATAGATGGAATTCCGTTTTTCCAACCAACGCAGAACAAGTTATATGGCGTGTCTTATCCCTTGTCGCGCTGGGATCGGGGTTCTGTATTACCATCTACATCTCAAGCTTCGATATCGAGGAAGGGCTAAAGAAAAAGGGGATCAGGCTTACAATTAGCCGGGACGGAAGGCCAAATTCACTAGACAATCACAAACTACGTCTGTTTGTTGGTCTGTTTTTCTGTCTCGCCTATATGACTGCACGTCTGGGGTGTCTCGTTCTCATGTTTACATCATTAAGAGCTTTGCCAGAGGGCTCCTTTATCACGGTGAATTGGCTTTCAACAATTCCTCATATCTAGGCAGATAAGTGCAACTTCATAATATTATCATAATTCTGCCTGTGCCAAGATCAAAACCATAGAACGGCGATCGAAGAGGATGTCGTCAATTTGAACATTGTATCAGCGAGAACAAAGTTTTTTTTGGCTCACGTGGGCATCAAAGAGGCCCCTACATAAGGCGACCAGCGAATCAGGTCTGGATCTACTATGTTATAGATATTCTTTTCTAGTATAGAGGTATATATCCATGGATGTTACTAACCCTAGATGCCTAGGTACTAACTTGAACCATGCCTAAGCCCGCGTAAAAGTAGCGATCATAACTAGCCACCAGTAGAAATGTAACTGATACCTAGTTAAGATCAATGTGGTATAGTTACAGAAGACGCCAGAGCAGACGTGTGTCTGGCTTTGGGTAGTGTGATGTTCGGTTAGCCGCGGAGTGGCTAGTGGCGATGACGGCTTCGCCCTAAAGAGGGAGGAATTGTTCACCCATATAAACTATCGGGAAGGTCATATTATGGGTAGTCTTGTCCATGGCTTCTGGGGAGGCTGGAGAGGGGTTGTTCGTGGGCAGAGTTGAGTCATTACGTTAAAAAAGTATTGGGTGCTGGTTCAGTTTAGGCGTGTGGAGCGTGTGCTGCTGGTCACGATGATCATGTGTTTGCGATGATGGTGACTGTTTATCTATTCCGTAGAGGGAATGAAATCTAGGGGTTGCTTTATTGCAGAGTTAAAGTTGGTTTAGAAAGGATGTGCAGTTTCTAAGAGACCTCTGTATGATCTTAGGTTGACAACATCAACGGGTCCACGGATCTTTGCAGGTGAGCTCTTGTGGGTCGGAGACTCGGAGGTGGCCTACCTAATGTGTCAAAGTTCATACTGTACTCATGTCTATACTAAGTACTAATTATTCCTTCGTATTTTCCTTGTATGTGTTGAAGCTTAATTGATATTAAATCGCAGAGTCTATCTTAATTTCATTTTATTGAATTCTGATTTAAGATTCACCAGCTTCACCTGAATCAGAGTCTTGTGACATAACTCAAGGCTCCTAAAACTGATACATTAGCTACTGTTGAGACCTGAGGTCTCAGGCCACCGCGGTGGCTGAGTCAGCCCACAGCAACCTCCATAGTTAGATATGCTTAGGAATACTACACACTACACATATTGTCATCAGCGTACCTAGTATGACCTACTAGACACCGCTAGAAGCTACTGCTCCCAATAGCAGCGCAATGGGCATGATGATCCCAGTTCTGTGGCATCACATGCTCGGTACCGCTAGATGCAAGCAGCATCGCCGCAAGGAATAGAAGAGGAATCTTTCACAGAGGATCAGCATAATGGGCCTTTAATGATTTGACTCAATATGTGTTGGCATCGACAATCAGGTCCTCTCTCGCCACGGTTTCAACCGAGCGAATCTCTACTATCCGTGCTGGCGACACCCCAAGGATCTCTAAGGGCGACGCCATGCCGACGAAGTAATCTATCTAAACTGATCATTTAGCCCTATTTTAGCCTGACAGGGTATGGCCGCCACTCCAATACTGTTGTCCCAATCATTCTGTGCGTCTTGAATGAACCTTCAAGCTATGTAGTGGAGAAAAACACTCAACCAAATCGAGAGTCTTTCCTGCAGAGTCGTACCGAGCTCGCACGTGGTGGAGAAGAGATGGATGATTCTTGACAAGTAAATATATCAACCCCCTCAGGACAGACGTAGCGCTGTTGATCCGCATGTCGGTAGCCTGACAGAAAAAGAATGAGATGCTCGCATTATCCCTATACAACCTTGTCAACTCCTCAATGACACCACATAGGAGCATCGTCTTGCCTTTACCAGGATCACCCCTGATCCAGAGAAGGCGATTTCGCTCGCTGTCTTGCCATTGTTTGAATTCTTTATTGTCTAGAATCCAGCGATATGAGTCTTTTAGTAGCCCACCCTTGGTATTCTTGATCCGTTCTTTATCATCGACAGGGTCGGTCACACGCAAGTCGCGAAGGCATGCTTGATCCAGTGTTTCGGATTGTACTAAACCGGTTGACTATTCAGTACCCATCGATGAGAGTTACACTTTTCACTTACAAATTGTGACATTTCCGATGTTGCCGTTTATCACCCCTGCCTGTAATCCAAAGTTTTTTTCGCCGTAGGAAATGGTAGTTGCCATGGCTGTTGCGTAAGAGTTTTGAGGAGGCTCAAATCCACGCTTGGATCTCCCAATCCCCAGTCTACCCCGCTATCAGGTGATCTGATTCGAGACAGAGGAAATCAGCCGCCTTGATCTTATACCCATATTTGCCATGAGAGACGATGGATATTTTTATTTACATTCCCAGCAATTAAATATGAGAACGTGGCGATATCTTCCTCAAAGTTGCCCGGAATACCACAGCTCTAATCAAAGTGACGACTTGCGTTAACCGTAGCGTAACGATTGTACTTATGTTTCAGGAAACTTACAGCCCCACCAACGACGTAATTTACCCTTACAAAATATTTCATGATCTCATAATAGGCTAGATCGAAAAGGGACTGGCGTGTTTCAGAATAAAGTTCAGAAAAGAAAAGAAAAGAAAACAAAGGTGAAGCTAGTACTCTGATGCTTATAATTATCTCTGGTTTTCCATCAGCTGGTATTCATTTACCGAAAGATCTAGCGTACCTGCTTTGCGCAACTTATTAATCGCCATATATATTATGCCCAATGGCCACCAGTTCGGTTGTTCTTTCTTCGAGTTCCAATCGGAATCAAACATTCGGATACAGCTTTCCAGCACTCTGTCACAGGAGTAATACGGAAACTGGTCGAGCCAAGCTTCCAAATAGTGGTTCATAGGGTTGAACCCATCTGAGAGGTAGTCCTCGATGGGATCGTTTGCTTGGCTGCTGCCCGCAAGAAGACTTTCGCCGGGCAGCAAGTTGCGTTTGACATGACCGTAATCCATTGCAGATGGCTTGGAGAAGATTGAAAGGCTATGAAATACAACCCGGATTTTGTCATCTCTTTAATATTCTCGAGAATCGAGCATTATCTGGAGTCCAAGATACGCACTTGTGCTGAAACCGCGCCGTTGGGTGAGAACTGAGCATACAATTGACCGCCAAGCTCGTCTCGACGTAGGACCCCTGTCAAAAGTCGAATTACATCTCCTCTGATACTGCCTCATTGTATGAGTCCGCGGCACCGGCCAGTCTCTATGATTGTAACTCATGCTTCTCGCAAATTCGAGATACTCAAGAATATCCTATCTCTAACAAATTCGACATGACAAACAAGAAAAAGTCAAAGCGGCCTTAGAATAGTCGAAGTTCTCAAGAAATTTAGACTCTGGTCTCGGAAATATACCTGATATATGGTCTACCACCGCTGGTTGTTTGCAAAGCCGATGATACAGTAAAAGGAACGAGTAACAGTTCTCGGCAGAGGAAATATAGAATTGATTGAAATTTAAAATGCTCAATCAGCAGAATCGAGTTACCAACATCCGATGTATGGCCACGGGAGAAAAACAAAAGATCTAGGTCAAACAACCTTCTCAACAACTTGCAGAAGTTCGTATGCAGACCCAATCTTGGGAATTTTCTCCAGCCCGTGACAATTAATCGACACTTCCATTCGCCACCAGTCATTCCCACCACCAACATTTGCCGGAAAAGGGGTCACCATCTCCAATGTTGCGAGCTTTTTCTTTGCACCCTTAGTATGAGAATCAACAAGTTCTCCACTCAGTATCCAGACATAAACTTCTCTCTGGAACAATTCTAAAAGTTTCATAAAGTAACCATTCTGGCTGGCAGCAAGTCCCGGGGTACTGAGCTCAATCTTCAACTGTTCATTTATGTCTTGTCTGATCCCCTTTTTGAGGCCAAGAAGGCCTGGGCCTGACAGAGCGAAAAATATCTCTGCCAGAGTGTACGTATTGTACGAGGCAGGGAAGATTCTGTTGCATTCGATGGCAAGATCACGTTGAATCGGAATGAACCTAATCCCTCTAGATGTATTCTTTTTGACAATGACAGTTTCTTGGAAGTCAGCAATCTCCAGTAAAGTAATATTGTTTAATGACTTACCATCAGGAACATCTTGTATTCTTAACATGATGTGTATGGGAAGAAGAGGTTTCTCTGAGCAACTAAGATTAAGTTAATACCCAATATATTCATTCAAAATTGGAAGAGAAAACAAACCAAATAACAAACCTTCCCAACTCTAGCGCGATAGGTTTGGGGTATACTGACTGGGTTTTATTTGAGCTTTGGCTCCTAGTAGGCTCTTTATGAGTAGAACCAAAAAACAGGCACTCGAGAAATCCAACTTGGAATACATTATCAAGGCTAGACTTTATGTTTTATGTCTTTGGCCAGTGTTTACGCTGTTTGCAATTTGTTTTTATCCAAAGCTCTGTACCCAATCTTTGAAATTCAAAACTTTCTAAGTTTCGAGACTGTAAAGCTGGTCATTGGTAGTTTCGATCCCAGATTACCCAATTTTAAGCTACAAAATACTTTACTGGGCTGTTTTTATTCATTTAGGAAGTCAATATATAGCCTAGGTTTTGTGTTTCCAGGATTAAAAACCATGTTTTTGCATATTCAATCTATTTCACCTAGCATAATATTGTCGCGCGATACTTGGCCTTATACCCCAAAGGAAAATAACTTGAGCATAGTTCCTAGTTACCTACCCAGCGTGCAAATGAGTTGTCAACAGTGAAGCGGTCAAGCGAGAGATAAATAACGAACCAAGTAGTCCCTTCTCGTATTTCAGCTCTTTTTCCCTAGTAGATAGCATCTCTTCGAGCTCTTTGTACTGCCATCCCTCAAGGTTCTTTTCAACCCGGTCTATTGCAAGACGAAAATATGCTACTGGCTTATTGCGCAATATCTTGACAAGTGTTTTTATTTCATCGGCCTTGGTTTGGGTAATTCCTTTCTGACCTTTAGAAAAAAACAATTAGCTTTCTTCTTAACAATGTTTGGTCACTCTTACTGGCTTGTTTTTCCATATTCTCGAGTTGCTTTATATGAGCCAGAAATGCATCTTGAGTAGTCTTGGGAAGTTTCGAGAAAATTTCATCGACCTCAGTTTTAGTCACTGCTTTCTGCTGTTCAAGAAAATCCAGTGGTTGTCTTCTGTATAATACTTGGTCGTTCTCACTGGCTCCTTGTTTGATACTTTTTAGTCGCTTCAGTTGAGCAAGAAGTGAATCTTGGGTCGTTTTGGAAAGTTTCAAGAAAATTTCATAGGCCTCAGCTTTAGCTGAAGTTCCCTGCTCTCCAATATACTCTGGATCCTTCGGTTTAACGAGAAGTGCATGTCGAGCGGCTTTGGAAAGTTTCGAGAACACAGATTCATAATATTGATCGAAGTCGCATGTCTTGCTGTACGGGGTCATTTTTGCTAAGGGGGCGATTTTGAACTCAAACGGCGAGAAGTGGGTTGAATATACACACTTTTCATTCGGAGGGAAAAGCAGCCCTACTTATAAAACTTGAAAAGGACATAGCCCAAAGCAGAATTATAGCTTCTTCAAATATTTACGGGGTGTCTCCATTGACGACAAGGTGAGCGACATGGTTCCTAGAAGATCAGAAGTACATTTTTTGAAGTGAAAATCAAACATGCGCCATTATTATTGGCACAAAATGAGTTATTTTTGGTATGTTATTAGAGAAATGAAGCTAAACACGTTTGATTTGACCGAACAAAAGATCAACCTCGGAGAGTCTCTTCTGAAGCTCCGCCAAATGCAAAATTTGATCATCTTTTCTTTTAGGATAGCTAAAGTAACAGCCATCCACAGGTCTTTCGTGTTTCCATTCCATCTGGTCATCGCTCCCTGAGATTCTGCCTTGACGAGTGTAGACAGTATACCAATGTTTTCTTCAAGTATCTTCTTTTCCTTGGGCTGATCAAAAAATATCTTGGCAGCCAGAGAAATTCCAAGCTCTGACACGAACATCCCAAGCATGTGGTGAAGCAAGTGGCGAGGTGGAAATTTGTAGTCCATCAAAAGGCTTGCGAGGACAGTGAAGTACGCCAGATCTTTGTCTTCATTTTTTTTCAGACTCTCATTGAGGATCGTAAATATATTTTCATCTGCCAGCTTATCGATATAGCTCGCAAATTCTCGTGGCCGTAGAGGCTCAAACCCACCCATTCTTTTGTTGGGGTTGATTAAATATAACAGAAATGCGAGAAATTGCACGGTTTTGAGATAAAGTTATAAAGTAATTGGAGGCCTTTTATATGGTGTAGAAGAAGGCAGGAATAGAAAGGTTAAATATATCTGAGGTTTCATGAGCTTAGCATGGTATGTTAAATAATTGGCAAAATGACACTAGTATTGTCCCGCGCAATAGTAGCTTGTCCAATAAAACGGCAGAGCTCCACATATTAAACGAGAATTGACTAAATCCTATGTGATTTTCTATCATGTTTTTTCAGCGTTCGGGCTTCAGCATAAATCCTTCCTTTGCAGTCTCCTTTCCAGCACCGTGGCGAATCTTGGAATTCTGGGAGCAATCTTTCATGTTCTAATTCATGATTGGCCAATCGGAGCATGGTCTTGAATTCCTTGCCGCAGTCCTGGCAAGTAAATTCATTATCCAAGTTTAAAAAAGGCCTAGATCCTTTTTCGTATACGTCTGGAAGCGAAGCAGAACTATACATTGCGTTAAAAAAGGGCGAGTCCGAGAATGGAGGCCGCTCACCTTAGGAGCTTCTCGGAGTAATATAGAGCGATATTGTGAGAAATCCGGTCGACTTCTGCCTGCGTTGCTCGTATGACATTTCAATGTCAAGTTGGGGACTCATGTCAGGTCCATGACAGCAGCTTTGAAAAACAGAAGTGATGTAGTATATCGACCCAGTAATTTTTGGGGTTTCGAACGTGTCAAAGCAAAATTCTGCCTCCCACTCATTGGTATCGAGCTGCACTAAGCTATTAAACAGCGCAAGAGTCCCGCCCTGTGTTTCTAGCACGGGCAAAAGCCGAATTCCATCATATCCAATCCATGCACGTTGCTTTATCGCAATTGCTAGCCAGTTGTATGCACCCTCTTCTGTAGATAGGTATTCCGAATCGAACACACGAGCCCACATGGCATCATAAAGCCACCTGCGATCGGGATGTGCATGGAAAAGTACCGAGGACATTGCAAACATAGTCATATACACCTGAGCCGGGCTTGCTCCATTGTAGGCCTCGACACTGTATTTAGTCTTGAGTGCCTGCGTGATAGAACTTTGATAGCTGAAAACATTCCTGTTTGTTTCGTCCAATGACAACACGACTAGAGAAGAGTTAACTGGTTTCTTAATAAGTTGAAATATTATAGCTCACTTGATAGGCTCTGTTTGAAAAATGGGCGAAGATCAAATGGGTCCATTTTTTTCTAGGCTGCCTCTTGGCTTCGATTCTTCTTGCTTGTTTTACTGGCAGATAAAATCGTAGGATTACCAACAACAAATGAACTTTAACTGGTAATAGGAGAGTCGATTCGATGGAATCACTTGAAGGTGGCAACCTGTGGGATTGACACTCTTCATATAGCTTCCTGACCTAGGACTACTAATCTCGACACATCTGCCGCTTGTTTTCGATGTATGCTTTAAACGCATCGGCATAGCCATCCATCCCTTCACATTCCTCCTGATCCATCCATTTCTCTTCAAGCTGCGTCTTATCTTTTCGAAGTGCGACATTTACTTGATGTTCATAAAGCGAACTCTTGGAGTACTTGATGTTCAAGATTCTAGCAATTTGCGGCTCCACGGGGCTATCCGACCTCGGAAGACTGCCCATGTGAAACTCCGACACATCATAGTTTTTGTTTTTTGGCTGAGTAGAAGCATCAGGATATGTCATAGTTTCTCGGTCCCCTACTGAAGTCTGGTTCTGTAGAGATGTGGGACTATTTGGAGCGGATGGATGCACGTCTTTGGACTCCTGGAAACGGTCAGCATTATCTCTCCATGGTACGGTAGGACCTACTTCTGGTGAGCCAAAACAACTATTTAAAATTTCAAAATTGCGAAAATACTTCAAGAATCGAAACATGGCCGAGATTGGATCGTAATGTAAACAGAGAGTTAGATAGGCTGCACCGGGTAGAATTTATATGAAAGCCCCCATTATATATGGCCGGTTTTTATTTAATTACACAAGACAAATAAATCTCTTTGGGCACTCAATCTTTCCACGGCTAACCTTTTTGAGAGGTCTGTCATAAGGTATCGCGGTATTGGATTTATTGGAATGGGAGGTAGAAGATGTCCCGAATCAGCCAGAGAATGTAAAGCATTGCCAATACCCATAACGAGGCCATGATTCTGTATGTCGATGAGCGCCAGGTCATGCGCCTGGTCAAATATCGGCCGCTTGGACCTTGAATAGGCCCTTGACGGGGGGTCAGGGAGTGAGTTTTCAGCATGGGGATAAACTTTGAGAACGAAGATGATGGAAATATTTCTTGAAACTCGAAATAAGGGCCGCGGCATTATTTAAATATAATTTGAGCTGTAGGGTAAGGTATCAAAATCAAGGTTCTCTAAAGAGCGCTTATAGAAGATAGATACAGCGGACGACAAAGAAAACTTCAGTCAAGCTGTTATTAGCCTAACTTGCTTCCATTTCTAAACAAAAGCCCAAATTTATATTATGCTAGTACTAGAGACCAATTTTTGTACGAGACGAAGGGGCTACCTAGAACATTGGTGCCTGAGGCCACTCAGTAACTAAATTATAAGAGAATCTCAGACAAGTTTGAACACAATTTTCCGTGGAATGAAATTCTATTGCGTCTTGAACTTCGGGAAGATAATCTTTACTGATATTGCTGTAGGGTATTATAGATTTCAGAACTTCCTTAGTTTGGCGGAGAAGGCGCAGATCTTCCTCAGCCATAGAACTGGCAAGACTCTCTAAATAAGCGTCTTTTGTTAGAAGAGGCTGCAGATCTCCCTCCAATGAAAATTCAGCTGACAGCAACAGCAAAAGAAAACTTCAATATAATCAAAATCAAACTTGAGGGATATAAACTGAGGAGCTGAGTATGGTAAGCGTACAGGGGCTTGACGGCATAGAATAATTGTTCAGAAAAAGAAACGGTAATCCAGAAGAGTATTGAAAGCTTCAAGATTGTAAAACTGCCCTCCTTCCAAGAAACAGTGTCAGACCAATCAAACCAAGCACAGTGAAAACCCGGTAGCTTTTGATGGAATTTTTGATAGCCTGGCCAAGTCGAATACTGATCGATTGGCTTACAGGAGGGAGGCGAACATTATCGAAAGCTTGTAGGACACACTGGGCAGTCTGAAACTTTCCATCCCAGCAGCCCTCAATAATCCAACCAAGCCATATATCAGTTGTCTTAGGTAAAAACTCTCTCTTTGGCCAGTAAGCTCGACCATCAGTAGGAGAGTTATCTTTGAAGAGGTCGACTCGAAGTTTTTCACCGGTCACAATTTCATACATGACTGTTCCAAGTAGACCAATATCAATCTGGGCATTAAAGCCGTGGTCATTCACCGCCTTCATGTCAGACCCCAAAGGTAAAATAGATGCTTCTGAGAAATCGCAAAACTTGATGGAAAAATCTGAATCGAGAAGGAAGTTTCGGCTTGCGATGTCTGTAACAAGTATACACCTGTCATGGATATAAGTGAGGGTTCGGGCTATTTCAAGACACCACAAGAATTGAAGTTGGAGAGATGGTTGGGATTTCTCGAGATAAGACTGAAGGTCACCATTGGACATATAAGCAAGTTGTGTAGATTCACTGAACGTCCCTAGGCAGCGAACAACTCCATTTGAGCGATTGTCATTACATGGCAACCCTTGTAGGCGGTGATAGACATTCTGTTCATGCCTAAGCTTCTGAATATTCGCTTGAACTTCGTATGTATCGCTCCAAAGACATTTCAAAGGGATTTTGACGGCAACATCATCTTGAAGTAGCACCAGTGCGGAACTTCCACTTCCTATGATATGTTCTTGGGGGATGGGGTTTGCTTGAAGATCAAGAAAAGGCGTCGTCATAGTCAAAAGGAATGAAAAGTAGTTGGATTGTTAAAGGGGTTCCCAGTCATTAAATACAACAATCTTGGCACGTGACTACACTTCTCTGCCAGAGGCGGTGACTGCAGGCAGTTACCGAGAGCAACCCAACTCAATTTCTATGCGCAGGGCAATTCATACCACGCTTGGTTGAACTAGCTTGCGAAGTAGGAGTGACGGGGTCACAAAGAATACCTCTTTCTTCGGCCGGGACACACCATTGAATGTGGTCATGAGTGGGATCGAATAGGACGCAAGCTTGTTTCGGTCCCTTGCAATCGGGAAACTTTGCGGGGGTCTTGAATCTTTCCCAGCACATGTTGCTATTCAAGCATTAGCCAAGCCCTGGTACAGCGATGTCTTGGAAATACCGGATAAAGATAGATTGAATATTTAAAATTGAAGATAGAAGTAGGACTCTGAAGTGAATGTAAAACGGGATCAGGCATCTTTATATACCCTGATATAGATCAGCACTAGCTTCTGGATTTTGCCCAGTTCCGTACGAAGTGAACACATCCCTCCTCTGCAGTTGCGCAGTCAAAGCACCATTTATAGATTGGACAAGCGATGCTCGCTCTCCCATCTCAGAACTATGTCTCACTACGCGTGCAGCGCTGCGGGGTGCTGGTGTTGTATCACCACTATCGACCCCCGTTCTACTTGCAAGACTACCGTCGATATTTTCTCATTTCAATTTATACTGTGTAGTATAGTCATTCAAGCCAACTGAACCGAATATAGCGACACCACTATGATCAGAATAGCCAATGATAGATCAAAGCAAAACCCCCTGGGGATTTTGCTCCTAACTGTGATTCACCAGATCCTTCTCCACTTTCACCATCAACAGGGGACGCCACTATGGCCAAGGCAGCCAATGATAGATCGAAGCAAAACCCCCTGGGGATTTTGCTCCTAACTGTGATTCACCAGATCCTTCTCCACTTTCACCATCACAGGGAACGCCACTATGGCCAAGGCAACCAATGATAGATCAAAGTAAAACCCCCTGGGGATTTTGCTCTCAACTCTAATTGGTTGCTCTGGCTATTTGATGCTCATTCTCGATAGAATGCCTGACGATGAATATATCCACGAAGTCGACGACGCATGAATCACCTGTATATGGTCAACGGTGAGAAGAAGATTCGAAGCCTCATATTATCTTCAATGCCCTAACAAATATTGGAGAGGGGGATACAAACACGGTGACCAAAATACCGCAGACAATTTGAGCAGACCATGAATACCAATGACACATAAAAAGAGTAGAGGGAAAAGCCCCTATTTATGAAGTGGAGTTCATGCAGCGACCTTTTCCTGGTAGGGAATATGCTGGTTTTAAAGAGCTAAAGCCGTATACTGAGATCAGAATGCATGAAGGCCTGGCCCCAATCCTTCTGTCACTATCCGACTCTGTGTGACATGAGGTGCAGGTAACCCCGCTTCAAACTACCAATAGTACAGAGCAGTGAAAGGTCCAAGCACTCCAATGGGCATGGACTGATATTGGCTGAAAATCATCTCCCCGGCAAGCTTCCCCTTAACCCCAATGTCTGGTCTCTTTTCGGTCCTGTCTCATCTCCCTGTACCCTAGTTCAACGACCTTATCTTTTCAATGGATAACTTCACTGCTTTAGCAACTTTGCGTGAAGCATCAGATGACTTTCTTTACTCCCACCACGACGAGGCGGCTCTTGTGATAAGAGAACTTGGAGATAGATTAACCAAGATGGTCTCTTCTCGTGGATTGGACCTTTTAGAAATTCCTCGATGCATCTTCTGCCGAGGCAGGGCCCAGAATCCGATCCAAGTCCCCGTTAGTGATTCAAGCAAAACCACTGACAATGGCCATCCCGCACAAGACCAGGAGCAACCCGAACTCAATAATGCCTCTGATAACAACACAATGACCGACATGGATGATGGGCAGGAAGATTTGCCGGCTTTTGAGCTTTACACAGCATTGCTTGGTGAAATCCCAGGGCTGTGGGGACCTCATCCCAAAGCACCTGGATGAATGGATCAAGGACATATACCAAAGTTCTGATCGCTGGATAATTTTTATCGAAAGACTAGAGCGCATTCAAAAACCAACCACCGAAGACAAGCTCTGTCGAGCGCTTGCGCTACGTGGTCTAGCGCTTCAATTCTCAATTTTCGAGAGTCACTACATTCCAAGAAGGAACAAGAAAAGAGATGGGAAAATCCCTAAATTTGTGAGGGATCACCTTTGTGCCCCTGAAAAGGAAATCAAAAGGATATCTCATTATATTCAAGCCGGTCAAAAACATCTCAAGATTGAAGAGGCTTTCCGACACGAACTGAAACAAAGACAGAGTATTTACGCCGGGGAAGCCTATTCTGGAAGAGGTATATCTGCTCTAACCGCCTTGGCCATTACACCATTCAGAAACTTGCAGTTGGGTGGAATCCCGAGATTCGTGGAGAAATTCTTCGCCAATAGCGCGAAAATAAAACTGCACCTCCCTTACCCATTGATAGGGCCATCAAAGTCCATCGAAAAGGAATTCTGCCTCCTGGAGGTTGTGGAACGGGCATCCAGATGGTTCACCGAATTACAATCTTGTTTTCTCAACGTGACGATTCCTGGAGATCGTTGTAAAAGAAGACGACTCTCGTCTTACAGAGCTGATAAAACTTACAATATGTCAGCAATGTGTGGGTCAGTCTCTACGAGTGAAGTATTGGGAGGCTTGACTGGACCTCAGAACCTTCAGCCTGGGGAATTACTTCATATCAGTGACCCAAATCTTAATGATATCGAGATGTCACATTCCCAACCACCGGCAATCGATGCGCCATTTCAATTTGGCAGTTCCGACCATTCAACGTCATACTTTGCAAGAGACAAGTTATTTGGCCGTGCTTCAAATGGCATCGTTAGCCAAACCGGCGAAATAGATGAGACCAATGCGACTATGGAAGAGACAACAGGCTTTGACCCGTTATCAAGTGTAGCGCTGTTCACATTCCCTCTTGACAGCACTGTGGACCAAACTGGCGGGATGAATGGGACGAGCGCGGCTATGCAAGAGACAACAGGTCTTGACCCATTATCAAGTGATGCGCTTTTTATCTCTCAGATCGACAGCATTCTGGACCCGACCGGCGAAATAGATGAGACCAATGCGACTACGGAAGAGACAACAGGCTTTGACCCGTTATCAAGTGTAGCGCTGTTCACATTCCCTCTTGACAGCACTGTGGACCAAACTGGCGGGATGAATGGGACGAGCGCGGCTATGCAAGAGACAACAGGTCTTGACCCATTATCAAGTAATGCGCTTTTTATCTCTCAGATCGACAGCACACTGCACCAGACCGGCAAGATAAATGAGACCGATATGGCTACGCAGGAGACAATACCATTAATAAGTGATAACAGCACCGGTCAGGCTGGCCAGGCCGAGCAGGAGACGGCGAAGAATATTTTGTCTGCTCTATTCCCCGATTTTCAAACCGACAGTATCTCAAGTGAAGCTGGACAAATGCCTTTGACCCCTCACACCACGTCTTCCGATAGTGTCATCGTACAGGCTAGCCACAACGTTATAACCGTGTAATTATTGGGATATTTTAGTCCGTTGATCCTTACGGATTTAAGTTCAATGTCAAATGTAATAGAGTGCGAGCTAATCAGGACATAAAAGTTGTGCGACTCATACAAAAGCGAGGCAGATACAGAAATGACCCGCAAGGCAGGTTAAGGTAGAATGATGATCATACAATCTAATCGAGTGTCAAGGTCCAGGCTTTTAGTAAGCTGAATAAAACTGCCCGGTTCGAGTATCTCGCCCTCGACCTGGACGTCGCTGGATAGAGGAAAGAATAGTAAGATTCGGCCATCGGGCTTCGTAATCGATGCCTTTCCACATATTCGCAATAATAGAACAGAATGGCCCTGTACCTGATCAGACTCGTTTTCCCATTTGAATAGATTGGATCTCAGTACCGTGATATATCCTAATTTCTTTAACAATGGCCGCGCTTTCTCTTCCCGAGCTTCATCCACGCATCCGAGGAGATTAATTTTACCTTTCTCCTCCTTCATCTCGGCGCTAGAAACCCACTTTGCTAGCGATTCAAGTTCTGGAAATGCATCGACTTGTATGTTGGTTGGCATGGCTCTGTTATTTTTGACGTGGGTGTGCTAGAGGAGGCGGATCGTCAGTATTGTACTTTGAGTGGCCAGCGAGCAGAAAGGAGGAAAATACCAACAGTGAATATAAGTCCCGTCCGGTGGTCGCTTTGGAAGAATTGATTCAATGACTTCCCGGGCGGTGGGGAAAAGGATGGTGGGTTGGTTTGATGCCCGAGGCTTTGGGTTCCGGGTATGGAAAAACTAATATCCGCTAGTGCGACCCTAAGGTATGACTAGCATATGCAGCGCTATGAGAAAGTAGGTTAATAATCAGGTTTAATCTTCCAAAAAGGCATCGTGGATTCTTGAGCTTGTTGAAGCAGCCGATAACCATAGTTTCTTAGGAGGAAAAGCATACCAAGCCTCCCTTTTAAATGAAGAGCTTCATCCGCCTTATCTAAGATGCACTCGCTGTCCTTCTCTGACACCGAGGCACTAGGATCCAATTGGAAAGCAATTAAGATATCTAGCTGGAGTAATTCCCCAAAGTGCCCCTGTAGTATTTCTTAACACAAAGAGATTATCGCACTTATTCTGGCCGCGAGCTTTTTTCTATCGAATACTGTCTCTCAGTCCTTGTTTCCAGAAAGCAATTTCAAGAAAGCAACTGTTATTATGATTGACTCGCCATGAAGAGCTCAAGTCGCTCAATACTAATATTTTTGTTGGCCTGCGACAGATTAAACTCAGCCACTGCATGAGATAACATAGGCGGACTATCTGCCCTTTCCGTCGTGAATTCTGTCTTGATCGTGATTTTAAGCCATGAGTCAGGTGTCGCATACAACCTCTTCGGATTATGTTTCAGGCCAGGAAAAGCCTCCCAAAATGCCTCGCGATAAGGAGCGATATCTGCAGAAAGTTCAGATTTGCACATTCATATCCTGATTTACTGTGTGGGAGAGGCTCTACTAGCTTACCTTTGCGACTCTTTTGCGTTTCATCCGCAGCAATGAATTCCTTATTCTGGTGGAATATTTCACTCCATTCCTTTGCAGCCTCGGATGATTACCCATCTAATAGAGTATAAAATCTTTCAAGGAAAGTTGCGATATGAGGTGGAAAAGCTTCCACGCTGGGCTCGAGTTGGGCAAGTTTACTCAACGTAGTTGTTTTAAAAAATGGAAGGAATGACAATTTTGATGGTATCATTCAATCAGCAGGACATAAAGTCTTCTGCCGAAGAGCTGGCAAGGCTTTTATACTCGATTCTCGTCTTTGAAATAAATTTCGAAAAAATACCATAGAAATGAAATAGAGTTAAAAGATACCCATCTGCGGGGATTCCGTACTTGAGCGACCCTTTCCCGAGGCCGTGCGCATGCTATGGAAGCATATTTAGTTAGTCAATTATTTTCAGATAAACTCAACAGAAGATATTGACTTCACCTCGGCGTTTTCTTCATCACAAGATGTTGAGGTCTGGGTTCCTAGGGCACCGGCAGCCTCAAGAATCCAGATAGCGGACCACATCATGGAAAACAGGAAAATAGACTTACACCAGACGGGAGACGGACGCATCCTTTGAGAAGGTGTCATTCCAGAGTCCAAATGCGGGTTGTGACAGGATCTAGAATTGTTAGTACAGACTGCTCTGGTAAATGCGACTGCTTTCTAATATTAAATCCTTAGCACTCAGGTTACTGGAGGATCGTAGTTGTACCCATGGGCACCTATTTCAGTAGGCCGCGTCAAGATACCTGGACCTAGGAACACACACAGTATTTTGTCTTCTGCGTTATTTCGAAGAGATTCATCAACCTCCAACATACTCAACGCTTATCTATAATGGACCGGTCTGAGTCGACGCTCCGACCATGGCTGTGGACGATAACTCGTAAGATAGGTTGCAAAAGGTTCACCACGCTTTGAGCACTTCTTAGCAACGGCTTTTCTTCTGTAGGTGGTGGTGTGAGAGGTGTCTCAAGAACGCTCCCTGGTGGAGCAATTCCAGTTGTCATGGGAGGCTGAGAGGTCCGGATAGGCTCAAGACATGATTTTTTTTACCAGGAGAGGAATGCAGTTGAAGGATCACGTGGTAAGAGTAAGTTGCGAGCAGGTATTGAGTAGTTGCCAGTGTATTTCGTGACTCTTCTACTCTTGCGCTAGTCTGATGTCGCATATATATGAGGTATAATACCGCTAGACTAAAAATGTACTATGGACAAAATTCCGAGTCTATACGGTCTTTTATTGTTCTGATATCTGATTAACCGTGATCGACCTAGACGTACTACCCGTAAACTAGCTCTTCAAAACAGGCTGTCGAAGATGTGCGACGCAGTTGTTACCACGTGATGTGGATTTGTCACCCTGCGGATTATAGTCACGCCGTGCAGGTTCCACGTAACTGGGACAAGAAATACACAGTACAAAGGTGGCACTGAAGTCAGCCTTGCCGTTCATTTGGCCAATCCTGGGTTAGGATTCAATGGGATCTGCAAGTGCCAAGAGAGCACACTTTCAGCCTGATCAAGGTGAACCAATAAAGCTGCATCTAAGCCCAGGTGAGAGAGGGTCCGTGCGGTAGTTGCGCGACGTTAGTGATTCTCACCCGCTCTCACCCCATTCTCACCCTATCTATTGCGCACTCACCCTAATCACCCGAGTCGCGCGACGCTAAAGCGGCGCTCACCCCATTCTCACCCGGGCGGCACCCACCGCACTACCTGCTGTGTTTTAGCCATACGCCGAATGGCCATGCGGGCCAATCATTTGGTCTAGCCTGGTGGGGAAACAACCGGTCGCTGCTCTGCGGTCGTGCGACCAAGGGTGAGAAGGGTGAGTGTGTAATGGAAGGGATGAGATCTAACTGAGAATCACCCGGGTCGTGCGATCGCCGTTCATGTTACTCCATATATACTGAGGGCCTAATACATGAATTGTGGCTTCATTTTCGACGACCGGCTGAGGACGACTTCTATATGAGCTGTACCAGAACCTGGAGAACCACTGTGAAAGACGACTCGTTGAGTTCTGTACGTTACATATGGGCAATACCGGCAGTACTGAGGCGGGGGAGCTGTGACTTCAGAGAAGGAATAGTTGGTGTTGTTCAAGACTTATGAACCTAATATTGCAGGATTCAGATGCACTTGTACCCTAAATTTGACAGTTCCAAAGACATTTAAGAAGAGATGTCTTCAGAACGAGCGTTGTCCGATATTTTACAGTCTTGAAGTAACACCCAGGGACGATTTGCAAGCTGGCCTAAGCGAGGTTGGAGTTTCAACCATCGCATTAGCGCCAGAGTTCGATATTGCTTCTCCATGCAAGACACGGAGATCACTGCGAATCATGAGAATCTCATACAGCAGGCCATGAAGACGAGTACCCAACCCACCATTGCACATTATCGGCTCGGCACCTAAGTTATGCACCTAGAGGTCACTCCTGTGTTCTGCGGGGTTGGCAAGGTCGTCACCCAAGTGGCTTGCCGCTTGCTACCCTACACGTGATAGCGCTAGCTGATCGAGGCTCTCATCAGTGTGACTGCTGTGGCCACATCCCACGTATTACTTTGCCAATTGCAAGTCAGCTCAGGATCTGCCAGAGTCTCTCAGCACGGGAACACCCGTTCTGTTGAACTCCCACCCACGTTCCCACGTCTCGCACCATCCTATAGATTTGCAGTGACGCAGCATCTCCTGCTTTATATTTAGCAGCAGAGCCTTCATCTCCTAGTTACAGACCATTTTTCACAAAGAAGGACGGTACCACCGCCCTTAACCACATCTACAGCATGTCGGATCCGCAAAACTACACGATCGGATGGGTTTGCGCCATCAGTACAGAGTCCGTTGCTGCCCAGGCCTTTTTCGATGAAAAACATGACCCTCCCGCAGAAGTCGCTCAAAATGACAATAACTCGTATGCCTTGGGCAGGATGGGTAATTATAATGTTGTCATCGCCGTTCTGCCGGATGGCGAATATGGCTTAGTCTCTGCTGCCTCTGTTGCAAAAGACATGCTACACACCTTTTCTAATATCCGAATCGGGTTAATGGTCGGCATCGGGGGCGGTGCGCCAAGTCAGCAGCACGACGTCCGCCTCGGCGACATTGTGGTCAGTAGCCCGCGCGATGGGAAGGGCGGCGTGGTCCAGTACGACTTCGGCAAGGCGATACAGGATCGCGCTTTTCTGGAGACGGGATTTTTAAATCAACCACCTACTGTGCTGCGGTCTGCAGTGTCTGGGCTTAGATCTGGATATGAGGCCGATGGTCATCGGCTTGAGAACGATATCAGAGAAGTTCTTCAAAAAAAGCCTCGGCTGCGGAAAAAGTACTCTCGCCCGCCTGCCGATAGCGATAGGCTATATATACCGGATCACTTGCATCAGGGCTCAAACGGATCCTGCCACCAAGTCTGCGGCGATGATCCATCAACACTGGTGTGGCGAAGCCCACGAGATGAGGAAGAGGATGACCCGGTGATCCACTACGGGTTAATCGCATCGGCAAACCAGCTGATGAAGGACGCGCAGGCTCGAGACAAAGTAGCAGCAGAGAAGGGCGTCTTATGTTTCGAGATGGAGGCAGCCGGGCTGATGAACCATTTTCCTTGCCTAGTTATACGTGGAATTTGCGATTATGCTGACACGCACAAGAACAAGCAATGGCAGGGGTTTGCGGCTATGGCGGCCGCAGCGTATGCAAAGGATCTATTACGCCATATCCCACCAAACAAGATCGAATCAGAGAGGAGAGTGAGCGAAGTCCTAGGCAATAGTCAGTGAACCAAATCCAATAGCGGCCGGCTATTCTGACATTACAAAGTGCAAAGAAATCTCCTTGATATGCAGCAAACATCGTATGGAATCAAGACGGATACTCATGCAATAAGGGCCCATAGACACGCTGCAAGCATTAAGCGCTGGCTTTCGCCTGCCGACCCTTCTACCAATGTCAATCATGCAAGGAAATCTCGGCACACTGGAACTGGAATATGGTTCCTTGATAGTGATTCCTTTACTGAGTGGAAGCTCGGTCTGCGTAAACATCTATGGCTTTATGGAATGCCAGGATGTGGCAAGACAGTACTCAGTGCTACCATCCTTGACCATATTGAGCAGATGAAAGACTCGGTAACGCTCACTTTCTTTTTCGACTTCACCGATATTCGAAAGCAGAAATTGGATGATATGCTACGCTCGCTTGTATTCCAGCTCTATAGCTCACAGCCGGGGTCTCAAAAAGACCTCGATAGCTTGTTTACATCCTATAATAATGGGCAAAGGCAACCAGACACTGATATCTTGTCTATATGTCTAAAAAGCATGATGCGGGCTTGCAAGAAGCTTTTTATTGTGCTAGACGCCTTGGATGAGTGCTCAGAGAGGAGTTTGCTGCTGGCATGGATGGGAGAATTTATCCCTGCTCTCTCGCACATTCAAATTATAGCAACAGGTCGGCCCGAAGAAGAAATTGAGCGTAATTTTCACGAATGGGTTGGGGAAGGAGCTTGCCTTCTTCTGAATAAGAAGTGTGTGGACGCCGACATTCGTTCCTATGTCCGGGCCCAACTAGACCAGGGTGGACGTTTTAAAAGGTGGGCCGCATCTCCAGATATACTGAGGCAAATCAAGGATGCAATCGAAAGCAAAGCGGATGGAATGTAAGTCATGTATATCTCGCGGATCGGATGGGCTTAGGCAGATTTGACGCTCGTTATTTAGGTTCAGATGGGCAGTCTGTCAGCTAGATAGTCTGAAAGGCTGTCTAGACCTTGAGGAACTTGAGGTTACCCTTCACTCTCTGCCGGAGGACTTAAACGCAACATATGCCAGAATCCTTGAGAAGATCCCAGTAGGACGCAAGAAGAAGGCAATACGCTTGCTACAATTCCTGGTCTACTCAAAACGGCCGTTGACACTCGGTGAAGCTATTGACGTGGTAGCGATATGCCCCGATGACGGCCTCTTTGAGGCGAAGTATCGACTTCAACATCAATGGGATATCGTATCGTACTGTCCTGGCTTAGTGTCACTAGTGCAGACCTCGGAACAGAGCGGAGCAATGGAAGTACAACTGGCTCATTTCTCAGTGAAGGAGTACCTTATGGGCTATAATGGGGCGGACTTTACTAAACCGGATCCTAAGGCCACCATTACGCTAACATGCCTAAGCTACCTGGGAAGCCTGCAAGCAGACAAGATACCTATCATGAAGATACCTGTTATAAGGACACGATTTCCATTGGCAAGGTATGCAGCAGAGACATGGATGGAGTATGCCAAGGGTGCCGAAAGTTCCAGATTCGTCGTGCAGGCGGCCACGGCGTTTCTTCGAGATGAGTTCAAGTTTCGGCTTTGGGCTAGATTGTTCAACCCTGAGGAACCGTGGGATGACGACCCAGGTGAGCCTAAAGCACTTCCGCTTTATTTTGCATGCCTTCAAGGTCTGAAGGTGACTGCAGAGAATTTAGTTTCAAGTGGTGCAGATATAGATGCTAAGGGTGGAAAGTGTGGTACCGCGCTCCAGGCTGCTTCTAGCGAAGGCTACCTAGAGATTGTTGACTTGCTGTTACAGAAAGGGGCCAATCCTACCACCAAGTTGCACTTCGTTTCCAAAGACGGCAAGGAAAAGGTTTTTGAGGAGCCGATTGCCAAAGGGGCTAAATTGTTCGTCGAGGACAATCTCAACCTCAGCACACTGACAAGCATGGCTAAGATCGCGTTCATGTTTTGCAACCAGGGCCAGTGGAAGGAGGCCGAGCAGCTCCAGATGCGGGTCATGGAGATTCGAAAGTCGAAGCTGGGGGAGGACCATCTCGACACACTGTTGAGCATGCACAATCTTGCGTTGACATATTCGAGCCAGGGCCGGTGGGAGGAGGCCGAGCAGCTTGGGTTGCAGGTTGTGAAATCTCGAAAGGCGAGGCTCGGTGACGAGCATGTGGACACGCTGTCAAGCATGCACGAACTCGCGTTGACGTTTTGGAACCAGGGCCGGTGGAAGGAGGCCGAGCAGCTCGGGCTGCAGGTTGTAGAATCCCGAAAAGCGAAGCTGGGCGAAGACCATCCCCACACGCTGCAGAGCATGCACAACCTCGCGTACACATATTCGAGCCAGGGCCGGTGGAAGGAGGCCGAGCAGCTCGGATCGCAGGTTGTAGCATCTCGAAAGGCGAAGCTCGGTGACGAACATTTGGACACGGTGTCAAGCATGCACGAACTCGCGTTGACGTTTTGGAACCAGGGCCGGTGGAAGGAGGCCGAGCAGCTCGGGCTGCAGGTTGTGGAATCTCGAAAGGCGAAGCTCGGTGACCAGCATTTGGATACGCTGCTGAGCATGCACAACCTCGCGTTGGCATTTTGGAGTCAGGGCCGATGGACGGAGGCCGAGGAGCTCGGGCTGCGGGTTGTGGAATCTCGAAAAGCGAAGCTGGGCGAAGACCATCCCAACACGCTGCAGAGCATGCACAACCTCGCGTACACATATTCCAGCCAGGGCCGTTGGAAGGAGGCCGAGCAGCTCGGATCGCAGGTTGTAGCATCTCGAAAGGCGAAGCTCGGTGACGAACATTTGGACACGGTGTCAAGCATGCACGAACTCGCGTTGACGTTTTGGAACCAGGGCCGGTGGAAGGAGGCCGAGCAGCTCGGGCTGCAGGTTGTGGAATCTCGAAAGGCGAAGCTCGGTGACCAGCATTTGGATACGCTGCTGAGCATGCACAACCTCGCGTTGGCATTTTGGAGTCAGGGCCGATGGACGGAGGCCGAGGAGCTCGGGCTGCGGGTTGTGGAATCTCGAAAAGCGAAGCTGGGCGAAGACCATCCCAACACGCTGCAGAGCATGCACAACCTCGCGTACACATATTCCAGCCAGGGCCGTTGGAAGGAGGCCGAGCAGCTCGGATCGCAGGTTGTAGCATCTCGAAAGGCGAAGCTCGGTGACGAACATTTGGACACGGTGTCAAGCATGCACGAACTCGCGTTGACGTTTTGGAACCAGGGCCGGTGGAAGGAGGCCGAGCAGCTCGGGCTGCAGGTTGTGGAATCTCGAAAGGCGAAGCTCGGTGACCAGCATTTGGATACGCTGCTGAGCATGCACAACCTCGCGTTGGCATTTTGGAGTCAGGGCCGATGGACGGAGGCCGAGGAGCTCGGGCTGCGGGTTGTGGAATCTCGAAAAGCGAAGCTGGGCGAAGACCATCCCAACACGCTGCAGAGCATGCACAACCTCGCGTACACATATTCCAGCCAGGGCCGTTGGAAGGAGGCCGAGCAGCTCGGATCGCAGGTTGTAGCATCTCGAAAGGCGAAGCTCGGTGACGAACATTTGGACATGGTGTCAAGCATGCACGAACTCGCGTTGACGTTTTGGAACCAGGGCCGGTGGAAGGAGGCCGAGCAGCTCGGGCTGCAGGTTGTGGAATCTCGAAAGGCGAAGCTCGGTGACGAGCATCTGGACACGCTGACAAGCATGGCGAATCTCGCCTCGACTTATTCGAGCCAGTGCCGGTGGAAGGAGGCCGAGCAGCTCGGATCGCAGGTTGTAGAATCTCGAAAGGCGAAGCTCGGTGACGAGCATTTGGATACGCTGCTGAGCATGCACAACCTCGCGTTGGCATTTTGGAGTCAGGGCCGATGGAAGGAGGCCGAGCAGCTCGGGCTGCAGGTTGTGGAATCTCGAAAGGCGAAGCTCGGTGACGAGCATCTGGACACGCTGACAAGCATGGCGAATCTCGCCTCGACTTATTCGAGCCAGTGCCGGTGGAAGGAGGCCGAGCAGCTCGGATCGCAGGTTGTAGAATCTCGAAAGGCGAAGCTCGGTGACGAACATTTGGACACGGTGTCAAGCATGCACGAACTCGCGTTGACGTTTTGGAACCAGTGCCGGTGGAAGGAGGCCGAGCAGCTCGGGCTGCAGGTTGTGGAATCTCGAAAGGCGAAGCTCGGTGACCAGCATTTGGATACGCTGCTGAGCATGCACAACCTCGCGTTGGCATTTTGGAGTCAGGGCCGATGGACGGAGGCCGAGGAGCTCGGGCTGCGGGTTGTGGAATCTCGAAAAGCGAAGCTGGGCGAAGACCATCCCCACACGCTGCAGAGCATGCACAACCTCGCGTACACATATTCGAGCCAGGGCCGTTGGAAGGAGGCCGAGCAGCTCGGATCGCAGGTTGTAGAATCTCGAAAGGCGAAGCTCGGTGACGAACATTTGGACACGGTGTCAAGCATGCACGAACTCGCGTTGACGTTTTGGAACCAGTGCCGGTGGAAGGAGGCCGAGCAGCTCGGGCTGCAGGTTGTGGAATCTCGAAAGGCGAAGCTGGGCGTAGACCATCCCAACACGCTGCAGAGCATGCACAACCTCGCATTAACGTTTTGGAGCCAGGGCCGGTGGAAGGAGGCCGAGCAGCTCGGGCTGCAGGTTGTGGAATCTCGAAAGGCGAAGCTCGGTGACGAGCATCTGGACACGCTGACAAGCATGGCGAATCTCGCCTCGACTTATTCGAGCCAGTGCCGGTGGAAGGAGGCCGAGCAGCTCGGGCTACAAGTTGTAGAATCTCGAAAGGCGAAGCTGGGCGAAGACCATCCCCACACACTGCTGAGCATGCACAACCTCGCGTTAACGTATTCGAGCCAGTGCCGGTGGAAGGAGGCCGAGCGCCTGCAGGTGGAGGTCATGGAATCTCGAAAGAGGAAGCTGGGTGATGACCACGTTGACACGTTGTCGAGCATGCACCATCTCGCGTTCACGTATTTGAGCCAGCGCCGATGGAAAGAGGCCGCAAAGCTTGGGTTGCAGGTTGTTGAGTTTCGAAAGAAGAAACTCGGCGAGGACCATCTCTCCACGCTGACAAGCATGCACAACCTTGCGTTCACGTATTTGAGTCATCGCCGATGGAAAGAGGCTGCAAAGCTTGGGTTGCAGGTTGTTGAGTTTCGAAAGAAGAAACTCGGCGAGGACCACCTCTCCACGCTGACAAGCATGCACAATCTTGCGCTCACATTCTGGAACCAGGGCCGGTGGAAAGAGGCCGAGCAGCTCGGGTTGCAGGTTGTGGAATCCCGAAAGAAGGTCCTCGGCGAGGACCATCTCAACACGCTGCAGAGCATGCACAACCTCGCATCGACATATTCGAGCAAGCAACAGTGGGATAAGGCCGAGCAACTCCAGGTACAGGTCATGGAATCTAGAAGGACGAAGCTCGGCGAGTACCATCCGGACACCCTGTCGAGCATGCACAATCTTGCGTTCACATTCTGGAACCAGAGCCGGTTGGAAGAGGCGCAACAGCTCGGCTCGCAGGTTGTAGAGTCTCGAAAGAAGATACTCGGGGAAGACAATTTCGACACCCTGCAGAGCATGCACAACCTCGCCTTGGCTCGAATGAGCCAAGGCCAGTGGATGGATTCCGAGCAGCTCCCGGTACGAGTTATGCAATCTCGTTAGATGAACATCGGAGAGACTCGCTTGCTCTATTACAATCCTCGCTTGTATAGAAATTCTCATTCTTCGACGCTGACTGTACCACAAATTTACCACTCAACTGAATCGATAAGCAGGGACACAATTCCCATAGCCAACGCATATCGCCATCTTCTCTAAATCCTACGAGGCATTGAGTATCAGCTCGTAGGCCGTGGGCCTTAAAATATTAGACCAAGCAGCATGTGGCTATATCGATTGCCATCGCAGTACTGGGTAGCCGCTTCAAACTGCAATAACACTAGCGGCGAAAAGATTTTATAGCAGACCACGAAGACTATTTATAAATAGGTCTCTTCTCAATAACCATTGGTGTTACTAATGTACTAATTCTTCGGGTCTAAGAAGAGTTAGAATTCTAATCAATGTGATACATTGACGGCTGAATAGATGAAGCACCGCTTTTAAACAATTTATCGCAATTGCGAAACTATTGTACAGGAGTGTATTTCATTCATCCTGACCCCTCGCAATTGAAAGTAATATACAGTGTATCTCAACTACAGAAGCAAGACAGATCCAAATATATACATACAAGTACAGTGAACCATTTGGAACAGCCCTGGATATACAAAATTCTTTTTAAGCGGCGTTTCAAGGATGTTAGTGATATTGGTCGCAAACCTATCAGGTAGGCATATCAATATAGTGGAAATAATTCAAGTAACAGGATTCATATGCACTGTTACACTTAATAAAAGCAGATCACAAGCATGTGGTATGTTTAAGAGCAACATATATATTATATACTAGCTGTTAACCCTCGCTTCGCTCGGGTGGCTTAGAGTCCATAGTTTGTAATCTAATATCAGGGAATTGTTAAGACCAGAAATAGACGATATATGTGTTATATTATGGTAAGCTTTTGCCTCGCCTTCTTTGTGAAAGTCGTTTCAGAGTGGGAGTGTGTTCAATATCATCCGTATCTGACCACGTTATGGGAGTTTCATCATCTTCCAAGATTGCAAGTTCTGTATGGCTAGGGGTTATTGGGTCGTTGGGAGTGTGAGTAGGCTCATCTTGGTACGGAATGGCTGAGGTTGTGTCACGGAACTGAGATGAGCTGGACGGCATGCTGGTGCCAGCTCGTTAGGACCAACGATTGGTTCGTCTTCGTCTACCCTTTGCTGAAGTAGGACTTAATGGCATAGGCGGCGATATGGTCGGTAGGAAGCGTATATCATGAGTTAGTATGGCCAGTTGTTGGTTTTCTTTGATAGTGCCGAATATACTTCCTGTAACGAATATCTGGGTTTGTGGCGCCAATAATGGAAGTTTTGCCCGTCGAGGACCATTTTTGAAATAAGGAGTGATTGGGAATGTGTGCTGGGTTCGAGTAGAACTATTATAGACTGTGACTTGTAGGTAGTAGTGAAATAGCGTTGAACCGTTGTTGAGCTCCCCTGCGTATTTATTAATCACGCCTAGGAAGGTTACGGTTGGTTGTGCAGCCTCTGGGCAGTGCATAAAGTATGAATCACAGTCTTCATGACCCCCCAGGTGTCTATAGAAATTCAGTATGTATTTTAGAGACTACTGAGCGCTACGTATCGATCTACAGTGTGAGCATGGAGAAGCATGTGGAATTCTTCGTCTTGTGTCGTGGCTGTCAGAAAAGATCCCCAGGCATAAATAAAGGTATTTTCGAGGTATATATCGGATCGGCCTGGGTCGGAAAAGAAACGGATCGGCGGCTGTATTAGCTTTAATTGAACAGCGCCTTTTTTTTACAGCAGCGAGAAAATAAAGGATTGCCCTAGGATGAGTTAATGTCTCGCTCGGCAAGCCAGTGAAGGGCCTTGCAAAAACTGCAGGCGTGTTCCACACGGCCAAGATCATGTCTCTGTATAATGCCGTGGCGGTACTGAAAACGAAAACCAACCGGCACGACTACCTAATGCCGAACACACTTGCTGACGGCACGATGAGTGAATTTATGGTAAAAAGATTGTTGTGGAGAATTAATGCCTTGAATATTAACTGATATCGCATCGGCTTTCGAAGCAATCATATCCGGTACATAGCTCTGTTCCCGGCTCTAGAAATGTTTTAGGATTGAAACACGCCCGAATACCATACCCCAAGTATCTTTTGTAATTGTTTGGCTGATAATTGCCGAACATTGCCTTCGCAGATGTTGTCGCCTTCGTTTGAAGATACTCAGGTTCCTGCCATCAGCTCAGGCTTGTGTAGGTTGATGCGAGATTGTGCAAACTCGGCAGGTTGTCGTCGTGATTCTCACTGAGCTTTGACCTTGTACAATCCATGACCCGCTCTTGGAGCTGCTCGGCCTCCTCCCACCGGCCCTGGCTCGAATATATCAAAGAGAGATTGTGCATGCTCTGGAGCGTGTGCGGATGGTTCTTGCCGAGCTTCCTCCTTGTAGACTGCACAACCTGGATGCCGAGATGCTCGGCCTCCTTCCACCGGCTCTGATTCCAGAATGTGAAGGCGAGATTGTGCATGCTTGACAACGTGTCAAGATCATCCTCGCCGAGCTTCGTCTTTCGAGATTCCATGACGTGCACCTGCAACTGCTCGGCCTCTTTCCACCGGCCTTGGCTCGAATACGTTAACGAGAGATTGTGCATGCTCTGGAGCGTGTCGACATGATCTTCGCCGAGCTTGGTCCTCATACACTCCATGACGTGCACCTGCAGCTGCTCGGCCTCTTTCCACCGGCCCTGGCTCGAATACGTCAGCGAGAGATTGTGCATGCTCTGGAGCGTGTCGACATGATCTTCGCCGAACTTCTTACTTGCAGACTCCACAGCTTGTATCCCGAGCTGTTCGGCCTCCTTCCATCGGCCCTGGCCTGAATATGTCGATGCGAGGTTGCGCATGCTTGCCAGCGTGTAGGGATGATCCTCGCCGAACGTCTTACTTGCAGACTGCACAGTCTGCAACCCGAGCTGCTCGGCCTCCTTCCACCGGCCCTGGCCAGAATACGTGAATGCGAGATTGTGCATGCTTTGCAATGTGGCGACATGATCTTCGCCGAGCCTCGTCGTTCGAGATTCCATGACTGGCACCTGGAGCTGCTCAGACTCCTTCCAGCGGCCTTGGCTCAGATACGTGAACGCGAGATCATGCATGCTCTGCAGTGTGGCGACATGTTTTTCGCCGAGCTTCGTTCTTGTAGACTCCAAAACCTGCAACCCAAGTTTCTCGGCCTCTTTCCAACGGCGCTGGCTCGAATAAGTCAACGCCAGGTTACCCATGCTCTGGAGCGTGTCGAGATGGTCCTCACCGAGACTTGTCTTTCGAGATTCCGTGGCCCATACCTGGAGGTGCTCGGCCTCCTTCCACCGGCCCTGGTTCCAAAACGTCAACGCGAGAGCCTGCATGCTCTGGAGTGTGTCGAGATGGTCCTCACCGAGATTTGTCCTTCGGGATTCCATGACTGGCACTTGGAGCTGCTCGGCCTCCTTCCACCGACACTGGCTCGAATACGTTAACGCGAGGTTGTGCATGCTCAGCAGTGTGTGGGGATGGTCTTCGCCCAGCTTCGCCTTTCGAGATTCTACAACTTGTAGCCCGAGCTGCTCGGCCTCCTTCCACCGGCCCTGACTCCAATACGTTAACGCGAGGTTGTGCATGCTCAGCAGCGTGTCCAGATGGTCTTCGCCGAGTATCTCCTTTCGAGACCTTACAACCTGCAATCCGACCTGCTCGGCCTCTTTACACCGGTTCTGGTTCCAGAACGTGAACGCGAGATCATGCATGCTCTGGAGCGTGTCGAGATGGTCCTTACCAAGATTCGTCTTTCGATATTCTATGACTGAGACCTGGAGCTGCTCAGACTCCTTCCAGCGGCCCTGACTCAGATACGTGAACGCGAGAGTCTGCATGCTCGAGAGCGTATCGGGATGGTCCTCGCCAAGCTTAGTCCTCCGAGATTCCACCACCTGTATCTGGAGCTGTTCGGCATCCCCCCACCGGCCCTGGCACGTATAGGCTAATGCAAGACGGAGCATGCTTGCCAGAGTGTCAAGACCAGCCTCAGTGTTATGTCTAGCTCCTTTGGCAATCAGACGCTCGACAACCCTGAAGTGACCTTCTTCTGAAGCTGCCTGGAGCGCGGTGCGATATTTCCCGCCCTCAATGTTAAAATCGGCCCCCTGGGCGAGTAACAGATCAACGATCTCTAGGTGATTCTCCTCTGAAGCAGCCTGCAGCGCGGTGCCATGCTTGCCGCCCACGGCATTTATGTTACTACCGTGGTTAATTAACAGCTCGACAGTCTCCATATGACCTTTCCTTGAAGCAGCCTGAAGTGCGGTGCCATATATGCCGGTCTCGGCATCCACATTGGCTCCGTTGTCGAGCAGCAACTCCACAACCTCCAAATGGCCTTTCCTTGAAGCAGCCTGAAGTGCGGTGCCATATATGCCGGCCTCGGCATCCACATTGGCGCCGTTGTCGAGCAGCAACTCGACAACCTCCAAATGGCCTTCGCGTGAAGCAGCCTGGAGCGCAGTGCCATACTTGCCGGCCTCAGCATCCACACTGGCCCCGCGCATGATTAAGAGCTCGACAGTGTCCAGGTGGCCCCCCCCGAGAAGCGGCTTGAAGGGCGGTCCCGTGGCCACCACCACCTTCGATATTCCCACCATTGTCGAGCAGCAACTCGATAATCTTCAATTGGCCTTGGCGTGAAGCAGCCTGGAGAGCGGTGCCATATATGCCGGCCTCGGCACCCACATTGGCGCCGTTGTTGAGCAGCAACTCGACAACCTCCAAATGGCCTTCGCGTGAAGCAGCCTGGAGCGCAGTGCCATACTTGCCGGCCTCAGCATCCACACTGGCCCCGCGCATGATTAAGAGCTCGACAGTGTCCAGGTGGCCCCCCCCGAGAAGCGGCTTGAAGGGCGGTCCCGTGGCCACCACCACCTTCGATATTCCCACCATTGTCGAGCAGCAACTCGATAATCTTCAATTGGCCTTGGCTTGAGCCAGCCTGGAGCGCGGTACCATATATGCCGGCCTCGGCATCCACATTGGCGCCGTTGTCGAGCAGCAACTCAATAATCTCCAAATGGCCTTGGCTTGAGCCAGCCTGGAGCGCGGTGCCATATATGCCGGTCTCAGCATCCACATTGGCGCCGTTGTCGAGTAGCAACTCGATAATCTCCAAATGGCCTTGGCTTGAGCCAGCCTGGAGCGCGGTGCCATATATGCCGGCCTCGGCATCCACATTGGCGCCGTTGTCGAGCAGCAACTCGACAACCTCCAAATGGCCTTGGCTTGAGCCAGCCTGGAGCGCGGTGCCATATATGCCGGTCTCGGCATCCACATTGGCGCCATTGTCGAGCAGCAACTCGACAATCTCCAAATGGCCTTGGCTTGAGCCAGCCTGGAGCGCGGTGCCATATATGCCGGTCGCAGCATCCACATTGGCGCCGTTGTCGAGCAGCAACTCGACAACCTCCAAATGGCCTTGGCGTGAAGCAGCCTGGAGCGCGGTGCCATACTTGCCGACCTCAGCATCCCCATTGGCGCCGTTGTCGAGCAGCAACTCGACAATCTCCATATGGCCTTGGCGTGAAGCAGCCTGGAGCGTGGTGCCATACTTGCCGGCCTCAGCATGCAAACTGGCGCCGTTGTTGAGTAGCAAGTCGATCTCCAAATGGCCTTTGCTTGAGCCAGCCTGGAGCGCGGTGCCATATATGCCGGCCTCGGCATCCACATTGGCGCCGTTGTCGAGCAGCAACTCGACAACCTCTAAATGGCCTTGGCGTGAAGCAGTCTGGAGCGCGGTGCCGTATCTGCCGGCCGCGGCATCCACATTTGTGCCTTTGGCCAATAGCAGTTTGACAATCTCTAGGTGTCCTCCGTGAGAGGCAGCTTCAAGAGCGGTGTCATACTTCATGCCCTCGGCTTTTACATCGGCAGCCTTGTCAACCAGTAGCATGGCGATCTCCAGGTGGCCATTTTTTGAAGCTGCGTATAGGTCGACGCCGAGGTCGGCCCCCTTGGCAATTAACAAGTCGACGATCTCTAGGTAGCCTTCTTCTGAAGCTGCGTAGAGCGCGGTGCCATATATGCCATGCTGGGCATTGACATCAGCTCCTTGAGTGAGTAGTAGCGCAACGATCTCTTGGTGGCCTGCGTGACAGGCGGCTTGGAGAGCGGTCCCGTGGCCACCATCATCTTCGTCGATATTTGCGCCGTTGTCGAGTAGCACCTCGACAATCCCCAGGTGGCCATGTATTGACGCAGTCCAGAGTGCAGTTCCGTACTTCCCACCCCCGACGTCCACATTGGCCGCTTTCACAATTAACAGCTCGACAATGTCGAGGTGACCTCCGCGAGAGGCGGCTTGAAGAGCGGTCCCATAGTCACCATTGTCTTCGATATTTACCCCGTTGTCCAGTAGCAACTTGACAATTCCCAGATGGCCTTTCCGCGACGCCGCCTGGAGTGCAGGACCATATCCTCTGCTTTCGGCGTCGATATTGGCTCCTTTGGTAACAAATAGCTCGACAATGCCCAGGTGGCCTCCACGGGAGGCGGCTTGGAGGGCGATGCCCCATATCCCATTCTTGGCGTTGATATTTGCGCCGTTGGCAATCAGCAGCTCAACGACCTCTAGGTGGCCTTTTAATGTAGACTGTGGGAGTGCGATGCCTTGATTGCTACTCGCAAAGTTAGCAACGGTGGCTTTGGCGAGCAACAGCTGGACGATCCGTAGGTGGCCTCCCCTTGAAGCGGCGTGAAGCGCGGCGCCAAATTGCCGATCACCAGCGTTGGCATTAGCCCCGCTGTCAAGCAGTAACTCGGCGATATCCAGATGGCCTTCTCTTGAAGCAGCATGGAGTGCCGTGATATCCATCCCGTCCTTGGCATTGATATCAGCTCCCTTGGCAATCAACAGCTTGACGACCTCTAAATGACCATTTTTAGAGGCGGCGGTGAGAGCACTGGCCTCAGCAATACAAGCGTCAGCATCGGCTCCCTTGGCGAGGAGCATCTCCACGATCTCTATACTGCCTAACTCGGAAGCTAACTTGAGCGTGGTTCCCTCCAGCCAAGTGTTCGGATTGACATTGGCCTCCTTCTCGAGTAAAAGCAGAACAATCTCCTGGTGGTGTTCAATTAGAGCGGCCATGAGGGCGGTTCCATATTTGCTGCTGTCGGTGCTGACATTAGCCCCCCCTAGCAAGCAGCAGCTCCACAGTATCTAGGTGGCCTTCGTGAGAGGCGGCATAGATTGCGGTACCATAACACCCACCCTCGGCGTTCACATGCGCTCCATTGGCGAGCAGCAACTCAACGATCGGTAGGTGACCTCCGTGAGAAGCAGCCTGGAGCGTACTGCCATACCACCCACCCTCGGCGTTCACATGCGCTCCATTGGCGAGCAGCAACTCAACGACCGGTAGATGACCTCCGTGGCAAGCAGCCTGAAGCGCGGTGCCATACTTCCCCCCCTCGACGTTGATCTCTGCCTCTTCAGAGAGCAAAAGCTTGATGATCTCCCGGTGACCTCCATAAGAGGCGGCTTGGAGCGCGGTACCATACTCTCCCCCTTGAGCATTGACTTTAGCCCCCTTAGAAAGTAATAGCTTGATGACCTCCTGGTAGCCTTCTCCTGAAGCGGCCTGGAGCGCGGTACCACACTTTCCACCCTTAGCATTTATATCTGCACCACTTGAAACTAAATTTTCTGCAGTCACCTTCAGACCCTGAAGGCATGCAAAATAAAGCGGAAGTGCTTTAGGCTCACCTGGGTCGTCATCCCACGGCTCCTCAGGGTTGAACAATCTAGCCCAAAGACTAAACTTGAACTCATCTCGAAGAAACGCTGTTGCCGCCTGCACGACGAATCTGGAACTTTCGGCACCCTTGGCATACTCCATCCATGTCTCTGCTGCATACCTTGCCAATGGAAATCGTGTCCTTATAGCAGGTATCTTCATGATAGGTATCTTGTCTGCTTGCAGGCTTCCCAGGTAGCTTAGGCATGTTAGCGTAATAGTAGCCTTAGGATCCGGTTTAGTGAAGTCCGCCCCATCATAACCCATAAGATACTCCTTCACTGTGAAATGAGCCAGTTGTACTTCCATTGCTCCGCTATGTTCCGAGGCCTGCACTAGTGACACTAAGCCAGGACAGTACGATACGATATCCCGTTGATGTCGAAGTCGATATCTTGCCTCAAACAATCCGTCATCGGGGCGTATCGCTACCACGTCAATAGCTTCACCGAGTGTCAACGGCCGTTTTGAGTAGACCAGGAATTGTAGCAAGCGTATTGCCTTCTTCTTGCGTCCTACTGGGATCTTCTCAAGGATTCTGGCATATGTTGCGTTTAAGTCCTCCGGCAGAGAGTGAAGGGTAGCCTCGATTTCCTTAAGGTCCAGACAGCCTTCGAGGCTATCTAGCTGACAGGCTGCCCATCTGAACCTAAATAACGAGCGTCAAATCTGCCTAAGCCCATCCGATCCGCGAGATATACATGACTTACATTCCATCCGCTTTGCTTTCGATTGCATCCTTGATTTGCCTCAGTATATCTGGAGATGCGGCCCACCTTTTAAAACGTCCACCCTGGTCTAGTTGGGCCCGGATATAGGAACGAATGTCGGCGTCCACACACTTCTTATTCAGAAGAAGGCAAGCTCCTTCCCCAACCCATTCGTGAAAATTACGCTCAATTTCTTCTTCGGGCCGACCTGTTGCTATAATTTGAATGTGCGAGAGAGCAGGGATAAATTCTCCCATCCATGCCAGCAGCAAACTCCTCTCTGAGCACTCATCCAAGGCGTCTAGCACAATAAAAAGCTTCTTGCAAGCCCGCATCATGCTTTTTAGACATATAGACAAGATATCAGTGTCTGGTTGCCTTTGCCCATTATTATAGGATGTAAACAAGCTATCGAGGTCTTTTTGAGACCCCGGCTGTGAGCTATAGAGCTGGAATACAAGCGAGCGTAGCATATCATCCAATTTCTGCTTTCGAATATCGGTGAAGTCGAAAAAGAAAGTGAGCGTTACCGAGTCTTTCATCTGCTCAATATGGTCAAGGATGGTAGCACTGAGTACTGTCTTGCCACATCCTGGCATTCCATAAAGCCATAGATGTTTACGCAGACCGAGCTTCCACTCAGTAAAGGAATCACTATCAAGGAACCATATTCCAGTTCCAGTGTGCCGAGATTTCCTTGCATGATTGACATTGGTAGAAGGGTCGGCAGGCGAAAGCCAGCGCTTAATGCTTGCAGCGTGTCTATGGGCCCTTATTGCATGAGTATCCGTCTTGATTCCATACGATGTTTGCTGCATATCAAGGAGATTTCTTTGCACTTTGTAATGTCAGAATAGCCGGCCGCTATTGGATTTGGTTCACTGACTATTGCCTAGGACTTCGCTCACTCTCCTCTCTGATTCGATCTTGTTTGGTGGGATATGGCGTAATAGATCCTTTGCATACGCTGCGGCCGCCATAGCCGCAAACCCCTGCCATTGCTTGTTCTTGTGCGTGTCAGCATAATCGCAAATTCCACGTATAACTAGGCAAGGAAAATGGTTCATCAGCCCGGCTGCCTCCATCTCGAAACATAAGACGCCCTTCTCTGCTGCTACTTTGTCTCGAGCCTGCGCGTCCTTCATCAGCTGGTTTGCCGATGCGATTAACCCGTAGTGGATCACCGGGTCATCCTCTTCCTCATCTCGTGGGCTTCGCCACACCAGTGTTGATGGATCATCGCCGCAGACTTGGTGGCAGGATCCGTTTGAGCCCTGATGCAAGTGATCCGGTATATATAGCCTATCGCTATCGGCAGGCGGGCGAGAGTACTTTTTCCGCAGCCGAGGCTTTTTTTGAAGAACTTCTCTGATATCGTTCTCAAGCCGATGACCATCGGCCTCATATCCAGATCTAAGCCCAGACACTGCAGACCGCAGCACAGTAGGTGGTTGATTTAAAAATCCCGTCTCCAGAAAAGCGCGATCCTGTATCGCCTTGCCGAAGTCGTACTGGACCACGCCGCCCTTCCCATCGCGCGGGCTACTGACCACAATGTCGCCGAGGCGGACGTCGTGCTGCTGACTTGGCGCACCGCCCCCGATGCCGACCATTAACCCGATTCGGATATTAGAAAAGGTGTGTAGCATGTCTTTTGCAACAGAGGCAGCAGAGACTAAGCCATATTCGCCATCCGGCAGAACGGCGATGACAACATTATAATTACCCATCCTGCCCAAGGCATACGAGTTATTGTCATTTTGAGCGACTTCTGCGGGAGGGTCATGTTTTTCATCGAAAAAGGCCTGGGCAGCAACGGACTCTGTACTGATGGCGCAAACCCATCCGATCGTGTAGTTTTGCGGATCCGACATGCTGTAGATGTGGTTAAGGGCGGTGGTACCGTCCTTCTTTGTGAAAAATGGTCTGTAACTAGGAGATGAAGGCTCTGCTGCTAAATATAAAGCAGGAGATGCTGCGTCACTGCAAATCTATAGGATGGTGCGAGACGTGGGAACGTGGGTGGGAGTTCAACAGAACGGGTGTTCCCGTGCTGAGAGATCTGGATCCTCTGACTTGCGATTGGCAGACGTAATACGTGGGATGTGGCCACAGCAGTCACACTGATGAGAGCCTCGATCAGCTAGCGCTATCACGTGTAGGGTAGCAAGCGGCAAGCCACTTGGGTGACGACCTTGCCAACCCCGCAGAACACGGGAGTGACCTCTAATTTAGGCTATCTCCTATTTGCGGCCAGGGATGTGGGGTGGCTGTTCTTAGCAGCCGTAGTATCTTTCATACATCACGTAACATGATTGTTCCATCCCGTGTATTTGCCTTAACGTAATTCCCGCCTGAGCGAGACACCCGGCCGACCGAGACACCCATCACCATTAGAAAATTTCAAAATCCATTATCTCAACCAACGCCTATTAATTCAACTAAATGTAGCGATTTTTACATGAATTAATCCTGTGGCCAATCTCCCTACACCCACTACACCTAGGTGGGGCCCTAGTAGCCGGCCTATCTGCCTGAATACGCAATTCGCCCTGCGTATGTGATTCTACCATAGGTGCTTCTGCTGGTAAATCTAGCTGCGTAACTAGCTGTAGGCCCTCTTCGACGGTCAAACCCTCTTCACAGGGTATCTGTTTATGCGACCGATTACGCTTCTTGACAACCTTCTCATTCGCTGCGCGTAGATTCGCATTATCTTGCGCAAGTAATGCGGTGTTATGTAGTGACAGGTAGTGGCCCTTGATAATTCGATCCAAGATAGTTTTTGATGGGCTTGGAGGACTATTTGACCGTCACTTTAGTAGGTCCTTTAACATAGAAGCTTGCTTGAATAGCTGAGTAACGGTTCTAGGTGTTTTTGGTGTGAGTTGACTAGATCTGCTGCTTGGCCGGCTGCGTGGTGGTGAAGGTGTTCGTAGAGAGATATTAAGCTTTGAGAGTACTCTTTCTGCATCAATTGGCACTAAGCCACTAGCTGCGAAGCTATTCTGAATAGTGCTTGATTGAAAGGCTTCTTGCCGCGCGCGTTGGTAGTCTTCTAAGAAATCGAATTTATCGATATGATTATATCCCCTGCGTGCAAGATCACTTATAAAGCGACTATATGCACGCTTTAGCACTGCAAAACAGCCAACATCTAGCGGTTGTAATAGATGTGATGAATGTGCAGGCATACACAGAGGTATAATATTGTTCTCTGCACATAATCAGTCAAATTAGGGGGTAAGGTGGCTACCATGGCCATCAAGAATTAGTAGCCGAAATCGACCACGTACACGCGAATTCGTTAATGGGATAAATAGCTTTTCTAGCCAGCGCAGGCCAATCTCATCGGTAGTCCAGCCATTATTAGATATTTCAAATCGCCAATCGCGTGGTAGATTATCAAACCAACCAGCAATAGCGACTTTGCCTTTGAAAATCACACATGGCGGTAGCGAATAGCCATCTGCACAAATTGTTTCAATAGCAGTGACCCATTCACGATTTCCTGGCTGTAGTATTGATCGCCGACCATAGTATTCAGCTCGTGTGACCACTTTCTGCGTAGATATAAGACCCATTGCAAATCCTGTCTCATCAAAGTTGTAAATATCCTCAGGTTGGATACCATTCTCATCAATCACGCGTTGTACGGTCGCAAACCAAGCTCGTAGCGATTTTAGGTCTTCATTTAGTGCGCGCTGGTAGTCATAGCGTTTCGAGAAGCGTGATCGGATCTCATCGCGTCGATTTATAAAGGTTGATGACCAATTCTTGCCAACAGTAGGCGGAGGGTAGCTACCACGCGCAGCTAGTAGGATATTAGCCATCTCTCGTACAGTAGCCGGCCGAGGTGCTGCTCCACGTGATTCCATAGAGAAAATCCATTCAACAAGTGAATATTCTTCTAATTGGGTCAATTTATAGCCGTTTGGGCGTATGTCAACGCGTGAAAGGCGTCCTTGGGCGCGGTGATGTAGTGTTGAAAGCGGTATTTCGTATAGCTTTGCTGCTGCGCGAATAGACTTGATTCGGCCATTTTGAAGATCATCAAGGGCTAATAAGATCTTGCCCTCTCGATTGGCCAATTTCTGCGAGGATTCAGAGCGAATTGGTGGCATGGTAGGTGGTTGGAGCTGGCATGCAGGTAGGAAGACGCGATTTTGGATGGGGTGTCTCGGTCGGCCGGGTGTCTCGCTCAGGCGGGAATTACGTTATTAGTAACCTTATTAATAATTCCTCCTTTCTGCCACCAAGAATTCCACCTACATTCGAATATCTCCGGGTAGCATGATTGTAATGATATTAAAAACCAATTCAGGTCACCAGGTAGGTGGAATGATGTACCCTCGCTTTCATTGCACAAAACAGTGGCTATGTGCAGGTGCCAAGGAGACTAGTGCTTCAGATGGTCGTAGACCAGCCAATGATGTATGCTTGGCGTCAGCTTGGAAGGTCAAAGCGCGATCCTTGCATGACAAAGTATGATTCTCACCCAGCTCACCCCGTTCTCACCCTGTCTATTGCGCACTCACCCTAATCACCCGAGTCGCGCGACGCTAAAGCGGCGCTCACCCCATTCTCACCCGGGCGGCACCCACCGCACTACCTGCTGTGTTTTAGCCCCACGCCAAATGGTCGGGCTAGCCAATAGTTTAGTCTAGCCTGGTGGGGAAATAGCTGAACGCCGCTTTTCTGTCGCGCGACCTGGGGTGAGAAGGGTGAGTGCTTTGCGAGAAAATGAGGATCTGGGTGAGAGTCACCCTCGGTCGCGCGACTGTTGTGCGGTTATTTTTAGCCGGGCAAAAAGATGAAAAGTGATTAGCTTGTAACAACTACAGATACTTTCGTCCTTATAAAACCCCTCGGTATTGTGGTAGAATATCTCCAGAACCCTATCCTACTTATCGAATTCGATAGCAGACCACCGGATCCTGTTACCTATATTACCTACCTTAACCTAATAATTCCCATAAGGAGGTACTAGCAAGTTCAGTCGGAGACGAGACCTTGTAGGTGTCCAGAATTGTGGGTGGCAAATAAGAGTATGGTGCATAGCCAGTGCAGGTACAAGGGGGAAGATATTTGCTTGCGCATATCCTGACCGAGGTGTCTGCCGGCTTTCAGAAGTTCAGGTTATTCCGGAGTTTTGACACAGCCGCAGTAAGGCCTTGTTATCATCGCGGAAGAATACAGTGCCAGCAAGTTTGCCTCGCCCACGGAATTGGTGGAAGCTAACCACTACGCAAAATACTCTTTAGAAGTGATGTTTCTGCTGATTCAGGGTCTGGTGACCTCGATGATTTAAATTCCCCTCCTTCGCCAGGCTCAACTCTAGGACATACCTTCCCACAGCCTCTTATTTCCAAACAATTTATATCTTCATCGCTTTTTAGCTACGCCTCTCGCTCTGATTGCCTCAATATCAGATTTCATCTCTTCCATTCCCCTTCCTTTCTGTGGATCCGGTCCGATGGCCATTAAATCGTAACCCCGTGGCTGGTAACGATTGCCGTTTGAGCCTGAGACATAATGCGTGCAGTAATAATTGGTGATTCGGAGTTGATGACGCGATGTGGAATTTCCTAGCGGATGGTGAAAGGAGAGCTGGTATATAACAACAGGGAGTCGTGGTGAATGAAGATTAGCCCGAGTTGGAGAAGTGCCGAGGCTGTGGGGATTTGATGAGTGATCAACTATTTCCGATTTCCGCATAGTGCCTAAAGGGGTTAGGGGTATCTCTTTGACTACAACAACTTTCCGATTATATTTGTACTCTGATAGATCAGAAGACTGCTCAGTATACATACAATCTCACTGCTCAGAAGGCTCCCTTCAATCCGCCTGTCTTTGCTTGAGAAAAGGGGCAGGTAGCTACGCCTCTCGCTCTGATTGCCTCAATATCAGATTTCATCTCTTCCATTCCCCTTCCTTTCTGTGGATCCGGTCCGATGGCCATTAAATCGTAACCCCGTGGCTGGTAACGATTGCCGTTTGAGCCTGGAACCTTTCCCCCAAAGACTCTGACCATGAAAGAGCCCGGGCCCCATTTGGACCAGAATGTTGGCTTGATATACCATGGCTGAAGTCCTTTTCTTTCAAAATTGTACAGGTTTGTTTCTGGGTTTGGCATCCCATGCACCAATTTGACTGCAGCCGAGTCAGATCGAGGAAGGGTCAGATTTCGTAACAACAATTTGCGCAGGTTTCGGATAACGGAGAGCACTATAGAAAAGGGTAGACTAGGGGACTCAATACTGGATTTTCTTTATTAGTAATCGTATGATTTCTCCGTTTGAAATGTTGATATCAAGAGTGGTTTTTACCAGAGGCTAGTTCGCATCACATCATCCAGGTCGGCACCCAGAATTTGTCTTACAAGGCTTCTCGCGAACCTAGGGAGTGATGATAATGCCGAGTCAACATAAACCCTGACATACTGGTCATTTGTCGCCGTGGGTTTTGCAACCTCTTCTTCATAGCCAACAGTCCACTCTTGTAACTCCAGCCCGAAGTGCAGACCATCTTTCCAACCTTCGGCTTGTGAAGGGAGGGGATCGAAAGGTATTCCCATGTCCTCTCCAAGATTCTTATGGAAAATACCAAGGGCACATTTCTCAACATCTGTTAGGTTGCGCCATTCCTCTCTTTCAATGACGTTGAGAATCTCGGCGAGACCATCGCCCAAGGTGTGCAGGAGGTCTTGATCAGTTATCTTGTTTGCACGTCTATAACGGTCATGACTGGCCATATGAAAAATCAGCAAGAGTATCGAAAGCTTAATGGGTTACCCAACCAGCATCAATGGAGCCTGCATAGTTGGATAGGACTTTTTGCGTACAGGTAATTCATTCTTGCGACGGCTGTCATATAGCGATCAGAATCTCTGGGCTGAGATTGAGACTCACGTAGGAGAATCTCGGTATCGACAGATCTTTTCCCCGCATTCCTTCTATTATTCTGTCCTGTGACCGCAAAAAGCTTAGACATAGTTGGGATGCCTCCGGCCTATGTTGAAAACACCAGATTAGCGAGACCTATATTAGCGTTTATTTTTTTCTTTCATACCTTGAGCAGGGCAATTCTCCGGGCCTTGGAAAAAGCGTAAGGAAATTCAAGCTCTTGCAATTCAGTAATAATTGAATGTGCCTCTTTGGTGGTCATACTAGACAAATTTCTCTTGCCAGGCCCAAATGGAGCCTCAATTTTTGCCCTGCGGCGGTATCTCAGTCTTCTAACAATAGCAATGTAGCTGATTAAGATAGCAGCTGCTGTAATAAAAATGATGTTCCATGTAGAGTGTTGGAATTCGGTCATATCAAACATCTTGTAATTGGTCATCCTATTCACCTTTCTGTTAGCACCGTCAGCGTAAGCAATTGGTCCTGTCACACCTTTGAGGTATGGAGTAGATTACCCTTAATTGAAAGAACATGAATAGACCGGGAAACTGAGGATAGCGTGATTCCCAGGTAGTAAGGCAGGGTAGCTAGGGTGGTTTAAATAATTTAAAGTGCACGAGAACAGGCCATCGTTACCGAGGTTAGCATTTCGTTGGGTTAGAAGCTCAACAAAATTTGATCATGAGTATGAAATATGAGCCAATCATGCTGCAAATAATAGTTGGGCTTCAATTTGCTTGCCAGGGATACAAGGTTGTCAAGTATGATGATAATATAATCAACATCATCACGGGTGGGGGTCTTTCGGCACGAACTTCTGATATTTTCTACTGAGGCTCCATAGTGGAAGATTGCCGGAATTGCGCAACCTCTGAGCGCACAGGTTCGATTCTCACAGATAGCGTCCTTAAATCGGGACGCCGTTGAGGATCACTTTGGCGTCTGGATAGGCGGTGAGCAGCAATAAAATGGACAAGGAGTCAACCACAGCCTTGTTATCACCGATGAGAATGTCGAACTCTACATTTTTGTCGGTGATACAAATCAATCGCGGGAAGGGGAAGTAGCGCAAGAAAGAAGAGACGTTTTTCTGCTTGTGCATATCCAAGCACAATTGACGACTGCGTCTCTCCTGATAAATTCATTTCTGTGTGTGGGCGCTCTACAGAAACCTTACCCTCTTCCCAATCAGCCTTTACCGACATCGCAACTGGGCCCTTAGAGCAGTATGCTTCTTCAAGTCTCTCTTCTCTCTCTTCATGGAAGCTATGCTCGATTTGGATAGTTGCTATGCGGCCACTACTTTCCCAAGCAGCCCTGGACCAGTCACTCCAGTCACCCCAGTACGGGCAGACACGGTTGAGACAATGGATCTTGAGTCGGCGGCTAGGTCAAAACCATTGATGACACGAGCCCAGGACGAGTCTACCACAAGAAGTTCGAAAATGTTTTCTAGCCGCAAACTTTCATCGTCACCGGTGCACTTTTCAACTTGTAGTCGCATTTACACATTACTCTGTAATTTGGTGTGATCGGCTTGACCGTGTGATTAAGTCGGCCGTGGAGTACGGACTAGTGCTCCAACAGCAAAACAGCTTGCTTTTGAAAAGTCCGCAGTTCCAAAAAAAACCTTTCCGACGTTGCCATGATACAACTCGATGGTGCCTTCAAATGACTTCAACCTACCCCCCTTTTTTTGTATGTGAGACGCACTATTGAGTATGGCCGAGCAGATACTTACAGAATTAACCATGATTATCACAGACTTGTAAGGTCATGTAGTGGCATATTTCCTAAATAGGTAATAGTTCCTGTTATGGCTGTGTTGCAGGGGAATTAGGCTTGTGGGCAAACCACAGTGATGTGCCATGCACGAGTTTGCGCACCTTGGGACCACATGCGGGGCTCACTTGATACTATACTGGGGGCATAAATAGCACCAACTGGGATCGTCACTAGTACAGAGCGACCCTGGGGATATCTCATTGAAAAGTATTCGCTGTACACTCTAAATTCCTCCAATCTTCCCATGCAAGTATTCTCCAAATCCCAAAGCAACGCCAGCCCCCCACGCCACCATGGCCACGGATAGCTTTCCCTCAGAAATGATCACCGTCTACAAGACGTTTTTCCTTACCTTCTACAGTGCAGTTGACTCCATGGATGATGAGGCCGTAGCCGGCTCATTCACTGAGAGTGGGACATTTGTTCTCGGTACCAAGAAGGCGACCGGTAGGAAAGGTTATTTTCATTTTCATTCTCCTTACAACTAGGCTAGACGCTATCAAATGAGTACTGATCTGTTCTAGGGATTCTTGCACTGCTTGCCTCTCTTCGAAGACTTGTGAAGTCTCGGACGCATCATTTAGACCAATTTTTTATTAGGTCGGACTCGGAAAGTGTCATGATGAATGGTTCCGTTGGATACGGTCAATATGATGGTAGTATTGTGGCCACTGAATGGGCCGGGTTGGCTCATCTAATGCGGGTGCGTGAGGATACTGTGCGGATGGATAACTATCAGGTTTATTTCGCCAGCGATGCAACTTTTTAGAAGGGGCTGAGGTATTTAAAAGCTTGAAAGCCAACAAGTGACGCGAAAATAATTTGATGGGATAGGTGTGCAGGATAAACCTTCCTTCTGTTCTGATTCAACCTTCGTTTGTTAGGTATTATGGAAGATCTCTTTGGAATCTACGTACCCTACAGTATATGTGTGTGTGCGTAGTTCATTTACGCTGACCCCTCGCTAAGTTAGTTTAGCCAACTAGACCAAAATATGAATCCGTATCCGGTCTAGTAGGCTGTGACTTATAATCCAACTGGTAAGATGATGGATAGGATCTAGGAGGAGCTATATCAAAATGCTAGCAACAGAGTGATATTGAAAATCTTAAACTAATATACCCCCTGAGCGGGAGTGTGCTATTCACACATCCCGAATGCCACGTTACCATATAAGGCTAGTGAGCATCAGGGAGGACAACCTACTATCTAGTAAGGCCTCAGCGGTATTGAAGACTGCTGAAACCTCAACACCAACTCGCTAAGCGATATGCAGCCTACAGCAACTATACGTACATGTGTCTTGCGTCACTTCTTGAACGAACTTGGAGCCTGGTTGGGGCTTGCCTTGGCCTCGTAGCCGTTATTTGGATTGCTGCCCTCATGGTCATTAGGACCCGAGGAAAGAACTCATGCCGCAGTTTGATTGTTGTGCTTAGGTAACAAGCGAAGAAGGTGAATCAGTTCAAAGGAATCGTTGGAAATCGAAGCAAATTAATGCATACCTGGAAGGATCCCATAATGGCAGCATTGGTTCCAAGGCTAACGAAGCCTTAAAGGCCAGACGATAATTTTAAATCGGACTCTAAATAGCAATTGACGAAATCGCCGTTTGTCATATCGGTAGCCATCCAACCGCTCGAGTTGACCATTTAACCTTTTCGATCTACTGTCGCGATACAAGTTTATTTTTTGCATGGGGCACTTACAACCTCACAATTTGTAGTAGTGAACGTTGACGACTTCGATAAGTGAATGAATAAGAATGACTCATGAGAAGCCCCTAATCCCCAAAGGCTTGAAAGAGAGAGAAAATCGCAGAGACTTTCTTCTTCATTTCATTCCTATTGCCCAGGTAAGCTTCGCATCATAATACAGAAGGTCGGACTTTTGAGAGAATTCCCCTGCGCGCTTGGCAGACTTGACTGGCAATATTTGTGTTGAATGGGTGTCATATTCGCCGGAAGGAGCGCCGCTGTAAGCACTATGCAAAGCTGACGAGAAATAATCTGACATCGGCCCAGGCATGATAGAGCCGTGACCCGTTGTGAATTCCGGGAAGGGTCCCTCAATTCTGTACAGGGGCCAACACTGCAACAACCCTCGACGGCCCAAGAAATTTGGATGGACGCAAGAATGGGTATTTTAAACTTATCATCGTACATAAGTAAGTTTCTAAAGGGTTTCGTGCATCTCGCAGCCGACGGAGAATTCTATTGATACGCTTCTTGGGCTTCTCCAGATTCTCGTTTCACTGATTCTTACGAACTTCCTTTAGAGATGTCTAAAGCGGCAAAGAAAGAGATTCTTTCAACAAACAGAATTGACATCAAAATCCCAACGGAGCTACATTATGAACACCCATAGAGATGCGCAAAAACAGAAAAGAGCATCGTGCCAAAGCCATCCTTTGACTGCGAGGCTCCTATAGAAGTTTTAAAATTGGCTAAATGGCTGGTACTATTGAACCATGCACTACAAGGGGTTTGACTAGGGCAAGTGGCAAACTTGCCATGAAGCCCGTATGGTCAAATTAAAATATTCCAAATTTGTTGATTCAAATTTCCCACCGAAATTGTTTCTGGGTCACAGAGTCCGAGATAAAAAAAAATATGCCTTATTGTATGTGGGATCTGGCTCTATGGATGATGCACTGTAAGAATGTTGAGGAATAAATCCTAAATGTTGGGCGTTGAGTTGCCGAGGTTGCGCTGATTACAAAACCAGAGAATAACCTGGATTTGCCACACACTTCCAACACATTCGATCCAATCGATACTGCACGTTGAATAAGCGGTTAAAATCCAAGGTGACCTGCAACAGCCTAGTCAGACCTTAAAAGGGGGTATCAAATCGTTTGAGTCCAACTCACAGTCCCACTCAGACATGAAGCTCCGCCGATCAAAACGGGTCGGGCGCCCTCGTCTTGACGGCAGTGGCGAAGCCATCCTCTCCGAAGAACGTCGCAGTCAGGTCCGTCGTGCCCAACGCACGTATAGACAGAAGAAGCAGGTTGTTTTCCGAGATGCGACCGCCAGAGCCGAACAGCTCGATGCTAGACTGCGCCTTGCCGTGAAAGAGGTCACTGCGTTGTCCGAGGTGGTCGGAGAGGCGCAGCTGCATATATCACATCCTGATCTCTATGAGCGCCTGAAGTGTCTGAATGAAATTGTGGCTGGTGGTGATAATCCGATTCACGCGGACTCGCCAGATCAATCAAATCCGGTTGGGTCCGAAAGCCAGGTGCAAGGACTCAATGCACAAGATCACTATTTCAGTCAATGGATACTTCCCCCTCCCCTACCTAGCAAGAACTACACGTATGCATTTCGAGAAGTTCGGTTTGCCCGTCGATTACAAAGATACAGTCTTGAGTACGCGTATCGTCTATTCACGGAGGCCCGGACAGATCCGCGCGAGATCTACCGTGTGTTCCGGTTAGTCCCCTGCGTGCAAGATCAGACTAAAACCCAGCCACGTTTCCTGCAGCTGTTGAAAGGTGGATGTATGGATTCTCTTGAGATTCCAAGTCTGCCATTTTATAATATTGGCGGCGCGGGCGCGCATTTTCCGGACCTCGACAAGAACGGGAACGCAATGTACCCGCCGAAGTGTCGAACTCCACGGCGGGTTTTAGGTATATTTCCGCAGTCTAATCTCACATCAACAGGAGCGGATGAGGCTTTGGAGACTCATGGGCTTGGAGGGGACTGGTTTGATAGCCGTGATGTCGAGGGCTATCTGAGACGTCATGGCGTGGACGTAGACAGTGGCTTGTTTCCTATGGTATACCTTTCTGATATAGCAAAAAGAAGTACCAATGGCCAGCCGTATATCTTGGATATTGAAGGATTCTTTGCTCGTGAGTGCTCAATCATTCGCGATGGTTCACATGCTTATGGGTCTAGGTCTCCTCGCTGGACTCACTATACTCGGTCGCGCCCCGGGGTTCAGAAAGGCGGAAGTTAGGCGTGCGTTACAAGCATCAATAAAGAAGCTTGACTAGCACTCGTGGGGAACATATGTCTTGTGTTTGGACTTTTACCTCGGAGTCGATGCTGATTACAATATCCTGGCAAAGGCCGAGGGCATGATTTCGACATGGTTCAACCAAGCCGACGTGTTATAAAGTCCTAATCCGAAACCTGCGTCGCTATCTCACTCGAATAATCATGACTGTCAGCATGATCTCCTTCAAAGAACAAATCTCAGTCGAGCCAATTGGCAAGGACTGCTACCGCTCTGTCGTCCCTCCCATCCGCATGGGCGATTTGGCCGACTGGGCATACGGCGGCAACACATTGGCCATAGCAGTCAGCGCTGCCTACTTGACAGTTGCAGTAGGCGATCACCTTTATTCTATAAGCGGCCACTTCGTGCGGCCGGCAAGCCAATCCAACAAGCTCATCTGTCGTGTCGAGCGCGTCCGAGACTCGCGAATGTTCAAAACCCGACATCTTCGCGTGCTGCAGTCCGAGGGGGATTCCGAACAACTTTGCCTCATCGCCACAGCAGACTTCCACATAGACGAACCAGATGATATGGTTAATTATTCTGCTTATCCGCAAGTTGAAGTCCCATGTTCTCCTCCAGAGGAAACGGAGGTGGAGAAAACCCAGGAACCAGGGCTTTACAAGAACCTGGATAAATTCATTGAGGTTCGCCCACACAGTGCTGGAAAGAGCGGGAAGCAAGTCCCAGATCTTGTTTCCGCTGATAGATTCCGGATCCATGGGCCTTTGTATACTGAGGCCGAACAAATCACTGCCCTTGCGTTCTACATGGACCGTGGCTTAGCCTACATTCCAGCCAACCATTCCGGTTATAGCTTGTTTCAGGCCAGTGCTTGTGCAACTCTTGACTTTGCGTTGCGGATCCTAACGCATGGGATTGATTTGCGGAACTGGCATATTAGCGAAAGACAGACATGTGGTGCGGGAAATGCGAGGGCACTGAGTGAAGGAAGAGTCTTCGATGCGAAGGGCCATTTACTGGCCAGTATGACACAGAAAACTATTTTGAGACCGAAGAAGGGGACTTCGAAGATTTGATTGTCTCATTTCACCTGAAATTCTTTGAGATGATGGTAGATGCTCGAAAGATACTGTGTTGCATTACTCACCACGACAGTGCCCTGATCCATGTACCTGTCTGTCGGTTGTCAATGATTCTTTACTCAAAAATATTATTATAACAAAGTTTCCAGTTTAAAAGAATTCCAGCTAGTCTGATAGGGTTCTGTTTTTCCAGTAGTACTCAATGCTTGCTGGCAACCATTCATATACTTCATACCTCTGCCTCAGCTTCCAAAATCCCTTACTCACACAGTAAGCCTGGCCTTCAAATTCATCGTAGGTTGTGTTAAGGCAACAAAGTTCAGAGGGTGAATTTCTCCCACAAGGCTGATTCCGCACTCTCCGGGGGTTTCCAAAGGAGGCAAACTGCTAGTATAATTATAAATAGATTTTTTCTTGGAATCATAATCATTTAAGTCTTTCGCAAAAATCGATGTTTCCTTCGTTATCTGGTCGTATTTGCGAACCGGAAATGAGGTATATTCTCAGCGAAAATCACTGATATGACGAAACTGAAGATCGCAATAGAAGGAATGACACTTCTACCAACCGCTTTGCATGCCCGCCTCAGGTATAGCCAGAATACCGGCAATATCGTCAACATATATGCCTTTTACAATCCATCGCTCTCCCTTCTTGGAGCAAATCCATATACATCTTGCATGTCCTTTTTCAATTGCGTTCAGACAGTATTCGTGGATGATACTTGATCTTCCACAATTGGGCTTTGGCCTCTCCAAATTTGGAACAGTTGGAATCTCGGAGGCATTCTTGAGGGATGGCGATGCCGCCGATGCATAATAAAGGACATTGGACTCCATTGCCGAAGAGAAGAAATATCAACTTCTAGGACAGTGGTGTAAGTGGATAAGCTATTTTGGATAGACATGATACTGAATAATTATCCACGAAACTATCCATAGAGTAGAGGTGAGATTTTCTTTAGCGGGGCAAGGTATGTATGGCGCGGTATCTTGAGGTTATGTAGTAGGCGATGATATTGTCGTACACTCCGGAAACAACCAGCATTAGCAGCGACACCGTTGGCTGGTGTTTCCACATGGGATTTTAATTTAGTCGTGTATGATGTGGATAGCATGGTCAGATTATGCGCCCTATTGGCCGACCAGATGTGAGAGTATCCTCGCTTTCATTGCACACAACAGGTGGCTATGTGCAGGTGCCAAGGAGACTAGTGCTTCAGATGGTCGTAGACCAGCCAATGATGTTTGCTTGACTTCAGCTTTCAAGGTCAAAGCGCGATCCTTGCATGACAAGTATGATTAACCCAGCCCAACCCAACCCGCCCAGAGATGAATATGAATATGACTTTGGGAGGCTACTGAGAAGGTCGAGATCACTGATTTAAATCATTGAATTTCAGATAATATTTTTGAGCTCATTTAAAAGATTCTGAATCCATGAATTTGCATAAAATCATCGATGCGGCCTATGGTCCCTTCGGATGTGTGAGTAAAGTAGTAAGGGCGGTGATCTTTATGTAGAGAATATATATTTCCAGGTCGATAGCGTTCATTGTTTCAGTGTAACATCCACCCAAAAGTGTGACAGAGATAAATTACCAAAATTACACTAGGTGACTAATCAGGTTTATCCACGATTTATGCATATTTTTGGGTATTTTGGGCAACCCGCGGGTACCCGCCAAGAACCCGTGGGCGGTGTTGGTTTATTAAGTGATGCTTCATTGGTCATATTATTGAGGGGAGTTAATTGTGTGTTATGTTGAGTGTTGTCTAAGATACAAGTGAAATGTTGAGGTAGGTGAATGTATGCACGTGATCCCAGCCTTTTATTATCTCAGCGACCGGGATATTCCAACAGGCGGGTTCATCAAGGCCAAAACCCGCGGTGGGCTGCCCGTGGGCGGGTAAGGAAATTGAAAAGCCAACCCAAACCCGCGTTTGGCGAGCTCTACACGTGACCCAGGGCCGCCCCGAGAGCCTCAATTCGTTACAGATAGGAAATGGCAGGGTGTCCCCCTCGCTTGTACAACATCCTAAGTGGCACCTTTGGGCTTAGACCGGTGAAAAACTGTCTTCAATTTGGTCCGGACGATAAACAGTAATAAGAGTTAACACCAAGTTAGAAAATACTGCGTCTTAGTGAGCAGGAACTGTGTGTGAAGTATTTTAACTACGCTGGGGGAATTGCGAGTCTGCCAGGCTTCCAGCTAGAATCCCACCACGCCCATTCAGTGACTCCCGTAACAAGCTCACCCTTCTGGAAATAAACCCGCATATTATGATCACTAGGATTACCACCCCAGTTGATCACAGCAGCCTGTGTACCTGGGATAGTTCCCGGGGTGGTAGGCTTATTGAAATCACCATCCTCCCAGACTTTTCCTTCAAATATCTTTTCGATGAGACGGAGGTTGTGCGCCGCGTAAAAGACGCGCAATCTGAAACTGTCCGACGAGGCGCCAAGGCTCGTCGCCGTGATTGCAGTCCGAGGAAGTGCGTTCTCCACCATGAACTGTCCATTAGACCAATTCGAATTTGTATTAGCATCATAGCACTTTTCAATCAAATCCACTTTGGGAGATTGAAGATAGACTCTGTGTAATGTCATTAGCAGACGAACAGTAAAAACTCTTGTATACAGTCATCTAACCATACCTAATGCTCAGTTGCGACCACATAAAGGAGGTGCTTGCAAGCTCTGTGCCTGGTAAAGCCCTGCCCAGGCTTTTGAAAAATTTCCAAGCTCCGTCGCCTAGCTTGGTCAGCAAATTCATATAATTGACATTCTTCGAGAGAAGCTTACCGTTGTGGCCCCACTCTTGAATGGTGTTGTCTAGTAACTGGGCGTAAACCCTTGGAACGAGCTTGTCGCCTGCGGGAAGAAAAGTCGCAGCTACCTTAGAGTAGGGTGCAACCTCATAGTTAATGCCACCATCATACCATCCTCTATTCGCATCGTATGCCGCTTCCCTTAAGTTATTTTTTGCTGAAATGTAGTACACACGAATCTATATCACGAAATGTCATTATCGTAGGGCTTTCTTTGCGGCTCTTAGCCAAGTAAAAGCCAAGTCAGGTCTTACATTATTCAGCTTCTTAGAAATAGCAGCAATCGGCGAGCCGATCTTAACCGAAGTTATCACATCAACAATCGTTGCATCTTCCCATTCTCCGTTGTAGGAGGTTTCTTTGACTCTACCATAAACGTCCTGCGTATAGACGCGCAGATGGTCGTCCGAGTTGATTGCGGCAATAGCCGAACCTGCAGAAAGTCAATATATCAGAATCACAATGCGTACAGGTGTTAAAGAGGTAGGGATGATGTGACTAACGAAAGAGTACCTCTTCAGCTCCACTAGGAGACATGATGGATGGGTGAATGGGGGTGTATGTGGCTGCGGATGTTGAATGTTCGAAGTTCAGCCGCACAATTGAGAAAATGTCAGTAATAATGCTCGGCTTGTAGAATGGGAACCGTAGGTGAACAGGAATTCAAGTTTCTATTACACGTTGGGATTACCTCGGAGTTGCTCATTCATATTCTTACTTTAAAGTTTACCATGGTCTAGACCATATCTGCAATACTGGTCGAACAGACTAAATTGGGATACATCCCCCAATCCGTAGTCTGCAAGCGGAAAGATGGACTTCTGGGTTTATGTAGTAGAAATGTTATTTCCTCTGCTTACATAGTGATCGGATGTTAAGTACCAATCGATGTAATCTAGATTCACGGATCCCTGGTAGGGGCCCCAATGGTACTGGAGTATCACATGCACTTACACATAAGGCTATTGCGTGGTAATACAATGTGCATCAAATAGCTTGTTCGTAAATTGGATGGTCGGTTGGAGCCTCTGTAGTTCGGGCTGTACGTTATACGGTCCAGAATATGGAAAACCTATCCAATGAGCTATGTGGCTTGCTCCTCGTCCACTGATAATGCCTGTCGCGTTCTTGACTGGTAGGGAGAGGATCATATGTAATTCCATGAAACTAGTTGGTTTGCTGCCTGTCCGCTGGGATCGAAGAACCTATCCTGGAAAGTGATGAGCTTGCTGTAATAGAAATGCGCATTGATTTGATATAAAGTTGCCGACAAGAACCGGGGAAATTACGAAACTACAATACAGGAATGGCTGCACTCGCCTGTACCATTCAGCTCTTGCAGATTACGAGCCCCGACGGGTTCACGAGAGAAGAGACTGGTACATCGTTACGCTAGTTGCCTGGTATCCAAATATTCCCCTCCCGTTTCCAGATTGGCAAGCTATCATCCCTCCTTAACTTGACCAACGTTGTCGGCATCGTGACATCCCACGGATCCCCCTGTGGAACCTCCTCCTCCGGCTTGCCGAGGCGCTCAGCAAGCTCGTTTGCAATGGGGACGTAGACGCCGCTCGTGATGGGCGGCAACGGGCCACCGTTCCACGGCACACCGAAGCGCATGAAGTGATCGATGGCACCTTCGAATCCGGGTCGGGCTGGGACGACGACACGGGCAAAGCCGCTCTTCAAGAATTCATCGAATACTGGGTCCGGGTCGTTGATGGTTAGCTTTGAGACCCAGCTGGACTTCTCGCCCCAGAAGTAAGGGTACGCGATGTACACTAGGATACCACGGTTATGTTAGCCACGTCGGTTGACTCAAAACACTTGGCTAAGTGGTAATAGAGGAGGTAGGACAACGTACTGATCTGATCCCACTCAAACGCCTGCTCAAAGAAGCGGACGTAGAAGCCCTCGGCCTCGGCCTCGTACAGGTTGATCTCTGGCCGGCCACCTGGAGACTTGCGTGTGATGGAGTTGAAAAGATCATAATGCTGCGCGGTCAGGATCGAAATACTGTGCTTCTTTAACTCCGATTTGATCACGTTCAAATTCGCCGTGGGGTTGCTATTTTGTTGTGACCCGTCAGTATTAGTATCACTCACCATGAAAAGGACATGACCCCTACTTACCTTCCCTGAATCGTTATACCCTCTTGGAGCTTCTGGCGGGCAAGCCTCTCATCATAATCCTGCATACGCCCCTTATAAGCCATCATCAACCTCGCATGCGTCTCGGCCTGCCACTGCTGCTTCCGCCTATCCGTGACGCGGCACAGAACCTCGACCGAGACGACGGCGATACAGATGTTAAAGGTGGCGAACGCCCAAGGAATAGATCCCCCACTGGCGACGTCACTACCACGGTACCTGTTGATGAGGTTCGTTCCCCACGACCATTTGCCGTTGTTTTCGAACCGGTGAGTCTCACTCCCGAGCTGGACGTCAATGCTGGTATCCTTCTTCTGCCAGATATCATATACAACTGAGACGGTGCCCCAGATGGCTTCGTAGCCGGAAGGAACGGAAATAATGGCGCCATGATGGTAGTTGGTATTGGAGTCGCCTCCGCCGACCTTGGCTTGGTCGCTGATGGTGACATAGTCATCTGGAGGCGGAAGCACGTCGGTGGCTTGGTATTTCAGAATGGAGTTGCCAACGTTGTATTCGTTGATGTCTGCTGGTTTGGATGTAAAGGGTGTCGGCTTTTCGAGCAGCAGGTCTGACTCAACGTTGTTAGCTGCCTCGGCGATTGCGTAAGTGAGAAAGGCAGCTGGCTCGGGAATCATGAAGTCGCTGCGGGCACAGATCTGTCAACCATATTTCGGTGGCATGTATATTGGTGGTCGAACTTACAACATCATCCTCAATCCATAGTTGAAGACACGCGCCTCGTACCTGAAACGCCGTTAAATAATGATAGCAGCACCTGTACAGGGAAGATTTCTCGTACACTTTGTTCAGCCATTGATAGACTCCCGAAATATGCTCGGTGCCGTTGCCGTTGTTGATCCCATGCTGGTTGTCCTCGACTATCTCGCTCTGTTTAAGTCAGTGGAATTATCCTCTTGATGCATCCTCAGCTGGCTGGAAGCGAACCGGATACTTACAAGAGTGGTCGTTGACTCCTTCTGCATCACTCTCTCGGAAACATTCTTTACGCTCCGATCCAGCACGTCCTGGCTGTACTTGCTCGCAGCCTTGTTGACTTCCTCGCCGCTTCGGCTCACACTGCCCTCGACGCTTGCATCGATGCTCACGGCTGGACCGTACTTCGCCGAGGCCTTGAGCGAACCCTTCAAGCTCTGGTCAGCTTTGATGGTGTTGGACGTCTCCTTGCTCATTTCGAACCGACTCGTGGTCGACAGTTCATGCTCCTCGCTCTTGTTTGCCTCTGTTTCGGTGCTAATAATACCCTCGGTCCTCGTCGTCTTCTTGTACATTCTCTGCCCAGTCTCCCCTTTTAGCACATTCTCAACGTGAGAAATGTCGGCTCCCTGATAGCTCTTGAGTGTTTGTTTAACTACAAGAAGGTCGGCAACACCTGAGGGTGTGACTTTGCCCTTGGTTGTTGGGATCCGTCCGTCAATAGGTAGAGCAGGCAGAGCTGCTGCGGATCGAGGAGTTCTGTATCCGTACAGCAGAGATGTGGCTTTGGATATAATCGGAGTGCGTGTAGCGATGAATGTAGACCCCTTACGAGTATAGGTAACGTTTTCACCAGAAGGTACGAGGTCTTGAAGTCCCTCCAGAACTTCGTTCATCTCCTTGCGGAGAACTATCACGATTGCTGCAAGGGAAATGTCAGTTTACTCTATGGCTAGGGCACGGTAAGGATAGTGTGGCCAACAGTTTATAGGCTGTTTTGAAGGATCGATGTCATAGACACTTAAGACCTTTCTCGTCCTCTCAGAGAGTTCCGACAAGGCATCTTTCTTTAGCCGAGGGGTTCTCGCATCTGCAGGAACGTGCTTCCATTGCCCTAAGGGTCCAAGCACCCCTGTGGAACTGAGCAAATCCTTGGCGAGCGTAAATGCCCCAGTGGGTTCGGTCTGGACAGGCGTAGGGGTTGGGGTAGGCTCGTCGGCGAGGGATCCAGAGATTCCAGAGGTATGGCCCGCCCCAGCTGTCTTAGTAGATGAATCCGATCTGGTGAGAGCCACCTTTCTGAGCGAACTCCGATACTCCAGCTGGTCGCCGAGGACAGTGTTTCTTGTAAACTTCGGGTCGACATCCGCGCCATCGTGGTCTGGAGGAATCGTAACCTGAAGGTGGTCGGGGCTCATCTTCACCAGCTCACTCACAGCGAAGCGAAGATCTTCATGTTTAGCCAAGAGGGCTTGGGCCTCTATCTCAGCTTCATTAGCTGCCACCTTTTGGTTATCAATCTCCTCGTTTTTCTCTTCGGTGGATGTGGCCAGAATTGATTTTAAATCTAATTCCAGAGGGAGTAGTAGGGCACGCTTCCGATAAAGAGGGAAGTCCACCTCAGGGAGTTCAGGTTCAATTGCACCGATTGCTTTCCAAAGGTCAGGAGTAGATCGGGGCTCCCAGTCCACCTGAGATCTGTGGGCTTGGATGCACTCATAGCTAATTTCTTGGAATTGCACACGATCTCCGACGTCATAGTTATTTTCTGGCATCCAAGGTGATTCGTCGCTTGTCAAAGATCCATGGCTCGTAGAATCGTTGGGAGTATCCCGAGCAGACAAGGAAGGAGCATCCGAGGCAGCTTTTTCAATCACCTCAATGTTGCGAAGCTCATTCACGAGTGCCGCTAGCGGTAAAGAGTGTGCCTCCTATAACTATGTGAGAAAATGGCTACGCAGTTTCATACCAAGACGAGATACCTGAATATATTTGATGGCAACAATGGAGTCTATCAGCCCCTCCTTCAGGTTTACGAATTCCTCGTCTTTGACAAGCTCAGATGGGTCTTCTCCGAAGACATGCTTGATAGTGTTGACGATAGTTTCCAGCTGGGAGGCCCCAACTTGCTCCAGCTTGTCGAGCAGAGTGCTGAATTGGACAAGCTTTTTCTGAAATTCGTTGCCATCAGGTGAGCTGATAAATCGATCAGATTTGATAAAGGCCTTCGAAGCAGCCTCGAGGGATGCTCTAGGTGTGTTGCTTTGTGCTGCTTGATTCAGCTCCTTCTGAAAGGCGCTCACTTGAGCCAATGATATAGGAGAACTGTTCGGGTCCCCCTTGACAGGGGCTATGGGAATGTGAGCAGTGCGCTAGTAGACAGACTGATGTTGGACATACGTCGGAGAACAACAAAACGAAATAGGGGTTCAGTCATTACTTAGACGTTTGTTGTGGGACTACGTAAATTTGGTTCCTCCCCTCCTGGTAGAGGTCAGACGGGAACAATGGTAAAAGATGAGAAACGGTAAAAAAGACCAATCAAAGTTAAAAGTGAAAAGAAGTAGAATAGATAAGTAGAAACACGTTTCATGGAGAAACAAAGTTGGAGAATTAATTGATTGTACAGACAAAACTCAAGGGAAATTTTGAACCTATTTATCATGACATGCTTCCATGATTTATCTAAACATAGTGATTCTAGATGCATCTAGATCTACATGCAGTACAATAAGGTTTCATGATAGTGGTAAAACGGTGGGTCATATAGTATAGTGATGCGTCACTGACGTTAGCAGTAGTGGGTCATAAATATACGTAGAGGCCGCATGCGGATTGCGCGCAGACTATAGTAAAGAGATATACCAATAGTACAGTATGTGTTGTGATGGGCCAGGGCTAGGCCTCGCCAAAACCCGCCCACCGCCCAAACCCGCCCGCAAAAACCCAGCCCATGGGCCGGGTTGGGTCTCTGTTGGAATATCCCGGTTGCTGAGATAATAATGAGGCTGGATCACGTGCATACATTTACCAACCTCTCACTTCACTTGTATCTTAAACACAACACACAATCAACTCCCCTCAATAACATGAACATTGAAGCATCACTTAATAAACCAACACCCGCGGTGGGTTGCCCGTGGGCGGGTAAGGAAATTGAAAACCCAACCCAAACCCGCGTTTGGCGAGGTCTAGCCAGGGCTCGATACAGATCACATACGAACATGTGACCCTTTATCTGTTCACACCGCGTTTGGCCTCATGTTTCTTCAAGCTTTTGGTAAAAGTTTTGCGACCTAGCTAGATTTAATTAACTCCTGCTTGACGTATGTTGGAAGGGTTATGTTGGAAGGGTAGCCTGATAGCCTGATAGCCTGAGTGTTGTCAACTGCCAAGGATGGAATACTGAGTATTTTATGTTAGTTCTGGAGTATGCACTCGGTGCTTGGTAAAGGGGGATGCATGTGATGGCAACGAGACGTCATATAAGACGTAAAAGTCCATTGAAAGGCAGGATAGCGGCGTGTTTGCAACTTCCGGATGCATCGAGATGAACACGAGAGTGATGCAGTCAGAGTACCAGAAAGTCCTCGCTGACTAAATATGACGTGGAATTTATGATTTAGGCCACATACAGGAGCTCGTGCATCAAGATGCAGCTTAAAGGTTGCTTTCCTAAGTCCATACAACGTTTTTACCAATAGAAAGCCTGTTGAATTTACCAAAACATTCTCACACCTTCTTTGCATGGGTTTTGTTGGGGAAACCAGACTACCACTGCCTCAAGACCTTGTTCCCGGCCCTTCCGATGGCCGCATCCTGCATGGGTCAATTCTGAAAAAGTGCAAGACTGAATATTGATATATAAAATGGAACTCAACATGTTCGATCAAGCAGTGAAGGATGCTGCTATTGCTCTTGAGGGACACTTGCTAGCAGCAGCCTCCGTTGACGCAATTTCCATTGCACGAGCAACTTACGATATCAAGAAGGATCAGTGGATGAACCAGTCTAGCAGCGTGATTTTAAATTATGGGAAGAAGCCCAATGGTTTCACACTCTTTCACAATGCTGCCGTGAAACAAGCTGAAGACTTCGTTCACTGGGAAAATATACCGGCAAATGGAAAGCTGTGGGCACAGCGCCAGAGAGCATATGAGCAACGACTCTCTGCTCTACAAAGAGACATAGCGAAACTGTACCCGTCCTATGAGAAATTGGCAAGGCCTTCGAAGGTGCCCGTATTCGGTAAAACTGCAAAGACTGCGGTCTTCGTGCATGCCTTCAGAACAGCCTTTACGGCATGGTACAAGACACAGCGGGTGACGCCCAATCTGATCTTAGAGACCATTGACGCAAGCATGACACGTTTCTTGCTGCAGCATAAAGAGCTCATTGCTGCTCTTAAGGCTGTTCATGTACCGGCAAATCCGGCACAACCGGGGTATCAACTAGCCCAGGATGCTGTGGATTTAAATCTCGCGCTGATCGCCGCAGCCGGGACCAATCAGAATATTTATCCGCTTTGGGAAGCGGAGAAAATCCTCCTGATTGCTAATACGAGCGAACTGGAGCGAGCGGTTCTGGCTACGGCCTTCCTGCTTCCTCTCAGCGATCGACTCTTCAAGGCCGGCCGAATTATGTACACTCCTGACAGACTTGCAAATGTCTGTGGTGGAAGCGCTGCCGTGTGGAAAAGCGTGATAGTTTATGCTAATAGACTGTTGCAAAATCGTGACACCCAGCAAGCATTGGATGGCGCCGCCGAAATGATGAGACTGAAAGGGAAACTTTCTAAACAGGCTGGCAGTAATGTCTTGGCGAAGCTTCCGATTATCACGAACTCCAGGCCTATCTCGCCAACCCCAGAGTATCAAGAGCCCGAGGATATGGTGCTTACCTTGTGGAAAGAACTATGCTTGAAGAATGCCTGGATCGGGAATGATCCGGCGTTTCTCGATCAGCACGCCCTTCGCCGGATCCTGACCGCTGGACCCAACGTGTCGCAGTTGCAGTGCCATCTTCTAAGTGAACTAGCAGAGTCACATATTGGTAGTCTACTGCGGCAAAAGTTGGGTATCGTTGCTCTTGGCATTGACCTGCCTTCTGGCTGCGTTCTCGAATTCGTGCCCGGGCATGCGATATCCATACCGTACGACCTATCTAAGATGCGAGCGCCGCAGATTTCGGACGGGATGTTGGGTTACTATTTTAACGGCACATTTTACATTTCCGCCATAATCGAGATTAAATTTGAAGGTTTGGGCTGCCGAGAGCTGCCGTTCTCCAAGATTAAGCTGGAGACATTGACTCGACAAGAACGATCCTCCGCGCATGGGCAGAAAGAGAATGGGCCAGCGCGGTTCAAGCATCTGGGCGGACCTCAAAGCCATTTCAGAAAGAAGTGGACGACTTCCTCCCTCAGGTAAGGCGTCTTGCCAGTAACCCCCAACATATTTACTTTTATTCACTACTCGGATAGATACTAGTCACGGAAACGGGCAATCAAGAGTCTCGTGACCTTGAGCGTCTACTCGAGATTACATATCTTCATATCCACGGAGTCAAGACCAGATTTGAGCTCCAACAAGATCCGGTCAAACAGAGGACAAAAGTCATTGCGGTAGTACCGCGAAAGGGAGACGCATCAGCACTCAAGAGAGCCATTGAGGATGGGAACAAACAGCGAAGCACAAGCATCCAATTCGAGGCCTTTGCATTACCCTTCGATGCCCCGGAACTCAAGAGACTTTCCAAATCTCTCATCAACACCGCAAATAAACTCGCATTCCCGCAGCCAACTGACCCCGGGACAAGCCCAGCAGACTTCATCGCATACATCCGTACCATTTACAACCTCGCAGCCGCATACCTAGCTACCCCAGGCCACGATATTATGAACGCCAATACGGCAGTCATGCAATGGCTGCGGCATAGAGAATATGCAGGACCCAACTTCGAGAGGGCCCTTGGCGAAATCGATAGAAATTGGATCACCTTCGTCGAGATTCGGAATATAACCATGATCGACTGGGTTGCAGACCCTCTCCAACCAATCAGTATCAAAGTCGCTCATTTGGGCGCCTCCCTTGAAGGCGTCACTCTCATTTCAGTCAAACAGGGACTAGCCATGATCAGAGACCCAAGTCTCAACATCAGCGATCTCCTCGGTTGGGGAGGAGATCTTATAACATTCTACGTAGACTGGCAATACGCTATGCGTGCTTCGAAAACCCCAATCTCGGGGTACGGCTTCTGCCTTGACCGGCTAGCGCAGCCGGCATATAAAAAGGAATACATTCACACTGCCAAGCTGCGCGATTTGGTGGAGGACGCAGATGCTTATAACATCGGCACCGTACTGAATAGGCCCGGAAGAAGGACTATCGTCCAAGAGATAGAGGAGCTATTTCGGCCTGGTGGAGGGTATACAAATCGCTTTGCTAGGTTTTGGCAAAAGAAACTGGGCGGGTCGGTGGAGACGGCAACTAAGCTAGCGGATCATTTGCTTTCAACGAATGGTGTGTTGGATGGGATTGCAATGGCACGGCGGGATCTCATAGTGCAACGGGAGACCTTCCTGAGGATTGCCCCTCCAATTACGAGGCCGGAACTACTTAACGGGACTGAGAGGGAGGGCTTTTGTAGGGGGTTTGCGGAGGTGATGCAGCAGCTTGCTTCGTCTGGGTAGAGGATGTCTTTGTATTTGCAGGAGAGCGATTTTGCCGACTACAATTGCGATGGCTTGTATGATAAATGGGCGGGTCAAGTGTTTTCTACGCCCCGAAAGCCACCCCGCGGTTCTAGAGAATTTCATGACCGAGCCGAATCACCGATATGCAATCGATGAGCCGACGCGATTGGGCCAGGATGTCGGTGACTTCAGTCAGGCGAATACTCCATGTGCCAATCAGTACTTATGTTTATGACCAGAAATATAAGTCGGACGAGCCGAGATGATATCAGGTATTTATCTAGCCAATCAGGAATGCCAAACGATACGCCTTGAGACGTCTGGATGAATGTCGCAGTCGCAGCTCGTCATCGAAAAGTTGATGATTTCGAGTTTCTCGCTAAGAGCATGACGCTTTCCTAATCGAGATAGCCTAGCGTAATGATTTCTTATTCTGTATTAACGTCTAGCCACAAAAGGAGGCTAAGATCGGGCTCGGCCAATAAATTTGGATTGAATTCTTGGATCCCTGTCAAAATAGTTGAATCCATGTCAAAATTGGCACACTTCCTATTATGATTGGTTGATCTCTATTAACCAGATATAATATGATAAACTAGTCTAAAATGGATGTATCAAATCCCGTCTGACCCTATTCTAGCCTCTCTCGCCGTTACACCCCCTAAATAAAAGAATGAAATAGGTAGATACCCATTTTATTCCACTTCGTATATACATTCTTCTGTATTATTATGTCTTCAGCATAACTCGAAAAAGCCTTTCTAAGTTAAAATATCCGCAAAAGTCCCATCCGCGCTTTAGCGTTAATGAGGCGAAAGAGCGGATACGGGAGCGGCAACGCCAAAATAGGGCTCGTTGACGAGTAGAGAGGGAATGTCTCGACCAAGAGATGGCATGGGGGGAGCTAGTAGGTCATAACAATGCGATCAATCGTGTCTGGCAAGAGAGGGTTGGGGAGCGATCGTGTCTGCGGATAAATCAGGATTAGTATGGTTGAAGGATGGAATGGGAAGGAAGCGGAATGAATGCAGGGGACAAGTGTTACGCCAACCATACAATGAGGTATAGGAAATGCGGAAGAGGTGCCTATGCACCACTAGAGTTGATACATCACCTCGCTTACCTGCCTGCATACGCACACAGGCATCCCCTCAAAAGGAGGAGCTGGATCCTCTTAGGAGGTCCAGCGATTAGTCTGAATATCATCATACCCATATGAGGCATATCTCACATTCTTCACTCGTATCTCAATCGTATCAGGACGCCCCCAGGGGATTGTCCTAACAACAAGCCTCGCCAAGGACCATCTACCTTCGGAGAAGATTGAGCGAGGCAACATAGGGAATCTCCGAAGCTAGATAGTGCTCGTAAACAATTCATGTAGCCTTAATCCATTCAACTGAGCAAGGCCCAACCGATATGTGGCAGTCAATGCCGCCATATTTTAATACTGCGTCTTTCAACTAAACCTTGGAAGCAGAACATTCTCCCTCGTATCCAACAATGATGCTAGAAAGTCACCATGCTAAGGCCAGCTCGAGATAGAGCGATATAATTCCTCAGAGACGGCAATTTGATTATAGACCATTTTTCATGAATGCAAATTCAGCTCAACAAAACAACAGCCACAGAGGTAAAAACAAGATCAATCAAATAATCAGAAAGATAAAAACATACAACAGCTAGAATTCGCATGTGGTCACCATACTATACTACTAGGCTACCAGATAAGATTAGATTGCTTTCTGGTATATCAATTAGAGATTAAACTCTTCTTCAGTACGCTAAATTCGATGGAGAGTGGCTATCACCTTACACAGCTCACTTTCTCTATTTTCGAGGATGAAAATATATCAAAAGAGCCTGAGCGATAACTGGAATTTGATTATTCGAAATCCTGTATCTTAAAGAATCGCTGTGCATATTAGATCTGCAATCGCTTTACTGTATTCATAAAAATGGAGGCTATGTGCAGATGCCAAGAGACCGATCGTATCAACGGAAAACCTTGGCCCAATGATATTTTAAAGCAAACTCAGCTGAAAGGGGTCAGTGCGGTGGTCGCTCAACAGAGTATGATTCTCACCCCGGCTCACCCCATTCTCACCCTGTCTATTGCGCACTCACCCTAATCACCCGGGTCGCGCGACGCTAAAGCGGCGCTCACCACATTCTCACCCGGGCGGCACCCACCGCACTACCTGCTGTGTTTTAGCCACACGCCGGCAGGTTAGTAGTATGGTGGGTGACCACATGCGAATCCCTGCTGTTGTATGTTGTGTTTTTTGCTTTTATTTATTCTTCTTTATCTTTTGTATTTTTCTAACACCTCACTTCCTGGCGCAACTGATGGTAACCTTATTCATGGCAAGTTTGCTACTTACGATGCAACAAGCTGACGTTTGAGTCTTATTTTTGTACAACTGCTTAGTCAATTATGTGTGGGGGAATATGATGTGATGTGAGTGGGGAGAGAATAACCCCTCACTTTAGCCTCACTTTCTGAGCTCTCTCTCTCATCTTTACGTGTACACTGATATTATTGATTTTTGCAGATGGCCGAGGATCAACCAGATTCGAAAGTAGTTCAGAGGTTACGCGGGCTGCTCCAAGAACGCTCTGCCTCAGAGGACGAAGAGGTTGAGGACTTACTCCCCAATCAGTATAAATTGGGGTCTACAGGCTTCACGGTAGGCCTAGAATCCAATGGCTCTGCTTTGAATGCCAGTGGTTCGCTGGAGGACATTTTACGCCTCGATCCCCAAGCGAAAGGGAAGGTTCCCGAAGCTATCAGCCTACCGGAGTCCGAATCTTGTTATTCAGCATCTGACGAAGCAAGCGCCCGAGATAGCGACAATGAGGTTGGGCGCTCATTGTATGCATTGCAAGGGTTTGACGCACCTCTTATCCCCTCTGCTGTTAGACTGCCATCGTCCGAGAATTTGTCAATGGCCAGACAGCCCAAGAGGAAGAAAGAAGAAGAAAAAAAGGCACCTCAACCCTTCAGTTATAGAAAGGTAATTCAAAATGCGGGCAAGGCGCTGGATCATATCGCAAACGGGAACTTGCAGGCAGTATCCCGCCATGATAGAGTATCAATCTTTTACTACGATTACCTTCGCGATGAATCTGTCTACTCACAGTCTATTGAGGATGCCCGGGAACTACCGTCATTAGGAGACAGGACCGATATACGACAAAGGCTGATCTTAGTGGAGGATCTTTCTGAAAGAACGATCGAAGTTCTGGGAAGAAGATTCGGAATAAATCCAGAATTCTTCGAGGAGCACCTACTAAATTCCGGATATTCTGGAGCGAAGTTTGATCAGCCATTATCCAAGGCATGGAGGACGGCCTCGCTACCGAAGTCTTATGTCTGCATGAAGTGGTTCCGACCCGTTTGGAAAACACCTACATACTTCTCCAATCGTGACATGCCAGATCTTCTCCGAGACAAAACAGAGCATTTCACGCACCGTGGTAAATTTACCACCAGAGCCGAAACAAACATATTCCGTTTGGAGTGGGACCTATGGACTGATCCAGCTAAGACAATACGAGTGAGCAGAGAATGTGGCTGGGAAGAGAAAGTATCCATCTGGAAAGGGAGTCTATCCGATCAGGATTGTGAGATTGGTGAGTATCGCTGATTTTGAAGTGATTCATGAATGTTAGTACTAATTCAAGCTTAAGTGATTGTTCTCCTTGATCCCCTACCTCAGATTAGCGAGCAGCGGGGATTGATCAAGAAAGAATCTCATCATCAGGCAGAGGGTTCCCAAGAAACATCGCTTTTACTTCCCAATCCAGGGGATGACGGCGACATTGAAGAGGCCCGTGCAAGTATTTTCGGGACAAGCGAGGATGGCCTGCCACGCCGTATGAATGAAAGGAGCACGTTCTCTGACCGTTGGCTACGTTTTCTTATGCGACAATCAAAAGGAAAACACGTCGAACATGATCCAATACACAGGTGCATCATCGAGCAGATGGCCCCGCGCAAGGAAATGGAAGTTAACCTGGACCAAATATTCCGAAACGAAGAACCGACCATGGACTTCCTCGCTTCATTGAACCGGACCAAATCTACACGCGATGAGCTTTGCGATGTGTTGGAGCCTGGCGTTGGTCACATTAGCCTGACTTCTCCCTTGCTACAAATAATCTGCCGGGACATGTTTACCCTCCTCAAACAATTGAGCCGTACCCTTGATGAAATAGATATTGAAATCATTGATGATGCACGGATGGAAGATCGCCTTATCCTATGGCGCCAGATTATCAGTCGTGCTCAGCGGGAGCTACCTGAGTTCACTGCGTCTATACAACCCCTTGTTGCTTTCGTGGCAAATATCGACCCCAGTGGTGCTTATGAGGAGGGATCACAGGATGCATCGAATGAAATATTAAATTTGAAGACTCTGTTGAAAGAAATTCAGCAAATGGTGGAGCGGTTACGAGTCACGTCGGTCTCTTTGACATCAAATATGGCACTTCTTGATAGTCGCAGATCCATCGCTGAAGCACATGCCGTGACAAGACTTACTGAGCTGGCCTTCATATTCATTCCTCTCTCGTTCGCAGCAACTGTCTTTGGAATGCAAATTGAACCTTTTTCCAATCCAGTTCCTGCTAGTTATTTCTTCGTTGTGGCTGTTGCAGCAACAAGTTTCTCATACATCATGCGCCTTCTCATGCGCAGTCAATGGCTCACGCAGGTGAAGACAGACATGAAAGTCAGCATTAGAAAGTATGCCGAGAAAAATGGAATTTCTATCAAACCCCGATCGCTTTCCGTGGGGCTGACCGTTCAATGGATGGTGAGCACATTTTTCGCCAACTCTTTGAAATATGGGGTACGGGCAGTTAGGATTACTTTGATAGCGGCTCAGTGGCTTCATTGGCGATTGGGACTCTTGGTCAGTCTTTTTCTGCTGACTGGAGTCATCATTGCGATACCAACTGGAATCCTTGGGACTCGGAATCTCAGTTCCGGCCTAAAAACTGCAGTCAGTCTGGGGATCCTACTGGCAATCCTTGTCCCTTTAGGTGTAGTGTTCGGCCTAAAATATGGATCGAACATGGATGATCTCTGGCCACGAATTTTCAACCGAGGACATGCAATTCCCGGAGATCATTCGCCTACTCGAGGCTCATCAAGTTCGCCATCTATCCTTCGCACGCCTCGATGGCTCACAAAGTCTCTACTTTGGATAATTTCATTACTTACGATGATAGTCATTCCAATGGCCTTATTGTGGACCCATACTCTTCCCATTAACATAAAGGTCGGCGCAACTCTCGGTATTTCAGTCGTACCATTGTCTGCTCTGTTGATTTACGTTAAACTTAAATTTTGGCATCGAGCTACTTATTTCTCACGGTCAACGCCTCCGAGTCAGGCCTCAGACCTCGGCACTTAGCCAGGCCACGCCCATCTTCTGTTTGTGGCTAGATAATGCCAGCTGCCTTGCTTAGTCTCATCCCATCACTATCCTTAGTTATCTCTTTTTGTTCTTATTTTGTGCTATTCCATGCCGGAATTCGTCCTTCGTTAGTAGTCCTTAGGAACGAAGAACCTCTACCACAAATCATTCAGAGCAGCCAGAGCAATCAGAGCATCCAGAAAAGTAAATCTCTTCTTCTAGATCTTCCATAATCAGCAGCCACTTTATTATTCTTGCGTAAGTAGCTACTACAAAGAGTCCGAGATTGAGCATTAATATCGACCACTCAATTTATCATCTCTCTGTTATGCATATTTAAATCACATGCTATCGATCCCCTATTAATGTCCTCTGCTGCACCTAAATACTATATTACCGAAGAGGCACGCCTGAGCAGACTTAGATAATCTTAGCAAATATCTCAGACCTGTAAAGAGAAAAATAAAGGCCAAGTACATGGTGCGGTAAGCTTATCTGGAATTTTACATCGTTTCGAGCTTATTCTCTTGAAACCTTTCTTAGTTCAAAGAAGTTCTTATTCAAATAAAGCTTCCTGGTCGAAGCCTAGTTCTACAGGCGCATGAAGTACCGAAGCAAGAAGATTGCTGCGCCACAAGAATAATGGCCTTGTTTGTGCTGGCTTTGGCTGCACTAAATTTGAGTAATACTAGCGGCTTATTATCCCACAATTACCCCGCAGCTACACCGAAATTATTCAAAGGTTTTATCTTACATTCTCTCTCAAAGGGCCTCCATTATTCTCTTCGGGTATTCTGAATATTAGTCTTTACACAATATTCTCCTTAGGTTTATTCTACAACCATTAGAATGGACCCCAGGATGTGGTGTGAGTACATCGTGACAGAAAGCGGGGATGTCAGACCTCAACCCGTGCTAACATGAAATCCTCGTCCAGCAAGGTTTATACCCATGATCGCATATCACCATGTTTTGATGTCTGTTCTAGCTATTGAGGTCCTCTTTTTTGGTAAAAGTTTATTGCGGCATACTCGCTCCAGGTCAATCAGGATACCCAACTCACGCGCATTAACAGCACTTTTACTTGCGGGCTGCAGCTCCAGCAAGCTTGGTCATGTGTACTTGCTGTCATTAGAATACAAAAATCCCAGCACGCTGGCAATTTCAGACGAAACTATAGTGAGCACAGGAATTGCCCATGCAGTCCAGAACGTGACCGAAAATGGCGACCCGCCAACTCTCCAAGTTCGAGCAGGATATATGGGGCTCTGCATTATGCCTCAAGATGGGGAATGGATTTGTTCGACGAGTGCAAAAAGTTTAGCGAATATCATGAAGATCTCGGGCCGTTCAATAAATGGCACTCGGGACCCACTCAATCTGATTTATACTGCCAACAGTTTCAAGGAGAATATTGTGTTTGACGGGCTGCTGTTAGTTTTCGAGTTCCTTATCATCCATTGCAGACTGAACCGTCCGAGGTCGCTAATTTATTACCCCGAACATCAGATTTATCGTTGTTTCTGTGTCTGTTATCTGCTTCCTTATGCTCGGAACATTTCCTGGGTGGCACGAGGAGATGGATGAGGATGGAGAAGACAGAGAAGTCAAACCTTTTCCATCGTCTGCAGTATCACAAGCTGCTTTAGGGGCTTCTAGCGTAGGGTTTGCATTTAGTCTCATATCTATACTATGGCAGCATATCAACTCCGCAGCAACGGCCGATATGGCAGAAAAATTTAGTTACGGCCAAATCGCCGGCCATGTTGGGCCTACAGCGATGGCATTTGGGTGGATCGGAACAGCACTTATTGGTGGGGTAACTTTCGGTTTGTTGGTCATGATCTTAAGCATCAATTTGATTAGAAGGTTGACCGAGGACGAATAACTTTGGGGATGGCTCATGTGTTTATGTATGTCATCTAGATAGCTAGCCTGTCTCACCTCAACTTCTCCACTACACAGATACACATTGATGTGTAGCGAGCAGGCAAGAAGGACAGAGCATGAAGCCAAAGTATTACTACCTGGTTAGCAGTATCGGCACGCTTCTAGGAAGACTAAAAACAAAACATACAACAGCAGGGATTCGCATGTGGTCACCCACCATACTACTAACCTGCCGGCGTGTGGCTTAAGTACGGCTGAGCGGACGGGAAGCCCTGTTCTCCACACCCTATGGTCGTATGTATTAGACACAGCTAGAAAGGGGACTATGTTACGTCCCTTGGCTGATCTCACCACGGATACTGGGACTCTGGCGATATTTGCTGCTGTCAGACCATTAGACCTCGAGAGCCCTGGAGCGCCATTGGCTACCGTGGCCCGCCAGATCCACATGTTTCCTGACATATTGAGCGTTATAGGCAACAATACCGGAACAGGGATATGTAGTCTTCTTTCAATTGCTGGATGATCCGCCTAGTGTGTTATAAAGGCTGCCATTGTATTTCCCGGTAAATATAAGCAGCCTTATGCCAGTAGCCATTTCTACAACACTCAACCAATTGCAGCCTTCTCATACGGAGGTTGCCAAAATCCATTGACTATCCAACTGATCAAGTGCAGTCTTTTTAAATCTTCAATAAGAGGGACCTAGCTATTATCTAGACCGTAGGTTACACTTCGTAAATATCTTCTGAATATCTTCTGCACCAACATCTGGGAAACAGGGGAACACGTGTTTTTGCCCGGTCAATTGAAATCTCAATTACTTCTAGTTGCCTGAAGAGGTATCGGTAGTTCGTTAATACTGATTAATGCAGTTGGACGCTACAATAGAACATGGGATTTTCTGTGAGTACTGCTCAGGGTGAGTATGCACACAAATATATGTAATGTCTTTCCCCATAGTCCAAGCTTGCATTCTGGAAAGCTTCGCATCCCAGTTCAAACATTTCTTCTTATCTTGTGACCTTCAATTCCGTCCAAGGACTCATATATTTCGACCATGGCAGACCATGTATGAATATCGTCTTTCATTGAAAGGACATGATACTGATAATCTCCTACTAGCGCACATACAATGACAATCGATTGATCCAGCTTTACATGGGCAAAATCACTCCACAATGCCGCGAAGATCGTGTAGATCATATGTGGACTCAGCTTCTGCGCTATTACTTCCATATAAACGACTTTTACGGCATTGAACGCGAAGTTTATACCACAGAAACCGGTCGTGGTCGCGTCGATCTCGTGGTGACCGGCATTCACCTAAGGGAGATATACAAGACATTGTTCCTGGAAGCCAAACGCCCGCCTGCTCCGTCCCGAAATATTACTAGGAATTCTTGGGACGCTGTGAAATCCCAACTTCAAGCAAACATTGACAGGTGGGCTGATCGTGATCTCAATGTTCCAGTCTATGGTATGACGGCGGTTGGATTGTATGTAAAGTTTTATGTTATCCCCGCGCACCAAACTCAGCTCCAGCCTGTCATGCTCACGGATCGGCCCTATTCGCTCCGCGAAGAGTCTTTACGAGTGGATGCTATACTTTCCAGCATTAAGGATTCTATCAAGAGCTCTCTGCAAATCCTGCCCCCGGCGGATACTTGAGTAGGTATCTTTCTCTGTCTTGTTATCTGTTTATGTCATACCAAGGAATGCTAAGCATCATTTCAACCAACATTGTTGGTCGATACTGCCAAAATAATTCTGCAAGTGTAGCATCACTTAAGAAAATGTGGTTCTTAGGTTAAAGCTGGATGATGGAAGATAATGGAAGAATGAGGCAAATCAACAAGGCAGAGCTCATATAACACTTTACCATTGGCGTATCCGAAGACCCTTTCCCCTCCATGATATCAGCTTTTAGTAGCTATTCAGTGGCTTGGCTAAGCTAGAAATAGTAACAGGACTAAGATACAAGCGAGTTGGATGGATGGACTTTATTCTGACATTTGGGATACTGCATCAGTTTAGATCCAGCTCGCCAGTACGTACCTAGATAGCTTTCTCCACATGAATGCGTCTCACAGTTCATCTCATTCTTCTCTAACCGTAATTACTTTAGTCTCAATATGTTTATAGTAAGTACTCTGCTGCATCTTGTAGAATCGGACTCGAAGGAAGAATTATAACCACCAAAGCACTCAAAATACAGCGCACCGCTCTTAGCGATGGACTAGGGCACGGTGCGGTGAAACTAACCAAGCGTTAGAGATGCTCTGGTGGGGGCTGCATTGCACGAACGACAACTTTATCGAATTCCATCGATCCCGCGCCATACCCGCTACGCTCTAATCCCAGTTCGCGACGCCCGCCCACCCTTGACTCTTTACAAGGTCCCCGTGGACGGTGACTGGTACACAGCTACTGGGGCCCGACAACGTCAGATACCGGGCCTTCACCGCCGCGCAGATGCAGTTGGAAGCATGAGCACTCACCAGCGGGGGCAGCTAGGCTTGGCAGCGACTGCAATATTCGCGTGTAAATGGTTAACCCTCATTTTAATGCAACTTAGTTGTAATTCGAATGGCATTTGTGGGGTTTTCATGTACATAAGCTAAGCACCTCGGCAGGCGGGCTTAGCTGCCGTCGGAGACTCCCGCAAGACCCCTTTGGAAGCTTATAAGCGGAGGCCAATGCATCTCTCTCTCTATTTTGCTCGTCTGGGCATAAATCCAGGGCGACGGATGCTACCAAGAACGCGGTGCATCAAGGTCGCCCAGCGAAGAATGGCTTCTATTTGGTCTTGTTCACAATATATTTGATATATTTCTATTTATAATTTCGGATGCACAACTTATTTGGATTTCAATGTTTGAATTGGGCAGTACCGTGTTTACGATGGACGTAGTAAGCTTCGATGTCATTCTGACCACTACAAGAGTGAGTATTGCCTGGACATGACATTTCTACTTTCCTCCCCCCCCTCGCAGCTTTCAAGGTATAGCTATCTTCGTCTGGAAAGCGATATTTCTGGTCTTTATTTATCATCTCACAATGAGTGTGGAAACATTCGCTACTGAGGCCCGCAACCCTTTCTATCTAAACTATATTGGGATCACGGACCGCACTTGCCTCTCATGCGGACATGTTATTGGTGCAGAATCCGAAGCACCTGGTGCTAACCAGGACTGGCTCAAATATTATCGAGCTCGTACGTCTATCCACTCAAATTGAATACAATTAATAGGACTCACGTATATGCCATAGTATATCACACCTCAAATGGTGCTCGATTGAGTGATGTCGTTTTCGCCAACCTTGATTGGAGAGTTATGCAACGCGATTGTGGCAATCTCGGATCCTCTGAAAGGGCAGCACTTCGAGAAAGATTTGGCCCCTGGTACCAAATGAGCTGTTCAAGTCCAAGCCAGGCCCACATATTTCATGAGAGCTGCTGGATTATTCTGAGTCGGCAATTGGAAGAGGATCCGGATTTGGATAAACTTTTCCAGGTCTGTAAGGATATCCCTCCTTCGGGCAGGATTCCCTGGTGTGAGCAAATTGCCTTTCTAACAAATCTGTTATAATTTCAAACTAACACGATGAAAGACGAACCGTTCGGCGTGCAGAGAGATGCCCAGCACACTTATCCTCTTAAACGACCTATAGTTCGGGATCTTCTGGCCAAAAACCGTTCTAAGCTTCCACAGATACAGATAGAAGTGGAACAAGACTATCTCTTTTCTGAAAACGATTGCTTTCGAATTCTCCCTTTGGAGCTTAGGACTCTAGTTGCGAGCAACCTGTCCACTTCGGAGTTCTTCAGTCTAAGACAAGTATCCCGATCAATGGCGGAAGTCTTTGAGGATCGCCTATTCCAAGACGCAAATCGAATTTTTGTTATATCTCAGGAACCACACCAGTTGGCAACCTCTAGTATTTTGCAAGCTCTAAATAACTCCACACGCTCCATTTTAAGCCTGGGATTGTATATCCTAGCCCATCATGCCGGTGCCGCACATGGAAAAGGCGGTTTTGCGTCCTTTAGGGGCCGGTCCCGCCGCATTGAAAAACTTGCCATCGAACCGTGAACGCGTCTAGAACATCAATCGCACCGCCACAGAGCTATTAATAGAACTCAATAGTAGCCCAAAAGCCCAATTAAAACCAGATAAGGTACAGAAACTCCTTAAAAATGTTCGAGCCCTTACCAACGACCTCTTATTGCTCCCTCTACACAACTAGCAGCAGAAACTCCAGACACTCCGCAACAACCTCTCCAAGAAAATCCACAAAGCTATAAAGACAGCTACTAAGCCTCTATCTTATATAGAGACTACCTCCTAAACTCGGACAGCTATACAAGCGCCAGCGCCGGCTTACCAACTATTATCTCCCCTCTCATCAAATACATTATCCACCGTACCAATCACAATACGTAACCAGGATATAATCATCTGCCTTAATAGCCACAACTAGGTAAGCAGATATTACGCTAAGCTATCCAAGAAGATAAAAGACTACACTAATAAGGTATACATAGAGTATGCCAAGGAAACCCACACCGCTACCCTAGCTATAGTAATAGTAAAGGTAGTTTATTAGTTAAAGTTAGGTAATCTCTAACTTACAGTATAAGATATATAGGAAATATAGATAATATAACTACACTGCAATATTTGGGTTAAGGACTTTAGCTCTACAGCCTTTGTCTATATGCTGATATAGGGAGTGATTATGTACGGTATATAGGTACACTCATTAGTAGATAAGCTAATAATTTAGACCTTATGAGAGATATAGGGGAGTATTATAATAGTAATAGTGGTAGAGAATTCTTACTATTAGGGAAAGGATACCACTATTAGTAAGATTAGCTAGCTATAAGTACTAAAGAAAGAAACTAAACTAACCTCAGTTATCCTCAAATTTAGTATACTATAGTCAGCAAATAAGGCAATCAAAGAGGGTATACTCTAGGATTCAAACCAATATCAGATGCTTCTATATAATAGGAGTCTCTGTATATAACAATACTTCAACTACTAACAATTTAGATATATAGGAACCTTCTATACCAACAAAACTATATATATATATTGTACGGGGGCACATCAGTCTCAAGATTGTACCTCCTACAAACACAATAAGAATAGCTAGAAGTACGCCAACTGTGAGGGCGCATATACTATATAGAATAAGGTATGTCCGGTAAGGATCACAGAGATCAATTAACTAACAACTATAGCAAAGTAACGCCCTAGGTTTTACCCGGTACCTGCCAAGTTTAGCTATCAGGAACCCTCTATATCACTACTACTACTATTACTTAGTTCTATAGGGATACTATAGGTGTTATTAACCAAAGAATCTACTAGTAATACAATAGGTAGCACTATTATATCAGCCATACGCTCTAGTAATAGGGAGTAAAACACTAGTATAACTAGAACTAATAGTAAAATCTAAGGGAGTAAGCCAGTAAAGAAAATAGTAATAAAAATATCATCTAAGTAGATAAGAAAGGTATAAAAGACTAAAAAGATAACTATACTAGAGAATAATATAGAAGGTATTGAGACAACACCCTAGGAAAACCAGGAAACACTAAAGGTGCAATAAGTACCCTAAGTTAATCTATTTAGAAACCGGTAACAATTCAACTTTATAACTACCTAGAAACTATATATCTTCAACATATTTAATATAACTACAACCAATATCAACTTCTAACCTACTACTATAAGTATTAGTAAAACTACTATAACTACATTAAAAGAGGAAGCAGTAAGAGCCAGAACCACTAAGGTCTATAAAGTAATAGTAAAGAAGTATAAGAAGTAGAGCTAGTAGAGTAAACCTAAGAAGAAGAGATTAGACTAATAATTAGTAAGATTTATTAGCTAACTAAAACAAATAAATCAGAAGTTAGAGCTAAGCTCTATAGAAGATCTGGACTTAACAGAGATAGAGAGGTAGTTAAATAAGGATCAGATATATAGTAATACCAATTTCCAACTATTATTACTACTAGAGAGAACTATATCAAGTGAAAGTAATAAGAAAAGGAAATAGCCCTATAGTAAATCAGAGATATTATTCAACCTATATAGTAGTCAATAAACTAATATAGCAACTAAGACCACTACTAAAGAGTAGTAATAAATATAGCACAACCACAACTTTATATAAACAGTAAACAACTCAGTATTCTCTAGTATAATATTAATCAATTAAAGGATATTATTATAGTGTAGTTTATACAAGATCCGACTGTCACTAAGGCCAATATCATTACTATTTAGGAACTATAGAAGAACCTATTCAGTAATATAACTCACTACCCGGCCAAAGACATATATAAGTTACTATACCCGGAAATAGAGGGAATAGGATTAGGGGAGGAGGGTAGAGCCTGAGTATATATATATATATTAAAGAAGATAACAGAATAGGCACACACTGTATACAGTAGGGATCTGTAAGAACTTAGTATCAATACAACAACAGAGAACCTATATATCTTTAATACCTACAACGATCGAAACACCAACACAGTGTTATATCTACTTCTAGCAGTGCTTCTAGAACACCCTAGCAAAAAGAGATTTATAATACTTAGTAATTTTAACCTACACTACTCTTAGTAGGGAGGAGAGAACGTT